TTTACGGGTGGTTTATCAAGCCCACTCACCGGTGTGAGGCACACTTCAGAAATGCACAATGTTTTTATTTTAGAGATATGGAGCGATTCTAGGAAAGAATTGTTTTAGAGTACTGCATAAACCAAATTAGAGGAGCAGAGTAATTGTAGTTTTTCATTTATAATAATATATTTTTCAGATTTATTAGATTCAGAGCAGCAGATTTGTTGTGTATGTGAATACAGGGGTTGGACAATGAAACAATGAATTAGTGTAGGGCCTCCTTTTGCGACCAATACAGAATCAGTTTATCTTTTGAATGACAGATACAAGTCCTGCACTGTGATCAGAGGGATTTTGAGCCATTCTTCTTGCAGAATAGTGGCCAGGTCACTACGTGATGAAAACCTTTCTAGGCTTTCTCCTCCAAAACACCACAAAGTGGCCCAACAATATTTAGATCTGGTTACTGTGCGGGCCATGGAAGATGTTCAATTTCAATTTCATGTTCATCAAACCACTCTTCTTGCTCTGTGTATTGGTGCATTATTATCCTGATACATGGCACAGCCTTCAGGATACAGTGTTTGAACCATTGGGTGCACGTAGTCCTCCAGGATGGTTGGATTGGCAGTGATGCTCCGTCTAGCATAATTATTGGGCCTATGAAATGCCATGACATTGCAGCCCAAACCATCCCTAATCCACCCTCACACTTCACTCTGGGCATGCAACATTCTGGTTTGTGTGCTTCTTTGGGGCTTTTCCACACTGTAACTGTCCTGGATGTGAGAAAGACAGCAAAGGTGGACTCACCAGAGAACAATACGTGTTTTAAAATTGTCCAAAGCCCAAGATTTTTACTGCTGACACCACTGAAACTGTTTGGCATTGGCACGAGTGACCAAAGGTTTAGCTATAGCAGCCCGACCATGTATATTGGCCCTGTGGAACTCCTAACAAACAGTTTTGGTGGAAACAGACAAGTGGATGTGGTTTGTCCTTCTTGGTGGTTTGCTGACATTAGCCTGGATAACGTGGCTTTTGATAAATCACAAAGACTTGATGTCTTGGTCACAAGTGAGACGCACACCCATTATTTGTCCTCTTTTGAACTATGATATGTCACACATAATGTTGTGCGCATAGCAATATTTTAAGCAAAACTGTGCTATTACACTGCTAAATAAAACTTCACACTCTGCTCTTACTGGTAAAATGTGCAATTAATGAAGCTTGGCCACCAGGCTGGTTAAATTTAGCCATGAAACCTCTAAATTGAGGGCCAGAGTTTCTGTTTCATTGTCAAACCCTGTATATACAAATTCCCACATGTTTAAGAAATCACAAAATGAGTAAAAAATATATATGAAATAGGTTATTATTATTTTTAAATGGTTAAGGTTTAGATATTTATATAAGGTTTTATATATATATATTTACTTTTAGTAAGAATTAACAAATCTAAAATGCCCTGGTTGACTCAGATTTAAAGAATTAAAATAGCTTAATACCTATCATTTATGCGTTGAGAGTTATGGGGGTTTAAATGTATATCAAGTCAAGAAATTAAATTAAACTTGATGAGTAATTGTATAACTTTTTAGGCAAAGTAGATAGAAACTATTTAGATACAATTACACTGATTCAATCAGTAATTTTTAGTTACTTTTAAGAAGTAACTTACCCAACACTAGTAACGTCGGTTGTGCTGTCAGTATGCAGTAAGTTGTCGGACTAAATGTCTTCATTCTTATTTGGACATTTAATTGCAAAAGGTTTGTGTTAAATGTCATGTGATACCTGGCTGAAACAAGAAGCAGTGCTTCTATCACAAAATTATTTGAAACCATGTGCATGTGACTTCCTCTCACTGAGGTCTAGTTGAGGTTGTTTATTTCCACATCCTGAATTTTAGTTATATGATTAATGCATTTCTCAGAGAGCATCTGAATTTAAAAATGTAATGAAAGTAAAGTCAATTTCCAGCTGGAAGAGATGGTTTAGGCCACTTTTGCTAATATCCTAGAAAAGTGTTATCAAAAAGGTTAAAATTAAAATAAAATGACAGTTATCCCCCCCAAAATGTTTATATATATATATATATATATATATATATATATATATATATATACTTGCCTTTTCCACATTTTTTTGTTACAGCCTTAATCCAAAATGGATTCGATTAATTTATTTCTTTAATTCTACACACAATAGATCTAAAGAAAGATTGTTTTTGAAATTGTTGTAAATTCAATTTCCAAGACTGTTCTTGTTGTAAATTTATTAAAAATAAAAAACCTGAAAACTCAAATGTACAGAAGTATTCACAGCCTTTGCTGTGAAGCTCTAAATTGAGCTCAGGTACATTTTGTTTCCACTGATCATTCTAGAGATGTTTCAGCAGCTTAATTGGAGTTCACCTGTGGTCAATTCAGTTGATTGGGCATGATTTGAAAAGCATACGCCTGTCTATATATAGTGTCCCAAGGCTGACAGTGCATGTCAAAGCACAAACCAAGCATGAAGACAAAGGAATTGTCTGTAGACCTCTTAGACAGGATTGTCTCGAGGCACAAGGCTGGGGAAGGTTAAAGAAAACTTCTTCCTAGAGCTGACCGGCCATCTAAGCTGAGTCATCAGGGGGGAAGGGCCTTAATCAGGGAGGGGATCAATAACCCGATGGTCACTCTGTCTGAGCTCCAGCGTTCTTCTGTGGAGAGAGGAGAACCTTACAGAAGGACTGAATGAGAAGGACAGAAGGACAGGTTTTATTCACATCCTGAAGGAAAACCTGCTTCAGAGTGCTCTTGACCTCAGACCTGGGCGACAGTTCATCTTCCAGCAGGACAATGGCCTAAAGCACATATCAATGTAGTGGCTTCTCAACAACTCTGTAATTGTCTTTGAGTGGCCCAGCCAGAGCCCAGACCTAAATCCTATTGAACATCTCTGGAGATATCTGAAAATGGCTGTACACCGTCGCTTCCCATCCAACCTGATAGAGCTTGAAAGGTACTGCAACTGGGCAAAAATTCCCAAACACAGTTGTGCCAAGCTTGTGGCATCATATTCGAAAAGACTTGAGGCTGTAATTGCTGCCAATGCCAAAGGTTCATCAATAAAGCATTGAGCAAAGATTGTGAATACTTATGCACGTGTGATTTTTTAGCTTTTTTATTTTAATGAATTTGAAACAATTTCAAAAACTTTTTTCTCTTTGTCATTATGAAGTATTGTGCGTAGAATTTTGAGGAAATAAATGCATTTAATCCATTTTGGAACAAGGCTGTAACACTACAAAATGTGGAAAAAATGAAGCGCTATAAATACTTCACCCCTCACAAATCTGTCTTTTAAATTCATATTTTTATTAGGAAGCTATACAATATTTTATTTATGCATATACATTAGATTAGTCAGAACTTAAGCAAAATCTGGAATTTATCTATATAGAACAATCTAAATACAAATTTAAAAAAAGAGGAAAAAAGGAAAATTTTTGTAAAAATTTTGTAGTTTGTAATTTATATATATATATATATATATATATATATATATATATATATATATATATATATATATATATATATATTTGTATGTGTGTGTGTATGTATGTGTGTGTGTATGTTTATGTATATATATATGTATGTATATATATATATATATGTATGTATATATATATATGTATGTATATATATATATATATATATATATATATATATATATATATATATATATATATATATATATATATATATATATATATATATATATATATATATATTTATTTATTTATATGTGTGTGTGTGTGTGTGTGTGTGTGTGTGTGTGTGTGTGTGTGTGTGTGTGTGTGTGTGTGTAATAAATCTGTGTTGGCTAAAAGCACCAAAATAAATTGACTATATTCAATGGGAAATGGATGAAAATATTCAATATGGGCTGTACTAAATTTATACATAAAACCAAGAAAAATATGTTTGTAAAAAATTTTAATCAGTTCTAAAAGAATTAAAACATTTATAAAAGATTTCAAAATCTAATTTTTTTTGTTAGCAAGAATAAATTAATAAAGATAAACATGAAATAAACAGTGTCAAGCATAAATGAAAATGTCTTTTAAATGAATATTTTCTACAGGACGCTTTACAGTAATATATTTGTGCACATACATTAGATTAGTCAGTAACTAGAATTTAGAAAAAATAGAAAAAATGAGACCACCCGAATGTATTTGTTGGGGGAAAATATGAAATTCTAATAAACAGGAAAAACTGAATTGAAATGTTGTTGTTTATGAATATTTGTTTTTAAGAACTTGTTAATTTCAAATTTAAATGATTTATCTTACGTTAGGTGACCAAACTCTTATCTCGATGAATAAAACTCTTATTAACTTTAATAAATCTGTTTTAACCAGAAATTAATGGCCATAACTATGGAGTAATGGATAAAAATATTGATTTTCAAAACTGGGTGTACTCTTTTATGCTGAGCACTGTATGTATGTATATATACACACACACACACACACACACACACACACACACACACACACACACATATCTATATATATATATATAAATAACAGATAACCAAGATTTTTAGAATTATTTTTAAACTATTCACTAGTAACTATAAATCATGATTGCTGAAAACGACTCAAAACTTGTTTTATCAATTTCCATCAATCATGTTGTTTTTGCAATAGTACTCATCAATGCAAAAAACAAGATACTAAAAATGGAGTCAACTACATACTTCACAATAAGTCAACCCAAGATGTGGCAATTATGTAAATCTGCACATGAAAACTTCCTTAAGATGCAACTTTTGTACAAAGCCAAAATGGACGAGACAGGAAGTTCTCTGATCACTGCATGCAAGACAAACACGCAAGCACGCACATGCCAAGAAAGAGGACAAAATATAGCTAATGAAATTCACCTATGCACCATTAAAGCCGTTGCACGTTTTACTCTGAAAATTTCCCTTAAAATCTCAAAGAAACCCAGTCTGACCTTTGGGCTGCCTCAGCTGTGCAGTCTCCACAGTCTCCTCCATCTGGTCCTCTTAGCCTCTCACAGCAGGCTGTGTGGTCATCCAGTACTCTGTCCGTCCACCCCAGCCCAAAAAGATCCGGGCAGAAGCATCACCTTTCATCAGACATTAAGAGAGGACATGGAGACCGTGTGCCCTTCTCTTCAGTTCTCTCGCATGCAGCACTTCTCTTCCTCTAAAGCGGAGGCTGGGTTGGCCAATGCTCTTTCACCATCTCACCAGGAGGAAGTTTGTCTCACTATCACTGTCAGACACACCTAACAACTTCTGCTGTGGCTTAAGATATTGCTGGTGTTTGTGGATGCACTTTAGCAATGTTAATAATGTTTTTGGTCTATCAGATTTGGTCATGTTTTAGTAGTGATTTCAAGTTTGCGTTTTATTTCGTTTGTCCAATCTCTGAGCATCACTGCTTACGTCACTGCATATTTGGCTTCAGACGAACACTGTTAACTGCTTAGAAACTATTAATTGAGCTATAAATCTTGCTGTTGCACTCAGCCAATGAGATTTAACTTTAAAACACTGCCCTCTGCTGACTGATGGTGGTTGAGGCACAGGAAAAGAAGCACTGACACTGGATCAGCCTGGTTTATAAGTACTTAAAAAAGTAACTGGATGTTGATGACTTAAATTCATTACACTTGCACTCGAATATAAAGTTGTTGACATTTAGTGCAGGCTTCAGAATTTTTTATATAAAAAAAGAAGAAATGCAGTGGTCATTTTTAAGAAAAGTATTTGAAATATTTTCATAAAACAAATGCATTACTTTCACACAGACTCACCCAGCTCCATGGTTTGTCTTTAAACTCTGGGTCCTGTGCTGAAGTCCACAGATATCAGAACTCTGAAACACGTAAACATTAATCATATATAAGGACTCAACTATATATAAACTCACTGGCCATTATGTTAGGCACCTTACTTGTACCAGGTTGGACCCCCCTTTGCCTTCAGAACTGCCTTAATCCTTTGTTCAGCAAGATACTGGAAAATTCCTCTGAGATTTGGCTCCATATTGACAAGATAGCATTACGCAGTTGCTGCAGATTTGTCGGCTGCACATTAATGAGGAGAATCTCCCGTTCCATCATATATATATACACATTCATACATACATACATACATACATACATACATACATACATACATATATACACACACACATATATATATATATATATATACATAGACACACATACACACACATATATATATATATATATATATATATATATATATATATATATATATATATATATATATATATATATATATATATATATATATACATATACACACACATACATATATACATATATATGTACACTTGAAGTTAGGATCATTAGCCCCCTTTAAATTTTTTTCTTGTTTTTTAAATATTTCCCAAATGATGTTTAACAGAGCAAGAAAATTTTCACAGTATGTCTAATATTATTTTTTCTTCTGAGGAAAGCCTTTTTTGTATTAGTTTGGCTAAAATAAAGCAGTTTTTAACTTTTTAAACAACACTAAGTTCAAAATCATTAGCCCCTTTAAGTAATTTTTTCCTAACTGTCTACTACTTGCCTAATTACCCTAACCTGCTTAGTTAACCTAATTAACCTAGTTAAGCCTTTAAATGTCACTTTAAGCTGTAGAGAAGTGTCTTGAAAAATATCTAGTCAAATATTATTTACTGTCATCATGACAAAGAGAAAATAAATCAGTTAGTAGAAATCAGTTATTAAAACTATTATGTTTAGAAATGTGTTAAAAAAAAAATCCTCTCCCGTTAAACAGAAATTCATGGTGGAACTAAAAATAATTCAGGGGGACTAATAATTTTGACTTCAACTGTGTATGTGTGTGTATATATATATATATATATATATATATATATATATATATATATATATATACACACACGGTGTGTGTGTCTATATATATATATATAAATAAACATGGCCTCATATCGCTGCACTGACCAATTAGAATTAAGCATTTTAGAATCACGTTTTTTCATTGCGATATTTTTGCGATGTCTTAGGAATTACATCAAATAAATGTTATCCTTGTATGCATCGGAGTGTTACTTTAAAAAATATATAAATAAAATCACCTTTAATTTTTACAGACCCCTGTCCTTACTTTCATTTATTTAAATGTATAGTTATTCTTTTTATGTTCAAAACTAAAAGTGAGAGTTAAAAATCTCAAGTTCAGATTTGACCCAAAAGCCTGACCCCTATACGTTACCTCACAAAAGTCTCATCATCGACCCCAGTTGTAAGAGCAACAAATAATAACTTGACTTCTAGTTGATGGCAACATCAACAGCCTGAGCTATCAAGACATTTGTGCTGCCAGTTACATTACCAACCACAGGAGAAGGCAAATCCTTAGCAGCATACCGCTGCTCCTAATACTTCAGCCTCCACAACAAAGCTCCTTTGCCTTTCATATAAGCCACTTCTAATACCAAATGATAATCTATAACTCAAGTTATTATTTGTTGCTCCTAAAACTTGGAAAGGTGACATAAGGTGAAACTTATGTCAGGTAGTGTAGGCACCAAATGTGCTCAGCCGAAGCAACAGTGATATCTTTAGACTATTTTGATTACATTTTTTACAAAAGATATCCTTTAAAGTTATCTATGCAAATTTTACTGCCATATGACGTGAAATTGAGTCTGAAAGTGGAAGTCATGTGATAATTTATCTTCAGCAGCACATAGGAAAATGTTTTGCAGTTGTGTGCCAGCATCTTCTTGTGGTTGAGATATAATAAAACCGGAGGAGAGATACAACATAACATGCAGGCATCGGCTCAAATAAAAGAGACAAAACATTTCTATCAGTGAAAAAACATTTGAACCGTTCTTTATATTTAAGGCACAGCTGGTGAAATACAGTCACAACACACATACCAACAGTATGATAATGTGACCAAACAGCGCAATCACAAAAAAAAGTCACATCAAGCATATTTGAAGCCTGCTAGGTTGTCCTGGGTTTAAAAAACGAGGAAGTGAAAGACCAAAAATGTTGAATGATGGTGCGTGTGGAATGTGTTAAGACCTTAAATTGCTGTCCTGATGACACGACTGCAAAACCGCTCAGCGAGTGTGGTTGCTGACTTTGATGAAGGGAAGTAACACCCTGAAACTCCACCAACGAGGGTAATGGCATCAAGGCCTAAAAATATCAACATCCTTCATGTTAAATTAACATGCAAGATATACCTGACATTATAACATGTGCTTTTTTTCATTATTGTTGATAAAATGGTAGAGAACACTGTAAATTGATGATTGTCATTAGTTTTCAGACTGATTGAAAGGTAATGTTTAATAATAAGGTTCCAGTAGGTCTCCCAATAACTAACATTTACTATAAATGAGGAACAAACCTACAGTGTCAATATGGCAACATAAACATACTGCTAAACTACGACTGACAGCTGCTCCCCCAAATCAAACAAGACACAATTATTAGGCCTATAAAGTTCAGATGCAGATAAATATATATAGCTCAGATTTAAAAGTAAGTACGTAATGTGTATTTATAAAGCGCAATTATCCTGTAAAGTCATACACCCAAAGAGCTTCACAATCATGAGTAGGGTCTCCCCAATCCACCACCAGTGTGCACCATCCACTTGGATGATGTGATGGCAGCCACAGGACAACAGCGCCAGTGCGTTCACCACATTTCAGCTATTGAAACAGTGGAGAGACATTAGTATTCATATTATTTGCCTTAATCTAATTAAGACAATAATAAGATTAAGGCGTTTACATTAGTTGCTTTTTGAGTGTTTCTTTCATGATCCCGTTTTACATGTTACAACACATTATTCGATTAACGTCATTGCGTCACAGAGCTATCTGCATTTCCTCTGGAGTTTCATGTAATTTCGGGTGTTTCGTTTTTAATTCGTCGACTTTAATCGCAGTTTGGCACTTTCACTTTCATTCATGAACATTTCATGCATCCCCCCTGTGATAAACGAGATATTGGATGCAACTTTGAACTGCTGGAAGAGTGTAGTTTTAATTGAAGTTTACACCGCATGTTGCATGGAAGAAAAAAAACCTCTGCATTTCACAATGCAGGTGTCTGTGGTCTGCACTGACTCAGTAGGTGCAAAGAGTGTCAAACAGCTGTGTGTGTTTGGGAGTGCATGTGTGTGTGGACTATCCTGTTGCAAAACACTGCAAAAATTCCTATCATGATGGTAATAGTTCGATTAAGGTGTGTACATGTCTGTACTGCACTTCAATAATGCGACTAAAATCGGCATACTCCACATGCCTTAATTCGATTTCTCTTTCTCTCCTCAATGGTTTGTCAAAACCAAGTCTGGCTACACAACCAACCTATTTAAATTACCTAAAAAAGTATCATCCAAAAACAAAAAGTTTTACAATTTGTGTGGACTTGCTGGAAGTTGTACTGTATGCTTTTATCATTTATGTTTCACAAAATTAATTTACCTCGTAATGCCAGATTAGTCTTTTTAAATGTATTTTACTATTTGTTTTAATTTAAGGCCAAATGTTTAATCTGCTTTTGTTAATAAACATTATTTTAAATTGTAATTTATTGAACCCTCTAATTTTTGTTGCATCACTCACTGTTGGGATAATAACTTTTAAAGCTGGAAGCATTAACAACTTATATAGAAATTTATTGTTATTGTTCAATATGGGAAAAAAATTGTGAGTTTGCATTTTTGCTATATCGCCCAGCCCTAATATATTCTATATATTTTTTTGTTATCACAAGCTTTGGAGATTTCCACTTTTAAATCATAGGTCACTTTTGGTATGATCCACGGCTGTGATCAAAATGGCAAAAATGATTTCAGAGTGCACTATGTAGGGAGTGCAATTGTCAGTCTAAAGTTCGTGAAAACTGAATTATAAGAAATGACTTTGAAATCAAACTGGACATAAGAGAGAACCTTTTTGAAAATGATTAATTCAAAGTGGATGTTGAAACATTTAAAAGTAATAGGGGCATAGGGGAATGACTGGGAATAAAGCACAAGCAGAAACTTTGGGTGTACTCGCACTATGCACATTTCAAGGCAACCGTCTCCTCCCATATCCGCTGACGGCCCGCACTTACATTGCATTCGCTCCTTAGTGTGCTTTAGCCATTGATGATGCGCTGTTCAGTAAGGAGCGCTCTCGCTCAGCACAGTGGACATTGCATTAGTTATATCGGTTTAGTCATTTTATATGCAGTGACACGCAGTCAAATATTTCGCCGAACAGATCAGCCACTTTTGACGCTGAAGGAATTAGGAAGTTTGCTAAAGGTACAGGTGTCCTGCAGTGATGGGTTTGCATCTTTAATAATCTATGACAGTTTGCGTTCACTGAACAATAAGAATGATTAATAAATCCATATGAATCAGTCCCTTAAAAGTCACGTCGCATCTTCATTTTCGGGCTTAGGCGCGGTTTGCACTCACACTACAAGCGTACAGCGCCAAAGCCCAAGTGAACCGCGCTCTGGCTCACCTCTTCCAACCGGGCAAGGGCAGTCCAAAGTGAACCGCGTCTGAGCCAGATTTACACTCACACCTCTCAAACGAAAAAGGAAACGGGCCTAGACATGGTTTGAATAGCATAGTGTGAGTGCACCATCTGTTTAACAACAGCTCTAGAAAGGTTGTTGCAACCGCACACATTTGCGAATGTTCGTTGGAACAACAAATTCAAGAATTGTTAAATCTCTTAACTATAATCGTATCGATGGAGTTAGCGAATTTAGTTTGCTAATAATGCTTTTCGGAAATGCACCACAGGATTGTTGTTTTTGCACAATAAAGCCCTTCGGTCTCATTGTGTCTGTATGCTGGTTAACCTGACAACCTGCTGGATGCACTGTATCCATAACCTAACAAATGGAACCTAATTACGAACAGTTACCAATTAATCATCTTAATCGTTAGATGAACACTTGCTGTGCACATCAATGCATCTAGAAAAGAAGGGACAAAATGTTTAACATTAAAAAATCTCTAAAAAGGCCTCTTCTGTTCCCTCATATTGTGCTTATTAGGCTGAATGTCCTCCAGAAGCAAGTCTAGCTGTCCAGAGTCCAAAAAAAAGTCTCATAGTTCATCTCGGGCTGTCCTGTCCAGGGGAGACTGAAGCACATCTGAGTTCTGGGCCTCTGTGCTGATCTCACCCTGTTCCTGGGTCTTACCCCGACGCTCCCTGTCCCAGTCCGTGTGTACTTTCTCATTGTCCCATACCGTAGAGGTTTCTGTGTCACTGATGTAGCCAGCCTCACCCGTGTAGTGTGTGGGGAACACCAGCAAGGGCTCTGCTGAAAACGCTTTCAGGTCCCTCGTCTCAAACTGCTCCATGTAATCCGATCTGAAGAGGAGGATGATGAAATTAGGTGTAAAGATATATATATATATATATATATATATATATATATATATATATATATATATATATATATATATATATATATATTTGATGATTAAATTTTTGTTATTATTAACTGTATTGTCCATTATAACTACGACATTTTATAGTTCTTAATGATATTGTAAAGGAACTAAACATACACAATCACGAATACAGTCAAGCTTGAAATAATTCATTTCCCTAGCTAATTATGTTCAAATGTAAATAAAATCTGGAATTATATATGTTTTTCAACAATCATGCCTCTTTTACATCATCTTATTATATTTTGGGGTCATTTTCAGTCAAAACCCTCCAAAAACTGCTGTTTGAATTATGTCAGAATTTGCCAGGGCTTGACTGTATATATTTAAAAATATAGAATATACATTAACAAATACATTTGGCAGCACAATTTAGTAATTATAAAATTCCATTCCATTTGTTGGAATTATGTAGGTCAAAGATTGTAATAGTTTTACTATTATCTTGTGGATTATTACCTGCCTTTTTTTTAAGATATTGGCTGTAAGTACATATTTTGCATCCCTAATCCTACACTGTAAAACCCAACAGGTAACTTTATCAAATAAAATGAGTGTAGTTAACTCAAAATCGACTGAAAGGTAATTCTACTCATTTGAAAAGAGTTTTGAAGTCAGTGTTGAAGGTATTGAGTTAATGAAAAACCTCATTACATCAACTTAAATGGAGTAAGTTCACATTATTCATATAGATTCATTTTGTTAACTCAAATGGATTGTAGCAATCAGCTTCCTCAAACGTTTTGAGTTGCCTTAACTCATTGGGTTTTACAGTACTCAGTTGGTTTGAGTTCTCTTAATTTATTGAGTTTAACTGTGCTCAAACTGCTTCGTTTACTCAAATGGATTAAGTTCACAGTGCTCATTAAGAATAGTTTTTAAACCTTAATGGTTTGTTGCAATTGGTTTCCTTAAATGGTTTGAGTTACCTTAACTTTCTGGGTTTTACAGTGTACCTAATATGTAAACCCAACTACTACTAATAACTATTAATTGATTAGAAAATGACTGAGGCAAAAGTCATAATTAATGGCTTATTAGACAGGAATTGTACCCTAAAATAAAATTTGACCAAGTTTAGCTAATGACATGTAATACAAATGTAAGACATTTTATTTAGTTGCAATTAACATAAAACTAAACATCCAATAAAAATCTCTGGGTTACTAAATGTAATGTTCGCTGAGAAACACATTTAAGACACATCAAGAATATTGAAAAAACAGCATTGCACTAAAAAACTGTACAGTGCATATTTATTAAAAGCCTAGAGCTGGACTCACCAACATGATAGCCCGCGAGGATCACATGAGTTGCTCACGGCCCTGTTCTAAAAACAGCTCACCATAGCACCACTTACCATTAAGCTGAATCTAATATTTTTTGTAGCTATTCCTTTTAAATTACACTTGCATTGGTATAAATTTGAAAATGATAATTATTTATATATATATAAAAAAATAAAAAAAAAGTCATATTAGCTAGCTGGTCTCCATAGCAACGGTTGTGGGTGGAGTAAAGGGTAGGAAATGAATTTAAAATATGGCAGAAAAAATAAAAAAACATCGTTTTCACAGTGAACAGAAGGAAGAGTTCTTTTATACTTCATTTGGTGGCAGCAAAGCAGCACAATGTTGAGAAACATTTCAAAACGTGTCAAGCAAGCTAACGATACCATGTTAACTACTCACCGGGCAGCGCACTACAAGTGGAAAAAGCCTGGAAAGTTTGTGAAAACTGCAGTCTTTTTTTACAAGACTGGTGAAACCACCCCAAAAAGAAACAGACACCTCATTTAACACTACACATTTTTGATTAGAAATACAAGCCATTTTCAGACAGGAAAACAAAACTATGCTTAAAGACTTGAACCGATGTAATCTCTAATCTTTCCGATGTCCAACTCAATAGTTAGAAGAGTGTCGGCTATGTTAAAATGCTGTAGATTTGGTGATAATTTCAGTAAAATCTGAAAGTTGATTTAGGTTACACATGGTACATCGTAGTGCATGATTTGTTAAAAAGAGTCAGTGGCTAGTGAAAATATTGTAGAAATAATCATTTGATAATGTAAATACTTGCAGAGATTTATAGAAATAAAGTGTTGCATATAGATATTTCTCTGTTTCCTACCTTGTTAAATCACTGTTAACAACTATTGTGAGAAATCATTAACATGATCAATGTCTTCACATGGATGAATATCATCAATTACTATTAATAATATATTATTAAAAGTACATTGAGCAAATTTGCTATTTGAGCAGTGTGAATCAAACTGGTTGCCCTCCACATTACCCGGTACCCAAGAAGTAGCTCTCAGTTTCAAAAAGGTTGATGACCCCTGGCCTGGAGCATAACCTGGTATGAACGGCATTATCTCAAAGAGCTATGGTTACATTTAGTAGTCAAAGATGTGGCCTTTTAATTTCCTTTCAACTTATAAGTATAAATTCCCAAAAATTTGGGAATTATAAAATTTGAATGATAAAATCCCCAAAAGACCCAGAGCTGGCCAATTATAAAAACTGTGTAATGAAAACATTAATTCTCCAATGCGCTTTTGCGTCATACTTGTAATAATTTAGTTTTGCCTGTATGCATAACTATTTTGCACTGTCTGTATTTTGCACTGTCTGTATTTTGCACTTTCGTTGTATTTGCACTGTCATTTTATTTGCATTGTCTGTATTTTGCACTGTTGTTGTATTTGAACTATCTGTATTTTGTACTGTCTGGAGCCAGCACCAAAGCTTTTCGCTAATCATAGCACACGTGCTGCTGATGATGTGACAATAAAAGTGATTTGATTTGATCTGCATGTTTTGACTCTAAAAGTGCTGCTAGCTGTAGAATCATCTAAATATCTTTATCATTCAACTGAAGTACTTAAATCTTGGATCGATAAGAATATTAACAGCAAATTTAAATTTCCTTTACACCCAAGAACCCCATCATTTTTCTGTATTTTCTGCTCTTTCAATTTTTTGAACACCAAATTTCTTAAGGCTGTTGGGAAGGCTGTTGTAGCCATTGACTTCTAGTAGTATACTGCATGTATTTTCTGATGTGACAAATATACAACTTTAAAACATTAATCAAACCGATTTGGGATAGCTAAGAGCAAGTAAATGGTGTGTAAAATTTATATTTTTGGGTTAACCAGTTAACAATGTTAGAGCTAGCTTATTTGGTGTAAAAATATACTGTATGTTTTGGTTATTAAGTGTTTGTGACAATGTAACAACATTCAAGATGACAAAATACTTATTTCCATGTAGCATACTTTTATATATATATTAATATTATATTATATTATATTATATTATATTATATTATATTATATTATATTATATTATATTATATTATATTATATTATATTATATTATATTATTCTAAAATTGTTGCTGGCATATATGAGATGTGTAGAGGATTTCCTCCATTTGTAATACTTACACAGGATGCTTATTGAACATAACAGGAAGGAATTCATCGACAGGCAACATTTTACTAAGTGGTTGGGCTTTGAGAAGCTTTCTGGCTCCTTGTAAGGACATCATGTAACCTAAGGTCCAGTAGGAATAGTCTGCCTCTACTAGGTTGCGAATATTTGGTACTGCTTTTTCAGGCCGGTCCACTTGCATCCTCTTCCTCCCAATATAACTGCAAAGAGTTGGAGATGAAATAGCCAGCATGAACAGATCTTTAATCGATGCAAAAACCAAAAATGTGACAGAGACTTTAGACTTACATGAGGTCCCAGTCCAGACTCTGACTTTGGAGCTCAAGCAACAGATTCTGCAGGCGACGCTTGAAGAAAATCTCAAATCTTAAGTCATCTTCAAGAATTAGCGAGGTCTTCAATCCTCGATCTACAATCTGTGTTGCACAAGACATATTTATAAGGTTTGCAGAGTTTCCCACAAGGTCCTAATCTAACAGTAGCGGTACACAGACAGTAACAAGTTCCATGAGAAACATAGGATTTTGTCTTAAATATTAAATATTAAAGAAACACTAAGGAAATAGGCTCATTTTAAAAGTCACCCAGAGTTAAACATTTGAGTTTTCAACTCGTCATAAGATTTGAAGGGACTCCAAAACCAGAAGTGAATGGGTCAGATAAGGGAGACAAAATATGTACGGTTGGTGTGCCTCTAGAAACAGGGTTGGGAAACACTGGTTTAGATCAACATGGCTAGTTACTATACTCTCATTTCAGCATAATAAACAAGGAACTTTGTTGCTGTACCATGGCTGCAGCTGGCACAATGATATCATGCAGCACCTGAAAATAGTCCCTAGGTAGGATAATAATATAAATGTAATGTAATGTAATGTAATGTGTGTATTTATATAGCGCATTTATTGTGTATGGCAATACACCCAAAGCGCTTCACAATCATGAGGGGGGGTCTCTCCACACCACCACCAGTGTGCAGCATCCACTTGGATGATGCGACGGCAGCCACAGGACAACGGCGCCAGTGCGCTCACCACACACCAGCTATTGGTGGAGTGGAGGGACAGTGATAGAGCCAATTCGGTGGAGAGGGGATGATTGGGAGGCCATGATCGTAAGGGCCGATAGAGGGACTTTGGCCAGGACACTGGGGTTACACCCCTGCTCTTTCACGAGAAGTGCCATGGGATTTTTAATGACCGCAGAGAGTCAGGACCTCGGTTTAACGTCTCATCCGAAAGACGGCGCCCAATGACAGTATAGTGTCCCCTTCACTTTTACTGGGGCATTAGGACTCACACAGACCACAGGTTGAGCGCCCCCTGCTGGCCTCACTAACACCACTTCCAACAGCAACCTAGTGTTCCCTAGTGGTCTCCCATCCAGGTACTAACCAGGCTCAGCCCTGCTTAGCTTCAGTGAGTAACCGGTCTTGGGCTGCAGGGTGATATGGCTGTCGAATATTGTTATATTAATATTGTAATATTAATATAATATAATAATATTATAACAGGGGAATAATATTGTTGTGCCTGCAGCAGGCCTGGTATGGCAGCAAAGATCCTTGTTTATTAAGCCAGAATGAGAGTATGGTAACTAGCCATCAGCCTAGAAAACTGCAACATTTAATCATCTGTCAGTCTTAGTACAAGAAAGAACTACAGAAGAGTCAAGCTTTACTAGGAAAATTTATCAAAACTTGATTTTGAGTGAGATGCTAACGGTTTAATTTAATGCAATGATGTATGCTAAGCTAAGCTAAAAAAGGTTCCAACCAGACCCAGAGATCGACTGAATGGATTCAAAACTGTAAAACTAAGACATTTCACTTTAGAGGACTTGTAAAATTTGCCTATTATTAATAAAAGTGGAATGTTCTTTTCAGATGCACATAATTATGTAACTCGGATACTATTTGTGAGAAGTAACTAGAAACTATAACTGATTACTCTTTTAAAGGAATGTGCCCAACACTGAGAGTAATGCTGCAGATTTACCAAAGAAATGCAGAAATACAGGCTTAAATTTTAGCAACATGTCAACAATTTTGTTGATCAGTAATACATAAACTGTTTGAGAAATCATTGTACAGCTTGTCATCATGGTCCTAAAATGATCTAAGAATTTAAATGGAATCAGGTCAACAATCTGTAAGGTGCAAGATGTGAAAAAGATACCAGCACCCTGCTGAAACTAGCAAAGACACTTGCATCTTTCCTGTCGCCCTTAATACAACAATATAGCAAGGCTTTGTAGAGAAATACTCTACTGTTTGATTTCACAATTTAATTCCTGCATTATTCTGAGAACAGATCAGTTTATAAAAAAATTTCCCTAGGCTTTTGAATGGTACTTTTCTCAAGCAGTTGACTCTAATGCAGCGATTTTGTAGCCAAACAACAAACAGGGATGTGTGCCAGACCTCTTTCCAGATGTTATAGTGGGACAGGAAGCAGCCCAGCTCTCCTTTAGTGAGAGGTCTGCCGTGATAAGGGTCACTGTAGCCAGGCAGCATGTGTATTCCTAAAGCATGGATCTCACTGACGTTCATAGCTCTAGGTTTAAAAAAAACAAAAAAGACAAGCTGTGAGTGAGTGTTTTGACCTGATAAAGAAGGTCTCGTTTGTTTGAAGATAACACAAGCAGACTCACTTGCCATCAACAGCAGCGATAATCTTACATTCAATCTCTTGCTCTGTCAATGCCCTCAGCATGCGCTCACGCCTGTCACCTCGTCGCTTCAGGTTGATTATAAACACCTTTAACCACACACACAGCACATTTGATAAACACATCAACAGCACCGATGCTAAAATGTGGCAATAGACCAGAAAACCAATCATAAGACTCCATTTTTGATGTTAAAAGGGACCTATTATGCAAAAATCACTTTAATAAGGGGTTTAAACACAGTTTTGTGGGAACAGTCTTTGACTATAACCAGCTTCTAATGGTGAAAATGTAAAATTTTTTTTTTTTTTTTGATTTACGCTTTATAAAAACAGTCTACAAAAACACTTTGACTGAAATTTTCCCATTGTATGTGTCATCAGAGAATAAACAATCCACCCCTCATTAGCATTTAGCATTGGAAGTTAGTCTTGTTACCATTATGCTGACACATAGGCATTCGCAGCTCAGCCCTTTTTTAAAAAAAGGACTGGAAGTGCAATCTCATTTGAATTTAAAGAGACAGGCACTAAAATAGCACAATTAGCAAAAAAAGCCTTATAGGGGAAGTTTCAAAGAGGTAAACAACCTTATTTGTGGGGGATTTTGACAAAGAACTTGCATACATACACACACTGTAAAAAAATAAACTTTATTTTTCAGATAATTGCATTTTTTTTTTTTTTTACAGAATTTTCCAGTTTTTCCATTTTACAGTGAAATACCCGCTGTTTTACAGATATATTCTGTAATATAGAATTCTAACATTAAATTTATAGTTATTATTTCTTGTAATTTGGTATTACGATATTTTTCTGCTTTTTTTCAAAGAAAATTTTACGTATTTTTAGAGAGTAACACGTCATTTTACGTTAATATTTACAGATTATTTCTGTAAAAATAGGGATTTTATTGAGGATAGTAAACATATGAAGATATTCATGAGGTTAATAAAGTCAAATAATAGCCTATTGTTTGTAGGCTGCATATAATACATGCACTGTAAACTAGGAAATGTTTATTTTACTACTCTAACAATGTTGCAATGCAAACTGTCACGTTCCCCAGTGATCTAGCAGCTGCGGGTCGCTGGAAAACTACACAAGTTACTTTAACAAACTACAACTCCCCGCATGCACCTCGCACACCTGGGTTACTAATTTTGACCGATTACACACATAGTCAGAAGATTGTTATGGACTGATTTCAAGAACTCAGAACACACAGACACAGACAGTCTTAAACTGTTTAGTAAGCATTATGACGCGGTTTCTCTTACTTTGCCACGTTTGACCCCATTACTTTGTTATTTTGTTTGCAGCCTTTACGCTTATGATTATCTGTGCACCTGTTTGTTCCTGTTTCAGCCTTTAATTGCAAGATGATTCTGTTGATAAACTGCTGTTTGATCGTCAACTCTGTTGTGCAGGCGTCCTCAGATGACACTAACCTTGTTTTTGTTGTTAAACGATGAGCAAATGTGTTATTAGTAAAAAGAAATCAAATATTAGATAGATAACAGTTTTGTATTTTCTCAAGAAAATTGTTTTGGAGTTAATCTACATATCCTTAAAATATTTGTTAAACTATATTATAGTTTATAGTTGTATTTGCAGTGTTTTACGAAAACAGCAATTATTTGTACCTAAGCTTTAAAACAATGGAATAAATAGAGATTTCATGCTTAATTACATAAAGAAATTACATTAATAACCTGCATAATTACAGTAATTATCCTTATAATCACATTAATTAATCTGTATAATTACAGTAATAATAACCTGTATAATTGCAGTAATAATCCTTATAATCACATTAATTAATCTGTATAATTACAGTAATAATAACCTGTATAATTGCAGTAATAATCCTTATAATCACATTAATTAATCTGTATAATTACAGTAATAATAACCTGTATAATTGCAGTAATAATCCTTATAATCACATTTATTAATCTGTATAATTACAGTAATAATAACCTGTATAATTGCAGTAATAATCCTTATAATCACATTAATTAATCTGTATAATTACAGTAATAATAACCTGTATAATTGCAGTAATAATCCTTATAATCACATTAATTAATCTGTATAATTACAGTAATAATAACCTGTATAATTGCAGTAATAATCCTTATAATCTCATTAATTATCTATATAATTGCATTAATAAATGATATGTTTACAGTAATAATTTGTAACATGATAGTAATAATCTGTGTAATTGCAGTAATAATTAGTAAATTGGCAGTAATAACCTGTACTATTACAGTAAAAATCTGTAAAATGACAGTAATAACTTGTAGTTTTGGAACAAGAAATTACTTTTTTTTTTTTTTTTTACAGATTATCTAAATTTTTATTCTGACAGTTTTTTCAATTATTTTACAGTAATTTTCTGCCGCCAGAAAATTTGTCATTTTAGATTTTTTTTTTTGTTTTTTTTTTGTTTTTTTTGTTTGTACAGTGCACTCTAGGGAAATCAGAGACATATTTTACAGCACATCTTAATGTTACATCATAAGAAATACCCTTTAATACAGTGTTTCTTAACCACGTTCCTGGAGGACCACCCGTTCGGCACCAAAACACAAAAAACACACCTGATTTACATCATCAACTTATTAACAGACACCGAAAGACCTGTAATAGGTGTGACAGACAAAGGAGACATCCAAAACATGCAGTGTAGGTGGCTCTTCAGGAACGTGGTTGAGAAAAGCCAGAAAAGCTGAATAAACAAGCTTTCCATTGATGTACTACAGGGCTATTTAATTGGCGGCCCGTGGCTGAACTTGGCCCGTGAGGTAATTTGTTCGACCCTCCAAATAGTGTGACCAAGACATAAAAAATAAATTGAGTTTTGTCGAAACACGGCCGCTATAATTATGAAGTGGTGTGCGTCTGTTCAATACAACACAAGCTGCAGTTGAAGGTTGCACAGAGTGTAAGTCACCTGACATTAAAGGCTTGTACGCACTGGGCTACTTTTCGTTTGCGTTTATTGCAGCGTTCTTTGCGATTTTTACTGGCGTCGAGCAGAAAAACATGCAAAATCACTCCTTAATGTTAGATGGCGCTACACAACTTTAAGCTTGTAACACAGAAGAAGACAAAAAGTTGACACGCTTGTTGTTAAAGTTACTGGCGAGTTGAACAAGCATGGATGGTTCAAGTAGCAGCTCCAGCTTTAGCGATGAAGAAATGATTATTGTAGTGAGTCAACGGATCGTTCCAGAACCGAACAAGCCACAGACCATGTTATCCTTAAAAGATTGGTTGGTGCCTACGAGTCTGAGATTGATTTCATTTTCAAAGCAATCCACAGGCACCCAGCAAAAGGCAAATCCACAGGATACCTAGCCAGTCAACATCACAGTTGCGTGTTAATTAACTTTACACCCTAAAACAATAAGAGGCTCTACAATCAAAAACCCACCAAACCGGTTTTTGAGAAGTACCTTTTGGTTCGCTTGTCCTTTGGCGTCTGCAAGGAATACACATTCTCAGGCAGACACAGAAGCGATCAGAAACGCTTCCAAAGTTTAATGGACATTTAAGTAAAACAGTTTATTTGAGTAATGTATGTTTACTTTATGTTTCTGTAGGTTTTTGTGTGTACATGTTCCATGTGTTTAACAAAACTGTTATAGATAGTTCTTGAGTAATAGCCCTCAGTGACAAATGAAATCTACAGAATGTTTGTGAAATACTTTGTTTGGTATCGATTGAAAGCTAGGAACATTTTAAATGCATTGGTTTATATGAAGAAACCATACTATGAAAAGTGTTGACGTTATAAGACTTTATTTTAACCACTATGCTATCAAAGCAGCACCCACACCAGGTGTCAACCCGGCCTCCTAGAGGGCAGAATTGGGGTGTGACTCCACCCCGCACCTTATCTGATTGGACAAGCATTGTGTAGACCCAGCCTCTACCAAAGCCTATAAAACTTTGAACAAAGAAATTTCATCGTCGTCTTTTGCCGGTCATCTTTGCCAGTCGTCACCGCCGTCGCTGCCCGGACGTCGCTCTTCTCTTGCTGTGGCCGTTACATCGCCTCGCCGGAAGCCTCGTTACATTACGGAGCAGACCGCGACCTTCACTTGCTGCCGGCTCGACCCCCGATCTGCTTGTGCAACGGCTTCAACAACAAGCCATCGGGTCAACACATCCAAACTCTGAAACTCATCATAACTACAGGAACCCAGGAAGGACTTCGAACGCCGCTTTGTCCAACATCCGTATCCCTAGCAACCGACTAAGGAAACCCCTCTTCACCGACAAGGGAATTCCATCACGTCACTGAAGTTGCTACGCTGACCAATCAGCTTCGCCGGGATTTCCCTTTGGACCAGTCAAGGAAACCAAAAATTACATCAGAACGCAAGTAGCACAAACAAGGTTTCTACCCATTACTGAATCTGGTGTGAATTATGTTTAAGTAGTAAAGAATAGCAAAATTCTCTGCTTTTACGGTTTCTCTCAGGTTACAATGCTAAGAACTTAGCAAAGGCTAGAAGTTGAATCCACTCAGTCATAACTCTCCTCAAACTGCTTGTGCGTGTGTGTATGTATGTGCATTTGTTTGTTTTACGTAGATTAGTACTTTGTGTTATAGAGTAGCAATAAACTTTTGTTTCGTTTTAAGATCCGTGTTGGTGTGTTGTGTGCTTTATAAGTTAATGCCTCAGCTTCAGATACTGCTACCTTGCTCATTAAATAATTAGATACTGTTTTTATATTGTTATTGTTGGCCACGTAATAATATAATACAGAATTGCTTTACATTAAACATTCTATTTGCTGGACAAATACTAAAGTTAAGTGTAAGCTTTAAATAATTCTATGTGAATCATGTTCGAATCTTTGATTCGAATCCCCAAAGTTTAAACATGATTTAAACCAAAGAGCTGATTCTTACATTATTGTTCACAGAGCAATAAGCAGCTCCATGTTCATATCGCCTCTGGGCGTCTTCAATGTGCGCTCGCATTGACAGTTTCGCGCTTGAGCGCCTCCAAGTGCTGTTTACTGTAACTTCAGCAGCTCAGCGCACATGAACAAAAGTGCTGATCTGCTTGGTGGGGAAGATATTGACGCGGCACATCAAAACAAAAATACAAGTATGAGTATTTCTTAAAAAATTATGCTTTTACGTCTGCCGTTTTGAACATTGGTGTGCACAGTCACATTGGCGCCCTTTATTTAGTCACATGGCGTTAAACATCGATAGAAAACACGAGCAAAAAGCATCCCGGTGTGCACAGGCCTTAATGCGAGTGAGTGGTGCGAGTAGCCGAAAACATTTGGATACTTAATTGTAAAGGCTTCTCAACGCCGCATTTCTGTTGCACGGATCGAAACTGCTGCAACTAAACCAAGTTATTCCACCTGTGCGCAAGTTTAAAGTTCCGAGCTTATAGCTACACCAAGGCTAATACACACGCACACTGGATTAACTATAGCAGCAGGGCATTCACATATTGCATCTTTTCCACACGCAAGTTCGTTACTTGCAATGTAAGAATATGTAATATAAGTGCGCAAGCGGAGCAAAATACAATATATTAACATTTTATTGTGGAAAAATACAACGTGGGGGTCTTAAGGAGCAAAAATACAACACATGAGCTTTTTTATGCTGTTGTGTCATCACTCATATAGCAAGTCATATCTCTCCAGCTCCTCATTTAAGATGCTTTTCATGAACTGGCCCCCATGACAAACTAATAGAATAGCCCTGATGTAATGTATAGTTTGTGAGGAAATGACAATGTTTTGTTGATATACAACTGTATGTAAACCTGGAAACTAGGGATTCAAACTAATCTAAAATCACTTTTAAAATTATTTTTATATTAGGTTCCTAGCAATGACAATTACTTAAAGTTTTGATGTATTTATGGTTAGAAATTTACAGATTATCTTCCTGAAACATGACCTTTATTTAATATTCTAACGGTTTTTGGTATTAAATTGATTATTATGACCCATCCTGTGTAATTTTGAGTATTCCCTAAGTTATACTTGACAAATAGGGTGACATATAGAAAACAAATAGAAACACAGTTACCTCATCAAAGCCCATTTTATCAGGTTTTCTGACAGGTTTGGGTAAGTATCTTGAAGGCTCAACTGGAGGATTTCGTACTGTGAAATAAAAGAAGAGCTTACATTTAATGAAGCAGATGGTACAGAATGCATGTAATGTTAAAAGCAATGCATGTACAACTCAGAGAGCCTTGTTATTAGCACCAACAGTATTAAAGCAGACTTTATTTAGTAACAGTCGAGATTAAGGTTTGAATGCATCACAGACTACTATTACATTTCCTTCTTTGTAAAGCTGAAACATACCGTTGACCTCCAGCATAGTGTGAATGAAGCTGTCTGCCTCATCCTGTAGAGTGCTGTGGGCACGAAGAGGAACTGGGAGGTGCCCATATATTTCTCTGTTGCAAATAAACATTTGGACTTCTGCAAAAAAACATAACAAAACACAAATAAAAGTGAAAAAAAAAATTTATTTGATGGATATTTTTTAATTTAAACTGAACATTTCCTCTTAACCTTCAGTATATTTTCCATTGTGTTCAACAGAAATAAAAAGGTTTGGAAGAGGATGGGAAAATGATGACATGATTTTCATTTTTGGGTGAACTGCCCCTTTAAGAGGATTTTATGCATATTATAGCATCTTCTTAAAGGGGCAATTCACCAAAACAAATGTGATATTCCAAACCTAAAACTTACTTTCTTTTGTAAAGAATTGCAAAAGATATTTTATTTGTTCTTAACTGTCCATACAAAACAACAATATCAGAACAAATAAAACAAAAACCCATGATACAAGGTTTTAAACTCTCACTGACTTCATGTGTAAATGAATTTTGAAACATCTTTAAAGAAGGAAAGTCATACAAGAATAAAACAAAATGGCAATAAATACAATTTATTTTGGGGTTAAGCTTGCTTTCACACCTGTAATTTGGTTCATTTTAGGACAACACATTCATCCATTTTGGTTCCTTTTCTCACCACACTGGTTGCTCTGGTCTGAATCAGTTGAAACAACCCAAACTGCTGTCATTTGACAACATGCACACCGCTCGTTGGCCAAATTTGTTATTAAACATACACAAATATTTCTACAAAACTAAAAAAAGCCATCAGGTAAGATGCTTGGAAATACAGAGAGATGACTATGCTGGCTGAATTGTATGATGTATCCCAGGTCATCGTTTATTATTTGAAATATATGTAGAAACCGGTCATGAACATGAAATAGATTTTATGCATGCTTATGAGCACTTTCATCATTTAAATGTAATTATGACAGCATTTGATGTTTTTGTCATGACAACTTGACATTATCAGGACAATACACTCACCGGCCACTGTATTAGGTACACCTTACTAGTAAAGTATTGCATCCCTTTTGGCTTCAGAAGTGACTTAATCCTTGATCGCATAGATCGAATAAGGTAGTGGAAATATTGCTCAGAGATTTTGCTCCATATTGACATGATAGCATCACACAGTTGCTGCAGTTTGTCGGCTGCACATCCATGATGTAAATCTCCCATTCCACCACATCTTGAAGGTGCCCTTGGATTGAGGATCTGGTTACTGTGGAGGCCATTTGAGTACAGTCAATGCATTGTCCTGTTCAAGAACCCAGTCTGAGATGATTCACGCTTTATGACATGGCACGTTACTCTGCTGGAAGTAGCTATAGGAAGATGGGTACACTGTGGTCATAAAGGGATGGACATGGTCAGCAACAATGCTCAGGTGGGCTGTGGCGTTGACATGATGCTCAATTGGTGCTAATGCACCCTAAATGTGCCAAGAAAATATCCAACACACCATTACACCACCACCACTTGGTGTGGTCTTCTGCAGCTGTGGCCCAATCACCTCAAGGATGGATTTGTTGTGCATTCAGGGTTGCTCTTCTGCAGACCTCGGTTGTAATGGGTTACTTGAGTTATTAGAGTTACTGTTCCCTTTCTATCAGCTTGAACTAGTCTGCCCTTTCTCTTCTGACATCTTGCATTAACAAGACATTTGCACCCTCACTGGATATTTCCTCTTTTTCGGACCATTCTCTGTAAACCCTAGAGATAGTTGTCCATGAAAGTCTCTGTAGATCAGCAGTTTCTGAAATACTAAGACAAGTCCGTCTGGCACTAACAACCATGCCAAGTTCAAAGTCTCTTAAATGACCTTTCTTCCCCATTTTGATGCTCGGTTTGTACTGCAGCAGATGGTCTTTTTCATGTTTACATGCCTAAATGCACTGAGTTGCTGCCATGTGATTGGCTGATTAGAAATTTGCGTTAACGAGCAGTTGGACAGGTGCACCAAATTAAGTGGCTGGTAAGCAGATAACTTGTCATAAATATGTCACAAACATCATTGTCATGAGGTTATTTTATTTGTACTTGCATTATCCCATAATGCAAAAAGCAGCAGACTACAGCAACTGGTTTAGTCCAAAAATATGCAGTACTTTCTGCAGTTTGATCTGTTTGAGATCAGGTTTTGATGTGCTTGTTTTGTCTGCTTTTGTCACGCAAGGTGAGTAAGTTTGTTACATTCACACCTGCTCAAATTTTTTAGACAGCATGTCAACTTAAAAGAACTTTTACAAACAGAGCTGCTCATCACTGTCAGTTCCAAAGCAGTGGATCAATCAGAAAAACTTGAAGGCAGGCAATGTTGCAGGTTTCTGTTTACAGGCACTAAGGGCCTACTCACAGTATGCTATCCGAACCATGCCCAGGCCCATTTCCCAGATCGTTTAAGAAGTGTGAGTGCGCTGAATCGGGCTCAGGCACGGTTCACTTGGCCGGCCCTGGCCCTGTGGGAAGAGGTGGGCCTGAGTGCAGTTGACTTAGGCTTTGGCGCGGTACGTTTGTAGTGTGAGTGCAAAATCCGAAAAAAGCCCGAAACTGAAAGCGAGACGTGACTTTAAGGGACTGTTTCATATGGATTTATTAATCATTCTTACTGTTCAGTGAACGCAAACTGCCGTAGTTTATTAAAGATGAAAACCCCTGACTGCACGACACTGCGCACCTTCAGCAAACCTCTTCAGTCCTGTAGCATGAGGGCTTTATGATTGTTTATGAGCACCAAAAGTGGCGGACCTGTTCGGCGAAATAACTGACTGCGTGTCACCGCATCCCTAAGGACTGTTTGGCGAAATATTTGACTGCATGTCACTGCATATCAAACGACTGAAACAATATAACTAGAGAAATCTCCACTGTGCTGCTGAGTGAGTGAAAGCGCTTCTCACTGAACAGCGCAGCATCGATGACGTAAGTGTGCCCAGGCCCGATTGTAGTGTGAGTACGGGCCGTCTGGGGAGAGGGGAGGGGGGACAAGCGTGTTTTGGCCCGGTTCGAGGCAATTGTACCTAGTGTGAGTACGGCCTAAGCCTGCATTGTGGCACACACCTGCTATTCGGGCTGAGAAGGCGAAGACTATAATGTCGTCAAAAGCCCAGGTGTAGTCTGGATGCGGCGGATGAAAAGCCAACTGTCTGGAAGCTTCTTTCCGCAGGTCCACCAGGAACGTTGAATGCACCATTGGAACCGCAAAGCATCCCTTACGAACTTGCTTGCGGATGGGAATGTAGGCAGGAGTTCGTTTATAGTAGCCCTAGAGAAGAGTTATATGTTCTTTTCAAATTTTTGGAGAAAATGTAATAAATGTTTATATGCACATGTGGACGAGAAATTTACCTGTGAGGTCATTCCGCACCAGAAGTTTGAGTAGGCAGCACGAGACTCCATCATTGGTGCCACAATTGTCTTGTTCTCCTTTATTAGCTTCCATAAGACATCTTGGTTGATCAGGAGATTATCACAATCAATCATCTGAAACAATAAAATAGAGTGTGCTTCGTATTTTAGACTGAATCTAACACATTATTCAAAGTTCCCTTCATTTATTGGTTAAGACACTTCCTCTATAGAGTTATTTTGATAAAATTCTAATTCATAATAATTACGTATTATTTATTTGTTTTTACTTCTTTTCTAATGCTGGGTTGTGGCTGGTAAAACATGCTGGAATAGTTGGCAGTTCATTCTGCTATGGTGACCTCTAAAATAGAAACTAAGCTGAAGAAAAATGAATGATTTCTTTATTTCATTATAGGCACAATATATAATTATTCACCATTAGAGGGTGCAAATTCACACCAAACACAGACATATTTGAATGAAGTCCTGACTGAGCGAGGAATCATGGGAGTTTTCCACTTTATTACATAAAGACTGCAACCCGAAATTCCTTACTACTCAGTAGGTACTGCATTTGAATTTAAATGTACTACTCGGCCATTAGAAAAGTACGTTCTGTACAGTATGAATGTCATTAGTGTGAATGGAACTCCAGGTAAATCCCAAATCGCATACTCATACACTATTTACCTTATTCTCTGCCGACGAGCGGCCGCAGCCACTTGAATCTTTTTGGTTCGAGACTTCCGATCTCATTGTCGAACATTTGTTTGTAGAGCAAGTAGTTTAACTGTTTTCTGCCCTTTATTATTACTAGTCATTTCTCCCATAGGCGACTCAATCGGAAGTTCTAAAACAATCGCAAAAACAGGCGCACTTCCGCATTTTAGAATAAGGTCAATTCTATGCCATTTTGAAGTGCAAATAGTGTAAACAGTGCATTCACACTGAAAGCTCTAAAAATAATAAGTGCACTTTAATTACCTTGATGATGCACTTATTCAACTGGTAAAAATAAGTGTGGAATGATGACAGTTCACACACTCAACGGTCGCTTCTTTGCTCACGTAGCGGAAGGTGCAGAGCTATTGGGCGCACATGTTGGATAACTTTATTTTCTATTGTGAAAGCAAAAATTCTCCTATGGGAGTGATTATAGCGCCTCCCGATTGTGAATGCAGGTATACTCATGGCAGGTATTATTTGGCAGTTTTGTCATTTTTTTCACTACTTTGGCAACCGTCAAACATCATCAGGGAAATGGTTTGAATTTCCACTTGGTAAAGAAAAAAACTGTTCCATTTAAGATGACACTACATGCATATACTATGCTGTGGAGTGTGTAAGTGCATAAGTACATAGTGCATACTGCATAGTGTGCCATTCGGGACGCAGCTTTAGACGTACTGCATCTGCCATTTAGTCATCATCACGTGACCTTCACATGTCAGTAGTGTCACTCCCATTCATGAATTCTCTCGTGGTGCATCATGGGATAGCACAGTGTCCATCCGATGGGCACTTCAGAATCTCACCAGAAATAGTAGGCCATCCGCGTACTTCTCGCATACTGTTTTTCAAATTGTTTAAATTTGGACATACTACTTGTGTCGCTTACTGCTTTTAGTGTACTATATAGTATAAAAGTATGTGATTTTAGACGCATCATATGTCTTCATTACATTATGGAGCTACTGCAGAAACCATGTTCGGATGAGCTAAAGCAGTGTTTCTCAACTAGTGAGTTGTTGGAACATTTTCAGTGGGTCGCGGAGTGTGCGTAGTCAAAAAAAAACAACAAAAGTTTAATTTGGAACTTATTTTGCTTATATTGGACCTTTATTTTGAAATGCGTGCACGACAACCGTACCGTTTAACATGGGAAATTTCATTTAATAATAGCAACAAATATGACAAAGCACAAGTACTACCCTGAATATGTAAAGCGTGGATTTAAATATACTGATGACAAAAAGGGCTTAAAACATCAGTGTGTACTTAGGTGCTCTCACAAGAGAGCATGAAACCTTCTAAATTAAAACGACATTTAGAAACCAAACATCCCAGTTGCAAGGACAAACCTGTGGACTATTTTCAAAGACGACTCCAATAGCTGAGGGCATCACAAAAGTGCCTAAAATCTTCATGTTTAAAACAAGTACAGGCACTCCATTCATCTTACTGTGCTCACCGTGTAGCAAAGGCCAAGAAAGCCCACACAATAGCAGAAGAGCAAAAAACTGGTGATTATTATAAAAATGGTTACGATTACGTTCTGTCAACAGGATCAGTGTTAATGTTTTATTAACAGTTCAGTTTAGTTATGGTAACTGAACTTTTTTTTTACCCTAACCACTGTTTACAGTATCTGACGCTTTTCCTCTGTAATATTACTATAATTTGGTACATTTTGTCAAACGACAGCAATAAAATGTTGTTAATGAATACAAATGAATTATCATTCCTTAAATTATATTATAGTTCCTAAAACTTTGGTTCACAGCTTGATGACCATGTAAAAATGTGGGTCCCATGGCCAAACCAGTTGAGAACCACTGAGTTAAAGTATTCAAAAATGACCACTTCTGGTTCTTGCTCTAATGATGATGTGGGGAAAAATGCAGTGCTGTTTCATCATACTTAATACATTTAAAGTACTGTTATAATGCTGTTCTGTGCAGTCTAATAAAACACACAAGCGCTATGAATACTTTCCGGATGCACTGTATTAAATCGATTGCCTTTGGCGATTCCCTGATGAACACAGAAGCAGAAATCAAGGGTGTGTGACAGCAATAGCATGAAGACAGAGAACACAGTCTCTGTTACTAGTTAAAATGGCTTATTCCTCTGGATTTGAACATTCTTTGAAACTTTTGGGATAATGCAAATACATATGTCAGCAATATGTATATTTAAAACACTGTTCTTGTGTCTTCTAAATATTTTACTGAAAAAAAAAACCCTCATATTGTGCCTTTAAACTGTGCGACTGTGCCTTTGAGCAGAGCTAATCTAAACTGTAGTAACAAGTTGGTGTAAAACTTCCTCTCCATCAATCTTGCCTCTCCCCTCCTTGCTGTGGTTTATGTGTAAACTGCTTTAATGTCTAGACGTGTTTGTCTGAGTTGTGCACTCTAAAAACTGTGCCAAAGTTAAACACTTTTCTCTTCACTTTTCTTTAGGTTTAGTTAACACTGTCTGGAACTACCAGAATTCTACCGGAAAACTACAAGACGTCATTCTGACCTTTTTGTTTTGAATTGTTTCTCACATCATATTTACATTCTAAGCTTCTATTGAGATTTTAGAATTAAGCTTTGAATGTCTGTGGTCATATTTTACTGAGGGTAAGTCATTACCCTAAAAACACTATCTTTTTTTGTAATATCTCCTATAATTGTGTACAAATTACGAGACCACCGGCAAAGGTATTTACCTCCCTTTGTCTGGAAAGTTTGAAAAACATGTCTAAAGTTATGTTTTTGTTAGTAGGAAGTTGCTAGGCAACAGATACTCAAAAGTCTTTTGTGTTTGAAAAAAAATAACAATGTTAGAAAGTAATATACTGTACACACCTTTGGGAAACGTCATGGTACTATAGTTACATGATTCTATATTGGTTATATATTTTTATTTTAACAAAGTTATTAACGAGCCTCTATAATGCATTATAAAGGGTAATATTTTAGTCTTCGGGGTCTCAATCAACAGGCTGATATGCACGCAAGTTCAAAAAACATTTTCATTGTCTTACAATATGCATTTATTTTTACCCAATTATCCCAGTGACTCCAATATGATTTGTTCAGCGATTTATTTGTTCCCAAACCATTCCTTTGCATGAGGCTAATCTGCTGTGAATGGCCCAATGACCCAGTCTGTTGTTATTGGTGGACTGGGTTCAGCGTGAGACAGAGAGAAACATCCACCACGGTTATGAAGTAGCACAGAGTATGTGAGAGATGGGGGTTAGCATTAAGAGTAGAGTAATAAGCTGGTGTTCAACTGTTTTGCTTTAATGCCTTGTGTATCCACCTGACTTCTGCACAACACAACTGATGGTCCAAACACTATTTATAAGGCAATAAATCCCACTTATTAAACCTGACAGGGCACACCTGTGAAGTGAAAACCATTTCAGGTGACTACCTCTTGAAGCTCATCAAGAGAATGTCAAGAGTATGCAAAGCAAAATGTGGCTACTTTAAAGAACCTAGAATGACATATTACCAGTTGTTTCACACTTTCCACATTTACATTTACATTTAGTAGACACTTTTATCCAAAGCGACTTACAAATGAGGACAAGGAAGCAATTTACACAACTATAAGAGCAACAATGAATAAGTGCTGTAGGCAAGTTTCAGGTATGTAAAGTGTAAGAAGCAAAACATTAGTAATTTTTTTGTAATACAGTTAGCGGTGGAGCCAGAGAGGCAATTGCAGATTAGGAAGGAAAGTGGAGACTAAATAGTTGAGTTTTCAGTCGTTTCTTGAAGACAGCAAGTGACTCTGCCGTTCTAATGCAGTTAAGGAGTTCATTTGACCAACTGGGCAGATTAAACGCGAGCGTTCGGTAAAGTGATTTCTTCCCTCTTTGGGATGGAACCACGAGGCGACGTTCATTCACTGAACGGAAGTTTCTGGAGGGCACACAGATCTGCAAAAGTGAGAGCAGATAAGAAGGAGTAAAGCCAGAAGTCGCTTTGTAAGCAAACATCAGAGCTTTGAATTTGATGCGAGCAGCAACTGGCAGCCAGTGCAAACGGAGGAGTAGCAGAGTGACATGTGCTCTTTTAGGTTCATTAAAGACCACTTGTGCTGCTGCGTTCTGGAGCAGCTGAAGAGGTTTGATAGAGTTAGCTGGAAGCCCAGCTAGTAGAGAGTTGCAGTAGTCCATTCTGGAGAGAACAAGAGCTTGAACAAAGAGTTGAGCTGCAGGTTCAGATAGGAAGCGTTGGACCTTTATGATGTTATAGAGTGTGAGTCTGCAAGATCGAGCAGTTCTAGAAATGCTTTTTTGACACTCTTATGTATATCATTACACATGTGTTAATTCATGACAGTAAAGAAAACTTTTTTTTTTGCAAACTTTTGGTCTGTACTGTACATGTTATGATCCGGAGGAAGAAGAAACTAGTAAGTTTGAACTGTAACAGTTACTAACAAAGTCCCTGACAAAGTCCCATACATAATAGTCTCTGCTGTTGCTTCCTTTAATAGCAAATGGCCGACAAATCCCATGTTGCATTGTAGGTTACAGTATCTAAAAACAGAAAAATTATAGGAACAAACAGCACTAGGTTGGCTACACTGTGGTATAGTTGTGAAAACAAACTTTAACCCTTTGTTCCCTATCTGTCAGTAATAGTCACATTTGGATCATGATCTGTCTCATACAAACAACTTTTCCTTATTCTCTAATTTTAAAAGAATCAGAAGCTCATTTAATGTTAACCTGTTCATTAAATCATTATATTTTAACTTAATGTTTTAATCTCAGGCCTAGACAACAGCATCATAAAAACTGCTTCGACTTTTTTGTGATTCACAGACATGTTAATGAGAAAGGTCACAGTCCCAAATCTCACCATAAGATAGTCGGCCCACATTTCTCGTGCAGACTCCAGCGCTGCCTGTCGAAGTTTCATGACGTAAGCATAACGCTCATTTGTCCAATCCTTTGGTCCTTCCTCATCATTATACTGACTGAGTAGGGAAAATAAAAGTAAAAAGATTCAAGAAAATGCAACTTACCGGCTCTATGAAACCACAAGTGACGGAACAAGGCAAACCTTGGTTGCTCCTTCGGCCTCCACTCCACATAATGGTAGAGTTTCTGTACGTTGATGAGCCAGTCTCGCAGCAGGTATGTGGTGTTGTCTACATTGTGGTCAGTCGCTACCCTGCCAAAACAGAAACAGTAAAAGTAATTATTAGGTTCACTTTACTGAGAAAAATGAAAGAACACTGAGTACAACCATAATAAAAGAGTTCTGTTAGTGTACAAGGTATATTTAGACCAGAAAAAGAGAAACAGAACAAAGCCCTAAAGTAAACTTGATTTCCTTACAGCTGAACGACACTAAAAGCAGAACATGGGAAGCGAAACTGCAGAGTTATCTGGTAATCGCTAAGATACAGGAGCAGAGATAAAGTAAACAGAGTTCATGTTTTGCTGTAGGTATGAATTAGACCACGCGTCCTACTTCTGGCTGGCTCTGTCTCAGCATGAACAGAGACTCTGAGTGCAACATGACATCATCGGTCCAGAGGATTCTCCTGCAGAAGAGCACGAGCAGCTGTCAGATGCAGAACACAACAGCTCTGGCCAACAACTCAACTGCAGCTACAGTACAGGCCGGTTCGGGACAGATGGTAACTAAATCAGTATTGCATAGAAAATTAAGATAAATGTGATTTTTTTTTATGTGATTAACAGCTGTAGTTTGAGTTTTTGTGTTGGAGGGTTTGGGTCATTTTCCTTTCTTTATAAAAAAAAAAAAAAAAAAAAACACTGTTGTTGGAATAGAAAATTTTTTCTAGCATTACATTTATTACTATCTATTTTTCTGTTTATAGAATTTACACTCACAGGCCACTTTATTAGGTACAGCTTACTAGTACCGGGTTGGACCCGTTTTGCTTTCAGAACTGCCTTAATCCTTCGTGGCAAAGAGTCAACAAGCCACTGGAAATATTCCTCAGAGGTAGTAAGCGCGATGTTTATGAAAAAATGGGGGGGGGGGGGGTTATAAAAAGAGGGGGAGAATGCGATGTTTATGAAAAGAGGGAGGAGAGTGATGTTTATGAAAAGGGGGGGGGGGGGGGGTTATGGGGGGGGGGGGGTGGGGGGGGGGGGGGGGGGGGGGGCAGGCCAGAAACATGATGGCAGGCAAGATATACCGCCAGGCCACCGGGAAATGTCCCAGTGCTCCCTATGGCCAGTTTGCCCCTGCCCACACCGCATCAACAAGGCATTTGCGTCCATAGAATTGCCGCTCACTGGACATTTTCCTTTTTCTGACCATTATCTGTGAATCCTAGAGTTGGTTGAGCATGGAAATCCCAGTAGATCAACAGTTTCTGAATACTCAGACCAGCCCCTTTGGCACCAACCAAGCCATGTTCAATGTCATTTAAATCACATTTTTTCTGCATTCTGATGCTCAGTTTGAACTGCAGCAAATCGTCTTGACCATGCCTACATGCCTAAATGCATTGAGTTGTGATTGGCTGATTAGAATTTTGTGTTAACGAGCTGCTAGAGAGGTGTACCTAATAAAGTGGGCAGTGAGTGAATATTTCCATTAGGATATGAACATGGCCAATTTAGTTTATCTAATTTACTTGTATCGCATGTCTTTGGACTGTGGGAAACATGCAGAGAACATGCCAACAGCATAGAAATGCCTCCTGGCCCAGCTGGGACTCAAACCACCGACCTTCTTCCAACCACACACACAAAAAAGGGGGATCACCAAATGACAGGAAGTATTTAATCCAGTATTGCTAACATTTGCATTTCAGAGCATGTGCACTAACCTATAGACCACAGCTGCCTCACGAATACAGAATTTATAAAAGCATAACTAAATATATTACTAATTATATTTAGCAAATTATATTTATTTTCAATTTACTTCAGAGTTTGACCAATCAGAATCAAGAATTCTGCGTGATGATTTATAGTAGTGTTTGCTCCATCTGCTTCCGCAGAGCACCACAAGCTGCTAAACTGACTGTATTACATGCACTTTATTTCAGTGTAGTTCACACTTCCATTCAATGTTCTAGGGCAAGACTAAGCTTCAAAGTGTTTTGTGTAACTGACACCATTAAAAAACACGACTCTTCATTCACTGGTTAGACAATGACAACTTTACAGGACAATGCAAAGATTAGCAGGAACTTTCACACATTTAGTTTTTTTTTTTCGTTTTTTTTGGGGGGCGGGGGGTCAAATCAAAAGTTTAAGGGAAAGACCTTTCCAGGCTTATTTGTAACTCTTCTGAACATGTTGTATGGAAACATTAGCTGGTGATGATTGTGGAAAAGCAATTCCTATCAAGTTGCTGGCAGACAGATGTTCACCATGACCAAAAAAATTCAACCCACGCCCACAGAACGAACAGAAAAATCTATGATTAAAAAATTGTTATATAAAATTACTAATAAAATGGCAGAATGCGCATTTAACATTTAAGTACAAATACAGCTAAACTAGTTATCATTAAATCTAGTTAATAATTACAGAATTTAGTAGAGTCTGATAAGGATTTAAATGTAAAATACACTATACCTAATATACTACTATCTATTTTAAACTAGTACTTACAATTTAACTACTAGTACCAATTGTAACATTATAATAGGTAGTGATTATTCATTAGACATCAGAACCTAATCATTAGATACTAATACTTGCAGTAGGTGATTGTCTTCAGAAGCATTTTTTGTTGTGCTGGTTGAAAGTCTATTCACAGTCTAATAGTAATGATTAAAGTAAATGATTTAAATGTATTTATTTGTATTTTTATATTATGGGTTATGCATAAAACAAAAAAATGTTCATCCAATTAAACAAAGTCGGGCCGACATCTATCATTATTCCAATAAGTAGGCCAAACTGTCTGTCAGCAAATGCAGATTTGAACAACTGCGTAGCCTTTTGTATGCAGCTCCGTCGATTGCCGTTTGTGCTGTGCATTCACTAGAGAGCACGTGCACGATCGGTAATTTTCTGAATCAATATTGTAGTTACCTTTGCACGCTGGAGAAAGGATGTCACAATGGCTGAAGGATTTCTCTTAGACAGGTAATGTTGTTTTTAAACTGTTTTAGCTTAGCGCAAAGCTGATGTAACGTTAGATGCTGTTGTTACAAATGGGTTACATCTTCACAAAAGTGTTGTTTAGCCACTAAAATCTTCCGGTGAAAGATGATAGACTATTTTCAGTTTTATAAGGTACCATTTTAAAGCATCTTTAATGTGGATTTTAATTAGTTTTATTAGTAAATACCGCTATTCCACCTAGTCTCTGCCTATATTGTTTACCATGCAACTCAAAATATTCACTCTGAAATTGCATGTCAGTTTGGCTTGCATGCTGCCGGACAAGCGCTAGTCGCTTTTACCACAAAAAGAGGGTTCTTTTGCTGTGTTCATGTTTAAGGAGGCGTGGCTCTAGACAGCAGGGGAGGGACTGTTATTCAGAGATTTATGCTAAGCTGTTAGCATTGTGGAAGATCACCTACTGCACCTTTAATTTTCACTTTAAGGTGAATTATCGCTTTAAAGTCCACATGAACTGGAAGTTGATGACACTTATTTCAGTATGTTGAAGTACTTCCTGCGGGGTATCCAGTATGCACACAGACTTTTAATTTCAGCCAGCCAGCCTCAGCGCTTCTAGTAAACTCTTTTTATTTACAAAATCGCCACATTTGAGGTGTGATTTCTTTACAAATCAATGCTCCTTACTGCACTCCTTACTGCACTATACACTACACTTACACTATAAAGTGGGTCTTAGACCGGACAAGAAGCACTGCAATAAATTGCAATAAAATATGACAGTTTGTTTTACCCCAGTATTTTCAATGAAGTTTCTGCACTCACCTGCTGATCTTGATGGCACTAGTGGTAACATGGTATTTTACCTCAATTTACGCTTGAACAACTACAATGGATGCTTTAGTCTATTTAACAGAATGTATTGGAATTCTATTACAACATTGATGCTGTAAAAGAAACAGTATGAAATTGACAATAGTCACATTAAGCTTTCACCGGAAGTTTATCATTGGCTGATAAACACTAGCTGTGCATATAATCAGCTTTATTTGTAGAGCGCTTTTACAAAGTAGATTGTGTCAAAGCAGCTTTACATAAATGGTCATGGTAAATTGGAACAGTTTAGTTCAGTTTTTAGTTAAGTTCAGTTCAGTTTAGCTCAGTTCAGTGTGGTTTAAAATCACTACTGAGAGTCCAAACACTGAAGAGCAAATCCATTGATGCGTAGCTCTACCTATCCCAAACCATGCAAGCTAGAGGCGACAGTGGTGAGGGAAAAAAAAACTTCACCAATTGGCGAAAGTGAAGAAAAAAAACCTTGAGAGAAACCAGACTCAGTTGGGCATGACCATTTTAATTTCTGCGATGGCCAAACGTCTTGTGCAAAGCTGCAGTCTTATCTGCGGAGGCTGGACGCTGGCCTCAGCGAAGAATCGTCTGTCCCTGGAGCGTCACTGGAATCAGTCTCGCGCTCTCGACTCCTCTATGACCACCGCAGCAGCTGCTCAGGATACGGCCTGCTCCAGGATATGGAAACCTTGAGATCATCTTGTCGCTGGTCTTGGATCGAATCAGTGACTGCATGGTCTGAGGGCCTCGGGAAGAGTATCCCCAGGAGGAAATGAAGAAATATAGACATATAGGTTTTCACATGACGTCATTGATGACGTGAAATTCCGATGGAGGGCAGGAAGTGATTCTTCTACCTAAGAATTGCTATCAGAACATCAAAAAGTTTCTGTTTTATGTGGGTTTTAATTTTTTTAGAGGTTTAATTGTTAAGAAGGGTGTGGTTAAAGCTACTGTTATACAGTTGCTATGGAAGCCCTTAGGTTGGCGTCAACAAAAGGATTGCCAGATTGGGCGGATTTTAATTAGATTTTCCAGGTTAAAATGGCATTGGTTGGTTGACAAGATTTGGCCGGTTTTGAAAAGTACATTTTATATGCTTCGGCATAAATGCTTGACAAAGGGCGTGTCTGAAGTTGGGGCTGATGCGATCGTCATAGCAGCGTCAGCCAATAAAGTAAAGCCTGCGATCGGCTACTGTCTGAGCTGGGGTATTTGCATAAATCGATCTGATTGGCTGAAGCTGGTGCTTAAAAAGTTGAGAATAAAGTATATGCTAAGCTAGTGTTGTTACTATACTGATAAACTTCCGGTGACCTGTTATTGTCAGTTTTTTTTTTTTTCCATCTTATATGGTTTCTTTTACAGCATCGATGTTGTGATGTCATTAAAATACAATCAGTTATGCAGACTTTGGTATTCATTTAGTTGCTCAAGCGTAAAACGAGACAAAAAGCTTGGCATGCTAGCGCAGAAGCTCCATTGAATATACTGGGGTAAAATAAATGCTCATATTATAAAGACGGGGAAACTGTAATTCAATGCAGTGCTTCTTATACAATCTGAGACCCGCTTTATATCGCATAACAGACCTTAAACGTGCCAATTTTGCATTGGCACACAGTTTACGGGAAGCACTTAACCCAGGTTACTGGCAAATAAAAGTTCTATTAGAATGCTTTGGCATATACCCTATTTTCCACCTCTGCAGCGGGCAACGTTGCTAAAGTGGTGCCGACGGATCTACAATGCAGTTCAGCAATGCCTGATGTCACCCATTTGAATTGAATGGGAAGCTTTGACGCTGATGCCCCGGTCAATGGGAGGTTAGTGCAGTTTGTGGGGGAAGTGTTTCGATGTAATCTGGTTTTGATGTGGCTCTGTGACTGCTCGAGTTATATGGTTAAAAATGATGACAGTTAAAGTAACTAGGTTACTTTTAAACTACATCAATTAAAAAAAAAAATATATATATATTAGTCTAATATTTTGGGCCATTTTATGCGGGCAAGATTCTAAAGTGCACATCCCATGCTCTCTGTGCTATCCCAAGATGCCCTGTGACAGAATTTATGAATAGGAGTGATGCGACGCAACTGACACAGGTAGGTCACGTGAACATGATGGCAGATGTAGGTCCGAATTCCATGCATACTTCTCACATTCATACTGTATAGAATGTACTTTTCTAACGGCTGAGTAGTTTGTTAAATTCAAATGCTGAGTAGTAGGCAGTTTCAGACACAGCCTTTGATTTAAGATTACTAAAACATTTTTTTTCAGAATGTAACATTAAGATGCGAATAATAGCACGTTTCCGTTACATGCACACACACTCCCATAATGCACTGCGCGGTAACAACACATTCCCATTCTTTATTGGGTGAACAGTCCCTTTAAATATTAAAGCCGCTTGCCATACCCCTGGGGTGTGTGAAGTTTGTTTCTGGAAACAATTGGGAAGCGAACAATAGAAAAAATAGCTACAGGAATGCAATGAATAAACATTGCTCACTTTTGATAAATTACAAGAAATTACCACGTAAGTTACAATTAACGCGCACATACTGCAGACATTATGACGTGTAACATTAAGACGCGAGTAAACACACAGACTCACCACAGCGCGATGCGGTCTTTCGGGTAATTGAGGCGCTCGATGGTCCCGAGGAAATGCGGCAGCGAGTGCTGGTTGTTCCGGCAGATGAGTGCAATCATTACCCGCGGGGCGAGTATTGCAGACTCCGGGCTCCAGCGCTCCTCATGGAAGTATCCTTGAGCTGGTCCGCTGTTTATCAAACAGGAGCACAAAACCGACACAAACAGCACGAAACACCGCATTGCGAAGCACAAACTAGTTACAAGCATACATGCGAGCTATTACAGCCCACAGTTACCAAGGACTAATGAGGAGGTAGAAAGTTAAAAACGGGCAACTTTTTTCCAAATATTTCCGCCGACTAAAAAGTGCCTGCATTGACAACACTGCAGATGTAAGAGTGTTAAAGGGGATGTTACTCGGTGACGTTTAAAGGGGTGGGACCCTGCAAACTGATGCTGCTGACACCGTTATAACTGTAAGGGTCGGTATAGCAGACTAGCAGTATTCTAGTGTGGATATGATATATACACAGCAAACAATTTGTGTTTAATAGACTTTTAATAGACATCTAAACGTAGACATCTTGGTTAAAACAAGGCTAAACTTGGGCTGTCAGTGAAAATCTATAATAGACATCTAAGAATAGCCTAAAACAAGACTAACGTCAGTCATCAAATAGACAGACTTAATATATACACGTGTTGTCATTCATTTCTGTTTGTCTAGTTTTTAGCCAAGACTACTATGTTAAGATGCCTATTAGACTCTCTTTCTTACATTATAATCTTTAATCCAGAGCTTTCGCAAACTTGCTTGGCATATTCACAACAGTCTACAGATAGGCTAATGCTTTTACTGGGTGATCCCTTAAAACAGTGGTTCTCAAAAATTTTTCAGTAAGTACCACCTCAGAAAAAAAGTGTCTCTCCAAGTACCACCAAATTGAGCAGTATTGAAATACAGTAGCGCAGTAGACCCAGTAAAGCAGCTATAACTCTGCACAGTAAAACAAACGTCAGAAATATAGGCTATATGTCATATATGGCATATTATATACATAATTTTTAATACATTTTGAAATATATGTAGCATGTACATGACATTTTTCATTCCTCTGCGTACCACTAGAAGGAAGCCCGCGTACCACTAGTGGTACACGTACCACAGTTTGAGAACCACTGCCTTAAAAAATTATGTTGAAAGTTATAACCTTATTAAGTTATTATAAAATATTTACTGCAATCAATGTTAACTTGGCAAAAAGGTCTTCAATAAAGAGAGATTTAATTTGTTTAAATAATTATTTTATTTTAATTTTAGACATTTTAATATATATTTAACAATTATGTCTTTATAGCGAGTCTTGGTTCAGTGAGAAATACCAATGAAATAGTGGAATAAAAAAATTAATAACTTAATTTGGTCATTAGAGATAATGAGAAATAATGCCTTGGCAACTAGCTGAAATAAAGTACATTTGGTATGTTTTTTTTATAATCTGACTTTATTTTAATTTTATTAAACTCTTTTTATAGTTTTAGCTTTAGTTTGTACAATAAACTAAATCTGATTTATGCAATGGAACTGAAAAAAAGGTAATAAAGTCTGACACGAAAGGTTCATTTTTTTCCTGCACACTGGACACAATGCATTTGACAAAATGTTTAAAACTATTCACATTTTCATCAATTTTTAATAACACGTTGCATCTATAAAAAAAGTACAATGGCAACAATGTGTTTCTTCAAAAAACAAACAAAAAAAAAAAAACAGAAAAAAAACATTTTTTTTGTTGCTATAACATAAATAATGTGAAAATAGTGAAGAATATCAAATGACAGATTATAAAAATCATGAAAGATTCGACACTGAAAAAAAGATTAATTGGATTTACATATTTTAAGGTAAGTGGTTGCAAACAATTCAAATGGGCTGAATTTAAACAAAGTTGAACATTAATCAGTTCGATTTGTTTGTTAAAAATTCAGCCAATATCAATTGTTAGCAACTAATAAATAACTAATTAATAATTATGTTGACAGCTATAACCTTATTAAGTTATTATAAAATATTTACTGCAATAAACGTTAACTTGACAAAAGGGTCTTCAATAAAGAGAGAATTTGTTTAATTATTTCATTTTAATTATAGACAGTTTAATATACAATTACAATTATGTCTTTATAGCAATTCAGCAAGAAATACCGAAGAAGTAGTGGAATAAAAAAATGAATAACTTAAGTTGGTTATTAGAGAATATGAGAAATGATGCCTTATCTACTAGCTTAAATAAAGTACATTCGGTATGTTTTTTTTTTTAATCTGACTTTATTTTTATTTTATCGAACTCCTTTTATGGTTTTAGATTTAGTTTGTACAATAAACTAAATTTGATTTATGCAATGGAACTAAAAAAAGGTAATTGTGTCTAGAAATAGTAATCAATTATTTAAAGGAAAATAGCCCTTTTAGCTCTTTGTATGACACGAAAGGTTCATTCTTTTCCTGCACACTGGACACAATGCATTTGACAAAATGTTCAAAACTATTCACATTTTCAGCAGTTTTTTAATAAAACATTGCATCTATAGACAAAAGTACAATGGCAACAATGTGTTTCTTCAAAATAACAACATTTATGTTTATTGTTGCTGTAACATAACTAATGTGAAAATAGTGAACAATATCAAATGACAGATTATTAAAATCATTAAAGATCCGACACTGAAAAAAATGATTAATTGGATTTACATATTTTAAGGTAAGTGGTTGCAAACAATTTAAATGGGCTGAATTTAAACAAATTAAGTTAAACATTACTCAGTTCGATTTGTTTATTCAAAATCAGCCAATATCAATTGTTTGCAACTAATTTATATTTTTTCCTTCCAATGAATCATTTTGCAGTGTATAACAGTAATACAATAGTAGAAGTAACTGCAGTAATTACCTTTGTGATGATTAATTTTCATAAGTGCTAAGATAACAACTTCTTAAACAGTGCTGTTTAGGGACTCCACAGAAATCCCAGTAGAGCGGCGGTGAATATTATTAGAGAAATAAATGTTTAAAAAGCATTGATATTCTTTGTTGAATAGATTGTAGGCTGTTTTTAACAGCAGATGGCGCTGAATGCTTTTACAAACAGCCATACTTTGCTTGTATCCAATTCCTTACAAATACCAGTCCAGCCTATAATAATTATAAGGGAAGTTAGAAAAGATTTAAGCAAAGTACAAGAATGTTCATAGTGAGCTGTGCTTACATTATTGTCATGACATACAAACCAAGCTGTACACTGTAAAAAAATGCAGGGTTCCACACAATTCATTCATGTTGTCCCAACACAAATTGATTAAGTTAACTTAACATTTTTAACAAATGTATATAATTTGAACATTTAAAAAGGTTGTCTCAATGAAATCTCACAATAGTTTTTTTTTGTGTACATTTGAGTGTATTGTTAAAAACTAACCTAGAGCCCCATCTGCTGTTAAAAACTGGCATAGAGCACATCTACTGTTACATAGCTCAGAACCGTTTTAAGAGAAAGTAGTGGTGCGTTTTGAAATTTGCAGAATCATTTTCTCAAATAATTTTCGCCACAGCTCTAAATACTAGCCTGTGTTTCTACAAGTTCAGTGTGCTGAGTTTAAAGTTTAGCTCCAGGACCAGGCCTCTCAACTGGAGACGTGAGTGAGGCAGCAGCCGGTTCATCCAGGAGCCAGAAAAGCTCTCCTTGGTCAGGAGAAACCAGAGCTGCTGGAAGAGCAGGCCCTTCACCACCCTCCAACACATGCTGCGGAATCACACAATACAAACTAATGGACACTTCTATCTCAAAAGGACACAGGAGAATCTTTGGTCAACGGCAGCTGTTTAACTGTGCCTTATAAATAAATTAAAATTGATTTATAAATGAAAGTGAAGTGAGACGGGTAGATCATGTAATTATGAAAGAACGGTGAAGATAGTATTTCTGAATTACATTAATGCTATATAGCAGGCACTTTTCTAATAGTCGAGAAGTAAACTCCAATTCAATTGTAGTAGCTACATGAAGGCTGATTTATACTTCTGTGTCAAATGCCGGCGTATGCTACGACGCTGATGCATAGCCCTTCGCCGTGGCCGTCGTCGTCACTGACGTGTACCTCTAATAAAATGTAACTACATGTCGCAACAACGCATAGCGCAAGCTCTGTGATTGGTCGGCTTGGTAGCGCTTGACAGCGCGCAGAAGTATAAATGCACAGCTACGTGCGTTGCATGCACCGTGGGTTACGTCGGTCACTTGACGCAGAAGTATAAACCAGGCTTGAGTCTTATGCAATTTCGAATGCAGGTTTTGTTTCATAATTTCAAATCTGTCTATATTAATGCTTATTTTAAGTATAAAACATTACCCTAAATAAAGTTTTTGTTTTATTACTCTAAATAGAAATGAGTAAGTGTCTTAACTAGTGCAAATGAGTTAGCAAATTGTGGTTTCTAACTGTAACTGGTATATTTAGCATAAAAACCATGTAATATAGTGGAGAGTTATTAATCTACTCATGCTTGTTCACTTCATCTATCATCTACTTTACATGTTGTGGATAAGCCACATGCACATAGATGATTACTCTGCTTAAATACCATCCATAATGTGTATAATTTAAAGGATTAACAACAATTAATCGATTAATTCTTAGCTAGCACAAATGTAAAATTTATAATTATAGATTAAACTCTCGGCGGTGTTTACCTTCAGTACAGGGGCTTTGCTGCCGCCGGTCGACACAAACACCACACATCGAGCGGCGTTAACCATGGGTAACGTCATAGTGACTCGCTGAGGGGGCGGTTTGGGGGAATCAGAGATAGGGGCCACTGTCTTCTGACGCTCCTACAAAATTACATAAATAATTCACACTCAAACAAAGATAGAGGGCAGAAATGTACATACCATGCTAGTTTGGGAAGTCTGGTTAGTTTAAAATATGGAAAAATAATAATAAGAACGTTTTAACATATTTCTAGCATGTTTTAACACGATGTTAGCATGATTTAACACTGAACAAAACCTTTTACAAATAAGAATTAGCATTTTTAGCATGTTAACTTTTTAAAAACAGGGCTAACATGTTTAGTACATTGCTATCACTAAACTTACATGCTAGCGTGTTCTTAAGCATATTTAAATATTTACTAGCAAAATTAACATTGCTATTTGAATTGTTATGTTGCTAACATTTAAAACTTTAACATTTTAACATCCTGTAGTATTCATAGCATGCTTACAAATGTTGCTAGCGTGGATTAACATGTTGTTAGCATGTTGTTAGCTAGTTGCTTTGCTTGTAATACATAGCTAGATAACTAAAACATATAAGGATGTTAGTATATAAATCACAAGAGGATGACTTCCTGCTTTGCTACTGTTCGGACGTCTTTGCCCACTGCTCCGCTCGTCGCACTCTTGCTTTTATATCTTATACCCTAATTTTAACTTGAGCCTATCAGCACAGTGCTCAAACAACACGGCTCAAACAAAACTTTGGCTAGTTTGGTAACCCCTGGTCTAAAGGGTTCGGCTGACAAAAAAAAGAGGTTAAACTTTATAATAAGAAGAAGTTCATGCTACACAGTGTATCCATTCATTTAAATACCGATCAATCTTAATTAACTACATATATTTACTTACTACATGGTTAGGGTAAAATAAATAAATTGACTGAAAACGTATAGATACTGTTTTGCTATGAATGTATCTGAAACCTGTAATAATGGATGATCTGGAAAGAGAGAGCAAGTGTGTCCATCTGGTCCCATTCCCAGCAACAAGACATCAAACACTGGAATCTTCTCTGTGCTAAAGGCCTAAAATTACAACATTTATTGAGGGCTATGAATTTTAAATACATACATTTATAAATTAATCATTTATATTTATTAATGAATAGAATCACACCTTGCTGAGTTTGCTGGCATAGTCCTCGGCACATTCTTTCACAGGTAAAGAAGGATCTATGGCTAAAATCCTTTCTTCTGGAATGTTGATTTTCCCAAATAATTGATTCTGTAAGACATAAACAGTAATCATTATGCATAGCTTTTCAAGCTTCATCACCATCCTTAAAGAAAAACCTGTCTGGAGGACAAGACAAAGTTCATCCTCCATAGACTGGCACTCATTGTACCATTTTTTTAACTAAATACTTAGGCAGCCCAGGCTAGAAATACAGTGTTCTGTGTTCGTTGCACGTTTCAGATTAAAAAAAAAAAATCCAGTACAGGGCACGGGACATATTTGTACATTTGAAACGTGTTACTTAGGATATGTTTTGTAGCATGTTTCAAATACACATACATCTGGTCCACACTCAAAAAACTGATTTGTTGGACTTACATTAAAAAAAAAAAAAGATTGTCAAGTGGTTCCACGCAAGTCTGTTAAGTAGTTTCTACAAGCAACAACATAGTTGAATGAACTAAAGAAACTCAGGTAAAGTTGACAAAATATTCCTTAGTAGATACAACCCATTCAGATGTGTCACTACGGCATTTTATATGTACATTTTACTAAGTAATGTCACTGTATGTTATGAACACTTTTATAATTAACTTCGAAGTATTTGCTCTATAAGTTTAAAACATTTTTAGAAACAAAATGAATTTATTTACTTTGCAAAGTTTTGCAAATATACAACTGCTAAAACCCATAAAACAACTTCAATTTCACAGGTAGACAAAAACATCAAAAATTTAACAATAAACATTCTTTACAAGGTCTGACTGACTTTCAGAATTGGTAATAATCTTACAGTAAAAAACTTTTCAGAAGAAAAAAAAACAGGTAAAAACAACATTTTGGTCGATAGTGAACAGTCTTACAATGTGAACTTCCTTCAAATATTGCAATACAAATTTTACTTTGAACAATTTCTGATATTTTAAATGTTTAAGCTGTCAAAAAACATTACAACTGGCCTCTATTTTGGAAAACAATCAAAAAAAATTGTTTATTTCAAAAAGACAAAAAATTAAACATTTAAAATGTTGGTCCATCAACAAAGACAAAATTAAAACTGGCATCTAATTTTAAAACTAAAACAATCTAAATTTCACAAAGAAAACAACAAAACATCTTCATTTAATTTTTTTCTTTGTCCAGAATGATGTACTGATTCAACCAAGAAGTTTGTTCTTAAGCATTTTGTGTGACAGTTTTTAAGCGTCAAGTCCCAGCAAAACTTTCTGGAAAAACTCTAAAGTGTAATTCAGGTTTAAAGGATAACTGAGATTTAAGCTGTATATGACTCCCAAAAGAAGAGTACAAACAATGTTAAAATAGCCAGTCAAACCCTTATTACGTAAAGCTTACAGTACTAAGTTTCTGTAGAAATAACATAGCTAACTTGTGTTAATTTAGTTAATTTTATGTTTTATGTAATGTGAACAAGCGTTGATGTAGAAAAACTAACAATAGTAAAGTTTCTTTATTTCAGTGCATATATCTGGTACAGATCACCTATTACTCGTTTCCATTGAGTGGTACCGTACGGTATGGTACGTACAGTTCGGTATGCTTTTATTATGGAGTCAGGTAAGACTCAAAAGTAATTCACACAAAAGACACGATGTACACATGCGTAGCCAAATTCACGTGCATAAAATCAAATTCACGTGCGAAAAATATTTATTTATATTCACAAAAAAATTTCAAGTGCACAAAATAAAAATACATTTTCATAAAATACGTTTCACAAATGCAAAACACCATTTGCAAATGTATAAGAGTGTACAAAAAGTTTTGAATGTTTAAAACTTGCGAGTTCTTTCTGAACGAGAAAAATTCTCTCTGCAAATCCTCTTTCACGTACGACTCCCTCTGGATACGTGTGTGTGTGTATTTTTGAGACTGTCCTGGCAGAGGCAGGGCAACTCGTACCTTTCAGCCAATTAGATGAGAGCTGTAGTTGATGACACCCACTCTGCGCTTCATTTGCGCAAACTGTTCCTCTCCAGCATGGCGAACGGAGAAAGCAACAGTCGCAGTCACACTTTTATTTATTTATTTATTTATTTGACCATAGCCTCACTCTTTTCATTCATTATTTTGCCGCAGCTCCGCTCTTCTTATTTATTGTCTCGCAGCCCCATGAGCAAAATGTAGCCTGCAGGGTAGGGCTGGGCGATTTTTCCAATTTTTTTGATTAATTCGAATTTACGTTTAAGACGATTTAATTTTGAATCAAATCGAGAAATCGCGATTTTGAATACATTATAATGGCACCAATGCGCTTTGGTTCACTCTATGAAGCAGAAGCACCACGCACCACCATGGATTTTAGAATTTTAAACAGGTTTCCATACACACACCAGCGCCGCCCAGCCACGATTCACAAAGCAGTTCATATTTCAGCCCCGCCACAGAGCGCCATCTGATTAGTTTCATGTTAAATATCTTGCGAATGTGCGCGTTTGGTGTGTGATAGTTTAAACTGTCATGTGCGCGTCTGTGTGGATTGTTAAGACATTCCCTTATCAAGTCGATAAACTCGATCTTAACATGTATGAAGGACGTAAAAACCTGCCATGAGAAAAACCGCTCCGATCTTTTGGTTTGAACACGAGCAGTGGTGAGGGCCTGTAGCAGAGAAAATGAAAATACCTGCCCCCATGACGTCATTTAGCGGACCTGGTTGAAAACCAGACAGATCACAAAGCATAATAGAGAGTGGAGCAAAGCGCATCAAATGATCGGTATTTCAAAGGGGAAAAAAGAAAAATAGATTAAATATATTATTTTATATTTGACACATCTGGTACTTGTATTTGCTCCTACTAAATGTCCACAACTTCACACATTGGGTTAAATTAGGCTTTACAGGTTCCATGTTCAGTCCTTTACTTCCACTGTATCTTTTTAAGAAAAAGGCAGCAGCTTTACAACCTGTCATACAATCAGAAGACAAAGTCAAAGCTGAGCTGATCTTTCTTAGGCTCAGCAAAACTTGCAAAAAATACCTCTGTATTCCTGCAACTGCAATATTTACACAAATATTTCTTATTCAAATCTTCAGCAACGCTGTTTAACTCGTGAATTTGTTATACATTTATTTACACCTTGACCTATTTTTGTATGACATGGCCATTAAAAATACAATGTTCCTTAACCAGATGGTTTTTCAAGTTACTTATAAAAAGAATGTTACTTCAGTCATGTTGTTGCAATGTTTTGAGAAGACTAGTAACACAATTAAAAAAAAAAAAAAAAAAAAAAAAAAATCGAAATCGTGAATCGGTCAAACTTTATAAAAAACCCAGATTTTTTTTTTGGCAAATCGCCCAGCCCTACTGCAGGGTAAGGATGCTGTAACTATCATTCCGGCCACACAAGCGTAACAGTGCCATTGTGGTCTAGTGGTCAGCACGTTGCGTTACGACACCGTCGATCTGTGTCCGATCCTCACCAGAGTAAATTTGTGTATAAAGCATCTGTTTAGAAGGAAGTGCTGCTCATAGGATATGTGAACTTTGAATGCAACTTTCTGACAGTGGAGACACAAGCCAGATAAAGGTGAATCGTACAGAACTGTACCGTACCGTACTGTACCACTCATTGGAAATGAGGCACTAGTGAACCACTGACCTAAACCTTTCTCTAAACACATCTAGTAATGTTTTCAAAAGCAAACGTAGGAGAAAACTGCACTGCGGCCATGTAGTTTTACATTGCTTTTCTCTCTTTTAGTGGATCCGTGATTCACCAGACTTGAACCTGAGCATTTTCCATCACAGGCACAACATCATACATAGTGAGCTACTGAGCAAAAGTTATCTATATGGAGATAGATAAGTGAGGAAAATGCATTTGATTACAAATCACAGACACTGATAAGTTGTTTTCTGATTTTTTGTGTAAGAAACTGCAAGAAAATAATCCTTTATTTGTCGATAAAACAGCCTTGTAAATATCATTAGTGTGAAAAGGAGCAAAAAATGTTGGCGTTACACTGCCCCAATAAGCCTGTGTTGGTATAAGGACCAAATCAATATACACTTTATAGAGGGCGTGAGCTACATACAGCAATGCAGATAAATGTTATTCTTAAAGGGCCATGAAACCCCCTCGTTTCAGCAGGGTGTTTTCACACCTCTACTTTCGAAAAAGTCAGAAAAGTGGGCGTGTCCAGCTCTGTTTAGGGGGGAGTGTCGGAGGAACTAAAGTGGGATGGTGTGGGAGTGTCTATTTGTGCACGCGCGAGTTTCAGAGTCAAAATACACACACACACAGACAGGAGAAAGCGATGGTGTTTAACCTACATGGACATCTGTAGTCGAATTATTTGCTGAATTAATAAATGTTGGACTTTAACTGCAGTTTGGCTCTTTCATTCAGGGAATTCATTCATGCCCCTCGCGACAAACGCGATATTTGATTCGAGGATCTGCTCTAAGCGTGTATTTTTCATGCAATGTTTGATACCGCACGGCGAATGAGAGAAAAAAAAACTCAGCATTTCCCGGAAACTTAGATGCACACGGCAGGTAGCGTCAGAAAGCCGCGTGTGTTATTCCGGTCACTAAATGCGGTGCTAACAAGTTTGCACTCAGTGCTATAGTTAACTTAATTCGATATGAACAAACTGAATAAACAAAGAGCACTGGTCGCTCACTTACCAAATCTGTAGAGACAGGACAATCACCAGCAACTAGAGCCGCGTCTTTATGGAGAGAATACTACAAGCAAATCCAGATTTCAGCGTTTGCAGATGAGAACAGCTCTCAGGTAAACAATAATCCTCCTTAGACACGTAAGTTATTGTTGTCGAGCGTCGCGTACACTGTTAATCCACACGTGATCCAGATAAGCTCTCACAGAGAGAAAATGAAAACGAAACTTAACGGCAGCAAACTATAAAAGCAACACTTCACGCTTGTTTTGCCAACACAACGTGGCGTCTTTGTGGTGTAAACACGGTGACACTAATGAATATTAATGAAGTTGCACAATAGAGCGCGCTGATTGGTTTGAACCAAGCCTTACTCATGCATTAATGTATCACACTGTAAGACGTAATAAGACTCACTCAGGCACAGACGTCCAGTCTGCATGCTGGAATACACGCTATTATGTCATGGCCGTGACGCAGCTTCAAAAATTCGTTTCAAACAGGAAGTACGAATTTGCTTGAAATAATGCAAAAACAACCAATTTACACTTTTCAGTGAAATAAAGGTGTCCTAATAGTGTTTTTAGCAGTGTGGGACACATATACGACTGTCAAAAGCTCAAAAAATGTGTTTTGGTGTTTCGTGACCCTTTAATGCATAATTACAGTGATGTGCAGTAATGAATTCAGTACACAAGGTAGCAAATATTCAGACCAAGGCCAAGACTTTTCAACACAGAAGGAAACAAACTAATCAGATGTGGAACATACATAGGTAAACAAAATGTTTTTGGATCCTAGTATGATTGTAGTTAATTCACTGAAGTCACACGAACTGTCTCTTTCCAAACTTTGAACATCTTTGAACCATACTGTCTATGGAGGATGAGGGAGCTCTCTAGGGCTGCAACAACGAATTGATTAAATAGATAAAAATGGATTACTGTCTATGTCTATGTCTAGGGCAAATAACATTTTAAGGGATCCAACCCACCCTGGCCACAGCCTGCTCATGCTCATGCCATCAGGCAGGCGTTACAGAAGCCCGAGGAGTGCGGTTTAGTTTTTATCCTGTCATTATAAGACTTTTGAATAATACCATTTCTTAAGCATTGTTGATAGCTAGTGTTAAATAATAAATTAGTTAAACTAGCATAACTTGTTATTGTTACAACAAATGGTGAAATAGGTATTTAAGTATGAAGTTATTCTCTTCAGAGATTTTTAAAAATAGGTTATATCTTATATAACTATATATTTATATTTTTATTGAATCATAAAGCTTATTTATTATGTTAGGATTTTATAGTGTTTGTATAGTGATGTTTTTAATGTTCTTGTTGGGTCTGTTGCAACGTAATTTCGTTTTGCATTACAATTCTATTGTGATGTGTTGAATGACATAAATAAAGGAAACTGAAACTGAACTGAATTACTGAAAACGCTGGCAACAAATTTCATAATCGATTTGTTGTGTCGCGCTACTCGGGGAAGTTTGATTATTAAAAAACCCTTTAGTTCAGTGCGGTGCTGATGTTTTACTTGTTATCCAGCTTGACAAGCACGACAAGTTAGCGTTAGCACGTTTACTTTTAGAGCGCAACTGAGAAAATCAAACTGAGCTTTGGCACGGTGTCTGGCGCTGAGCAGAGCTCTTAGTAAGGGGCCGTCTGAAAAGTGCTTTTTTTTTGTAAACAAAACTAACTTAACACCGCTGAGAAAGACGTATCATATTATCATAATTATGCAGCATTTTAGCGGGCTTATGCTTAATTTGTTTTAGACATCTTAATACACACACATACTAGTAAAACAATGCATTTAGAGTTTGTAAAACACACAAGGAAGTCGAACAATCCATTCAAATATAATTTACCGATGTGTTTTATTTATATCAGATACAAATTACACATAGTGAAAGTAACTAGGTTCACCAGCCACTTACTTGCATGAGTTTGAGGAGTAACTGAATTTACATGCTGAATCCTGCATGTTCTGCTTTTTATGAATAAGGCAAACGTGCGGCCGCAAGTAGACATGGCGATGACCATCTCATGTTATAGATCACGATCACTTACACGTTTATGTGAACTAGTAAAACTTCTGTTTGAGATTATGTCTTATTAAGATTATTTTTCTTACTAAATTCACAAATAATTTAACTTGTTTTAAGCAAACAATCACCTAATTTTGAGGTGTTGTTTTTAGAAAACAAGACATAATTTCTTATGCTATTTCATGTGTCTAGTCAGTATCTTAATTTAAAAAATATTTCGATATTTGGATTGAAAACAGGAAAAAACTACTTAGTTTTTTATTTTATTATTTAATTATTATTATTATAACAGCTCAGGGATGAGCTTTCTTTGAATAAACGGTTGGAAATTAATGTTTTTTTTAATCTGACTCATCAATTAAACGAAAAAATAATCAACAGATTAATCGATTATTAAAATCGTTATTTTAACGTAAAAAAATGTTATTTTTAGGCCTAGAGCTCTCAGATTTCATCTAAATATCTTTGTGTTCTGAAGATGAACAAAGTTCTCATAGATTATAACAACATAAGGGTGAGTAATTAATTACACTTTTTATTTTTGGGTGAACTAACCCTTTAAGCTCTGTGTTTGAGTATTCAAATATATATATATATATATATATATATATATATATATATATATATATATATATATATATATATATATATATATATATATATATATATAAAATATTCAATAATATATCAAAATATTGAGAGACTACATGTTTGCATAACAAACTATCAGTCTTTCTAATATGTGCAGAGTTACCTTGTATAATCCATAAGTGCTCTCTGGATCACTGAATGGCACAAGTCTCTCATCACAGAAGCCAATAAGCCACTTGCTGCAGTCCAGGTTTGGTACAGCAGGCAGTTCTTTACTCAGTATAGAAACCAGACTCCCTCCTGAAAGACCCAGAGAAAAGCAGCTTCCACCGGAGCTCAGAGCTTTTTCTGCTCGAGAGGACAGCAGCTGAGCCAGACTAGACCCGAGCTCCCCCACTGAAGAAAAAACCAACACTCTCCTTCCAGACATCACTCTCTGAAATCAAGGAAAGAGAATCATGATTATAAAGGGACATAAAGGAACATTTTAAGAGCATATATTATGCAAAAATCACTTTAATACAGGGTTTAAACCAGGGGTCACCAAACTTGTTTCTGGAGGGCCATTTTCCTGCAGATTTTGGCTTCAACCCTAATCAAACACACCTGAACAAGCTAATCAAGGTCTTACTAGGTATACTTGAAACACCCAGGCAGGTGTTTTGAGGCAAGTTGAAGCTAGACCCTGCAGGGACACCGGCCCTCCAGGACCGAGATTGGTGACCTCTGGTTTAAACAGTTGTGTAGAAGCAGTCTGTAAATTTAACCGGCATCTAATGGTGAATATGTATTCATTTCATTTTCTATATTCACACAATTTTGCTGCGTCCAAATCTGCATACTATCCTTCCTAAATAGTATTTGAAAATAGAATTAGTATGTCCCAAACCATAGTATGTTGAAAAGAGCATTCTCGGATGGTTTGCTATTTAAAAAATTTAAGTGTAGAAGCTTCCATACTCTAATCGCTGATACTGCCCACAATACATAGCGCATTGGACACAAATTCAATGAGAACTGCAAACGCGTGTGATAAACTACAAACATGATGGACGCAAGACCAACCGTCAAGTAGAGAGGCTTCGGTAAAGATGTTTGAATGACTGTTAGTCAATATCTAGCCCACTGGAAAATATTAAAATCACGTTTTCTGTGTCATATTTCATCTGCAACAACAATACTAAACTTATATAAAGACGAGTTTGGACGTCTGAATGCGTTTTACAGTAATCATCCAAAGACCTGAGGAGATTTTTTTGCATGAAAGACTCATGAATGGCAGATTAACCTGCTGCTTCTTCTCTAATAGGGTAGGTAATTAAATATGGGATGACTGGCAGGGGGCATAACTAAGCAACACAACGGAACTAGTATGTCCCAAAGCTTGCATACTCTTCTGTTGCACACTCAAAAGTATAAACTTTTACTTCACAAAAAAAGTACATACTTTTAGGCCGTTGTATAAGTATGCGAATTGGGACGCAGCAATTCTCTTTTTGTATGTGTCATCAGAGGGGGAAAGCCCCACCTATTAGCAGTGTTGGGCAATAATGCATATAGTAATGTGTTATTGTAAAAGCATTCATTTTGACAGTAACTAATACTGTAATGCACTACTTTTTAAATATAGTAACTTAATTAGTTAATTATAACATATCCTAATAAGTGCATTGTGGAATTGGGAGATGCCAACCAACCACCGTAAAAAAAGAAAGAAAAAAAGACACATCGTGTATGAGGCACCAGACTGGACAAAAGTCAAACTAAAGCAAAGACTGAATGCACGCGAGGTGCACGAAGTGTGTGCACAAGAGAGACTGGATGTGCACAAGAGAGGCCGGATGTGCACAAGAGAGGCCAACCCTGTGTCAGAAACTGCATACTACCATACTATATAGTACGCTAAAATCGGTATGCGAGCCGAGTAGTATGTCCGAATTGATGGAATTCGAAAATCAGTATGCAAGTACCTGGATGACTTACTACTTCCGGCAAGATTCTGCACACTGCGCTATCCCATGATGTACCGCAAGAAAATTCATAAATGGGAGAGAATCAACACAACTGACACAGGTAGGTCACGTGACCATGACAAAATGGCAGATGTAGTACGTCCGAATTCTATACATACTGTATAGAACGTACTTTTCTAATGGCCGAGTAGTACATTTAAATTCAAATGCAGTACCTACTGAACAATAGGTAGTTTCGGACGTAGTTTCCATGTGTAACGGTAGTTTCCATGTGTGCTTGCGAGAGAGCAAAAAATGTTTTTATTTATTTTTTAGTTGCTTGTTTATTTTACAGGGACAATACACCTGACATATTTTTACAAAGACAACCAATGTTGTGTACATAGGGCATATAGCATGAAGTTAATTTGCAGTCCTCATCCCTGGTTAGGATTTACATTAAAAAATTAAAAACAAATATATACATTTATTGTATAATGATGGTTTGTTCTGTAGACTATGGAAAAAAAATTGTACATGGCTTAAGGGGGCTAATAATTTTGACCTTTTATTCTAGCTGAAATAAAGCAAATAAGACTTTTTCCAGAGGAAAAAAAATTATCAGACATACTGTCATTATTTGAGAAATATTAAAAAAAAAAAAAGAACAAAAATTCAAAGTGGAGCTAATAATTCTGACTTTAACTGTACATAGAGCCACAAATATAAAATATAAGTCAGTCTGCACCCTAAGGGGAAATGTAAACCTGACCAATTTGAAAGAATAATACTTTCTGTTCATGTTTATATTCTCTCAGCTTTACAGAAAAAACAGATTTTAATTTTAAACCAACAGGCATGGCATTCCATGTGAACCTTTCACTGAAAAGGATGACTCACCGATAGTGGTTCTGCATCCGCAAATTCTACAATTCCTACTTACTGCCCCTCTAGTCTCTGCCACATCACTGCTGAATTTATTAACTAACTCACTGACTACTTTAGGGGCAAAACCATGTATACACTTAAACATGTTTTTTAAAAATTAAAACTTAAAAAGTAAATAAATACATAAATAAAAACTTAAGAATTTGGCAATGAAGCTGCACGGTGGTGCAATGGGTAGCATGCTGGCCTCACAGCAAGAAGGTTGCTGGATCGAGCCTCGGCTGAGTCAGTTGTCGTTTCTGTGTGGAGATTGCATTTCCTTCCCATGTTTGCGTGGGTTTCCTCTGAGTGCTCTGGTTTCCCCCACAAGTCCAAAAACATGTGGTGTATAGCCGAATTGTGTGAACTAAATTGACCATAGTATATGTGTGTGTATGAGTGTGTATAGATGTTTCCCAGTGACGGGTTGCAGCTTTTACACTGCGTAAAAAATTATTCTGGATAAGTTGGGGTTTCATTCCGCTTTGGCGACCTCAGAATAATAGGAGGACTAAGCCAAAAAGAAAATGAATAAATGAATGTATGAATGAATTAGCAGCTTTCTGGTGCTTAGTTTCACCAAATTGCTTCTGAATGGTAATTTAGATTATTTTCATTTATTCATTCAATCAATAATTAGGGGTTGCCACAGCAGAATGAACAACCAACTATTCCAGCACGTTTTACGCAGCGAATGCCCTTCCAGTTGAAACACATCCCTGGGAAACCCACCTATACGCACACTCATTCACACTCATCAACAACGGAGGCCTACTCAATTTACCTGTACCGCATGTTTTTAGACCTGTGGGGAAAACCGGAGCACCCGGAGGAAACCCACACGAACACAGGGAGAACATGCAAATTCCACACAGAAACGCCAGTCGAGGCTCGAACCAGCGACCTTCTTGCTGTGAGGCGACAGAACTACCTACTGCGCCACCGCGTCGCCTATTTTCATTTATTTATTTTATGAAGTTTATTTTTTGTTTGTTGTATATTGTTGCTAGTTTTCGAACTTAAGGTGTGACAACACAATCTCACGGCAATTCGTAACTTTTTGATTTAGTGGCTAATTCGTATGAATTCGTACGATCTAATTCGTACAATTTAGTACGATTTGCTCATCCTCCAATGACGGTTGGGGTCAGGTGCCACACCTCCTTTTTAAAATCGTACCATTTCGTACGACTAAACTAGTACGAATTAGCCACTAAACTGGCAAAACGTAAAATACTTACGCTTTTTCGTGAGATCAGGCTGGGTGTGAAGTAACATGTTTAAGGGTTAAATACAACAACTTTTATGATGCTGAAGCAACTTTAGTTTTTTGTTGCTGAATATATTGTTTAGCAGGTTTATCACCTTGTGATTTTTATTTTTATGCCGCTGTTCTGACTTTAACAAATTAATGTTTAAAAATGACTGATTATTTAAGCCTGTTTTGTGTTTTAGTTGTGAGAATGCAAATTGATTAAAACTGTAAAGCTGATCAAAATCGTTTTCTCATGCAGCACTGAAGTGAGGTTATAACGGCATTAATGGGAGCATTAAAATGTTCTCTGGAAAGTAACTCAAAAATTACTTTTAACAGTAATGCATTACTGTTTGGTGTAATCAATAAAGTAATTGAGTTACTTTCTGAATTAAGTAACTAGTTACTGTATTTCAGTAACTAGCACAAAACTGCCCATTAGTAACAATCTCTCCCTCTTTAGCATAGAACGTTAGTCTTGTTTTTGAATGACAGATAATACATTTGTAGTTCTGCACTTTTAAATTTTTTTTAAAAAAAAAGCAGGGAGCAGGGAGCACAATCTCATTTGAATTTAAAGTGAGTCCCCAAAATGGGCCAATTAGGATTAAAACCTAAGAGAGTCAGTTTCAAAGAGTTTAAAAACATTATTTGTGGCGTATTTTAAGCTGAAACTTCACATGCAAATTCTAGGGACATCAGAGACTTATTTTACATCTTGTAAAGAGATGCATAATAGGTCCCCTTTAGTTAAATGACACAGCAGAACTCAAAATACAACGACAGTATTAGCATGACTAACAATAAAAAGGTTTTTACACCTGGTTTATAAAATAAACAATGATAAGTTAAGCTTCTGCAGTAAGCAGCATTGGTGTTTGTTAAAACCCTGTCTAATCTGTTTGGGCAGTGCAGGTGAGAGGTGAAATGAATGAATCAAGAAAGAATTGTAGTCGTAGTTGCAGCACTAAAACGCCTATCGATAAACACTACCAATAATAGCAGGTCAGAAAGATGCTTCCCGCTTTTACAAATTTTTTTACTGACTTATGGATACTGTAAAATTTGCACATTTACTTTGCACTCACCGCGGAATGTTTTCTTAGCAGGCTACCTTCAAGAGTTCCTCGTGCGATCTGACCAACATCCAATCACAGCGAGTGTTGCCTACTGATGCATTCTGGGCAACGTAGTGCACACTTTAATCGAGCCCTTGTGGAATCTGTAAAGATTCATTATCGTTTATGTTTTATATGCTATTTTATTTATTTATTCAAGTCCCGTAGCCAGCCAACTGAAAAGCGTGGTTCTATATATATATATATATATATATATATATATATATATATATATATATAAAAGTGGATCTTTTTGCAGTAATTCTACCAATTTAATGGGCATTCTACCATTGTTGTAATAGTTTGAGCATTAATCTTTGCTGCATTAGCTTGTCAGACGGTGAGCATAACTACATATTTTGAAGCAACAAAGTTGTTTCCTACAGTTTTGTCAAAATGTTTACCATTCTAGAAATGTGCATTTGAACTGTGAGTTATTAGTTTATAAATAATGTATTGAGATTAGAATTTTAATTTTTTAAAAATACAAACCTATCATCATGCATGATTAACAAAATCAAAATGGAATATGTTAAAACTTATTAAAAACCAACTAAAAACATAATAAAAACTGTGGCCAGTAGGAAAATAACAAACTGGCCAGCTCATTTCCTCAGTCAGAATTTGTACATTTGAATAATTAAAAATTAAATTTGTCTTAAAGCCTTCTTCTATCAGCTTCTTTGGCAATTTATGATGGCATACTGTCAAAAATATTACAAATAATTTCATATAGGGGCCAAAATCCAGACTTTATCAGGGGAGGTTGACAACCAAAAAAAGGTTGACTTTCTGGAGATCATGATACATTTATTTTTCCAGCAGAATTTTGTGAAGAACAGTTTATTTTTAATTCTAAATTTTTCTACTTTGATTTTCTTAAATGCACGATTAATTGCTAAATTTAAATTAATTATATATTACTGTGTCCTATAGAGCTATGCACATTCATATAATATAATATAATATAATATAATATAATATAATATAATATAACATAATATAATATAATATAATATAATATAATATAATATAATATAATATAATATAATATAATATAATATAATATAATATAATATAATATAATATAAACTATGGCGTACTCAATTTATATATTTATAATAACATCCTCAGAATTACAATTTATATCTGCAATACTTCTTTTTTCATAGACTGTAAATAAATAAATAATTTATATAAAAATTAATGATTATAAATACTTTTAATTATTAAAATAAATAGTTATAAGCAATAATACATAATAAATAATAAGTAATATTAAATAAACAATAAGTAATGCATAAACCTTTTTTAAAAACTACTCCATTTCAACAGATGGCGTTAGTGCGGCACCTTCACACAAACCACTAGCAGCTACATGTACACGAAAACAGTAGGAAAGGGAACCTCTTGAGTTTAAAATGAACACTGAACAACCTTAAGTTAAAGAAGTATAACACAGATCACTGTCAGCAGCAGAATCAGCAGAGGCAGCTACTCCTGCATATCTACATCAGACAGTGGCTTCTGTGCGGTAGTTTGTGGAGATGGTGTCCACTGTCTCCTCTTTTGAGAGTCAGCTGCTCTCCATCATGGAAGCAGTGGTGCGGACGGCGGTGCTGGAGATCCGTAAACTGGTGGATGTGGAGCGGGAGCTGCTGCGGGCGGAGGTGAGCCGCGGCCGGGGGGAGATCAGCGCCCTGAGGAGGAGACTGATGGAGCTCCAGCCCCGGACAAACACAACACACGCTCATTCCTTTACTGCTGTCAAGAGGTACTTGAGCTTAAATGATGTGGTGTTTATGTAAAATTTAAGTTAATTTACTTGAGATACAGCCTAACTAGTGTTTTTATGTTGGGTTGAGAGAGTTAATCTTAAAATAGAAGTATTACGTATTAGTGTTCAATTTACCTACAAAAAAATACTGTAGAAATTTGCTTTTGAATCGTATAGTAAAGTGTATTATATGTGTATTTACAACCGTTTGTTAATGAATGAATGCTATAGTATACTGTAGGATTACGAACTTAAATGTAATAGTTTAGTTTTACTACAGTAAACTGGTGTTTTATTGTATAATGTAGCTGTAGTTGTAGAAATCTACAGTATTTGGGGATTTGTTTGCTATAGTTGTTGTGTTACTTCTGCTACCATAGAATTACCACAACAGATTAAAGGGGTAACGTTAGTTCACCCAAAAATGAAAATTAATTCAATCATTAATTTGTGCTGCCTTTTCTTATTTCAAAGCCTTATAAGCTTCTTTCTTCGTTCAAACACAAAAGAAGATATTTTGAAAAACGTTGGAAACTTTTAAGTATTGATTTCCATAGTATCCATAGTTTATGATAACCTTGGATAAAAATATCAGGGTTTCACGTTATTGTGCTCACTGCTCTATAATATATTCTTCTTAAATGTATGGGTAAAAAACAAATACTTTTTTCCCTTTGGAAATTAATATATTTTGTTTTTTAAAAGATTTATAATAGTTTGACTTAACAGTAACAGTAAACATGTAAGGCTAAACAATTCAAAATATTAATTGACTTCTGTCTTCATTTGTTTCAAAAACACTGATCTTAACTATTTAAAATGCCATCTTTAGTTATATTTTGGATATTTTTTCTGCTGAAGTTACTGTTGTCCTAAAAACAAAACAAAAAAAAAAACAACATAAAAAAGTAAATAAAAAAATCTTACACATACCTTAGGAACGGTATAGCAGAAGATCTTGGGGGTTTTAAAACCTTGACTTTTTCAATTAAAGGTTACCTTAAACACGCTTATCGTCCCATGCCTAATGGACAACAATGGTTACAGGTTTTCAGCATTCTTCAAAACATCTCATAAAAGTTTAAAATCCCTTGTTGAGGAGTAAATAGTGAGTCAGTTTTTATTTTGGGGTGAACTATCACTTTAATTCAAGTACTTTATTAAAGTTAAAAAACGCGATAGTATTTACTATAGTATTGTTTCATGAGGGTTTGCTTAAAATTGTTGTTTTGTCTGCTACTATACTTCTGTGTAGTTGTAGAAATCTACAGTATTTGGGCATTTGTTTGCTATAGTTGTTGTGTTACTTCTGCTACAATAGAATTGCCACAACAGATCAAAGGGGTAGTTCACCCAAAAATGAAAATAAATGAACGTATTAATTTGCGCTGACTTTTCTTATTTTAAAGCTTTATGCGCTTCTTTCTTTGTTCGAACATACAAGAAGATATTTTGAAAAATGTTGGAAACTTGTAACTATTGATTTCCATTGTATCCATAAATTTTTATAACTACGGATGCTAGGCATGGGCCGGTAAGATTGTGATGGTATGATAACCTTGGATAAAAATATCAGGGTTTCACATTATTGCGCTCACTGCTCTATAATATATTCTTTTTAAATGTCTGGGTAAAAAACAAAAACTTTTTTCCCCTTTGAAAACAATATTTCTTTTGAAAGATTTAAGATAGTTTGCAACAGTAAACATGTAAGGCTAAACAATTCAAAATATTAATTGACCTCTGCTGTCTTCATTTGTTTCAAAAACACTGATCTTTACAATTTAAAACACCATCTTTGGATAGTTTTTCTGCTGGAGTTACTGTTGGCCTAAAAACAACAAAAAAGAAAATAAAAATCTTACACATACCTTAGGAATGGTATAGCAGAATATTTTAGCGGTTTTAAAACCTTTTTTTATTTTAGTACTTAACTATGGTAAAGTAGAAAAAAACACTATAGTATTTGCTATAGTATTGTTTAATGTGGGTTTTCTTAAAATCGTTGTTTTGTCTGCTACTATACTTCTATTTTTGTGTAGTATTAATGCTTTTTTGTAAGGAATAATTGATAATGGTTCTGAAGTATTGCAAACTGTAATAGTTTAGTTTTTACTACATTAAACTGTGGTGTTTTGGTGTATAATATAGCCTATAGTTGTAGAAATCAACAGTATTTGGTCATTTGTTTATATTACTATAGTTGTCGTGTTACCACTGCAACTATAGAATTATCACAACAGATTAAAGGGATTTAATAAAAATGAAAATTCATTAAATTCGCTCTGCCTACTTGTTTCAAACCTTTATGAACTTATTTTAACACAAAAGAAGATATTTTGAAAAATGTTGGAAACTTGTAACTACTTATTTCCATAGTATCAAGTTTTTTTCTTACTATGGACACCCATGGTGACAAGTTTTCAGCATTCTTCAAAATATCTCATAAGTCTCATAAATGCTTAAAATCACTTGTTGGGGAGTAAATAGTGAGTACATTTTATTTTTTGGGTGAATTATACCTTTAATTCAAGTATAGTTCAAAAACACTATAGTATTTTCTATAGTATTGTTTCATGTGTGTTTGCTTAAAATGGTAGTTTTTTCTACTACAATACTTTTATTTTTTTTAGTATATATGCTTTATTTTTTGTAAAGAACAATTGATAATGGGATGTTTAATTCTTAAAAAATAACACAGCACACCTGAGGTGGTGAAATGGCCACACTGTGAATTAATGTGCTCATTATGGTTACCACACCTAAAGACATTGCTTATTGTCAGGTTTTTGTCTTCAAACAGCTTCTGTGTGTAGGATGGTTTCTTACACATCTCATCTAATGCTGATAATAACTTTTTTTTTTATCTAGTTAAATTTATACTAGTTCATTATTATCTAGTGAATGTGCCCAAGAAGATGTTCGCAATCATTTGAACATCCGAAGAGGTGAGGTCTTTTTGGGAGAAAGCCCATTAATAATTCAGCAAGACCAAGTAAGTTTTCCTTATTGCCTGATAATATTTGTAAAAGCTGTCACGTTTTAAGATATAATGAAAGATATAATGTCATATCAAGCTACCAAAGGAGATCCCGCAGCAGAACTGTGAGATAAACCAGCCGATTATTGTGGTAAAGGATGAGCCACATGAAGTAGATGTTTGGACCGGTCAAGGCAACAGTGAAGAGGGTAAGTATTTCAGCTGTGGGGAAAAATCGTTCGATTGAATTGATTCTACATCAATTATGACATTTTTAAAATGCTTTACTGTGTCTCTTGAACCATTCTCTGAACTTAGTTTTTAACCAACAGATTGCACTCTAGAACAGTTTTTAACAGCAGATGGGGCTCAAGGATAGTTTAACAGTAGATGGCGCTCTAGGCTAGTTTAACAGTTGACAGGGCTCTATGCTAGTTTTTAGCAGCAGATGGCGCTCTGGGCAAATTTTTAAATGCAGATGGCAATCTAGGCTTGTTTTTAACTGCAGATGGCGCTCTATGCTAGTTTTTATTTGCAGATGGCGCTCTAGACTAGTATTTAACAGCAGATGGCGCTCTAGACCAGTATTTAACAGCAGATGGCGCTCTAGACCAGTATTTAACAGCAGATGGTCCTCTAGACTAGTTTTTTTACCAGCAGATGGTGCTCTAGACTAGTATTTCTACAGCAGATGGAGCTCTAGACTAGTTTTTAACAGCAGATGGCGCTCTAGACTAGTTTTTAAACAGCATATGGCGCTCTAGACTAGTATTTAACAGCAGATGGGGCTCTAGACTAGTATTTAACAGCAGATGGCTCTCTTGACTAGTATTTAACACAAGATGGCGCTCTAGACTAGTATTTAACAGCAGATGGCGCTCTAGACTAGTATTTAACAGCAGATGGTGGTCTAGACTAGTATTTAACACAAGATGGCGCTCTAGACTAGTTTTTAACAGCAGATGGCTCTCTTGACTAGTATTTAACACAAGATGGCGCTCTAGACTAGTATTTAACAGCAGATGGCGCTCTAGACTAGTATCTAACAGCAGATGGTGCTCTAGACTAGTGTTTAACAGCATATGGCGCTCTAGCCTAGTATTTAACACAAGATGGCTCTCTTGACTAGTATTTAACACAAGATGGCGCTCTAGACTAGTATTTATCAGCAGATGGCGCTCTAGACTAGTATTTAACAGCATATGGCGCTCTAGACTAGTATTTAACAGCAGATGGTGCTCTAGACTAGTATTTAACAGCAGATGGAGCTCTAGACAAGTTTAACAGCAGATGGCGCTCTAGACTAGTTTTTAAACAACATATGGCGCTCTAGACTAGTATTTAACAGCAGATGGGGCTCTAGACTAATATCTAACAGCAGATGGTGCTCTTGACTAGTATTTAACAGCAGGTGGTGCTCTAGACTAGTATTTAACAGCAGATGGCTCTCTTGACTAGTATTTAACACAAGATGGCGCTCTAGGTTAGTTTGTAACAGCAGGCAGCGCTCTAGGCTAGTTTTTTTTCCACATGAATTGCAAGTGAGACGGAGGAAATAATTCATAATCATAAGACATAATCTTTAAACCAATGACTTCTATTAAAAATGTTGACAGAGGTTTTGTGACATACTGTAATAATAACAGCGGGCGATAATTAAATGCATATTTTCTGTGGAGCGATTGATTTGAGGTAGCCTGATATTTTTATTTGACGGAAGAAATAAAAACATGATTGGAAAAACATCATATGCCAGTTTTTGTTTTGCCCTCTAAATTTGTCATTTAAATGAAAAATATCTAGGGCAGGACTATTTATTTCATTTTTTTCACTAGTTTATTCTTTTTTCCATGCTTTTGTAAACATTGCAGGTGCGTGAAGATGCTCTGTTGTCATGTTCTGTAAGCTGCTTTTCGCATATTAAAAATATATACTTTTTAAATGCAATATTTAATGTCAAACAAAATATACATGTCAATTATTTTTTTTTAAATTGAATAATAATCTTATAATAATCTGACCAGTCAACGGTTAAAATTCAGTTAACAAACAGCGATTATCGTTGGCAAAATGAACCGAAATGAGCATCCATAAAACTCAGCTTTGTTAACGATTAGACAGAATAGATTTAAGAGAGAATAGCGATGCATTTTTGATCATGTCAGCTTGAATGCAGTATCTATTTCTCAGATTTTTCGCCACAGCTCTATTAGTTTAGAGCAAGCTGTTGGATGATGGATTATAAATTGTTCATAATATCCTACCATGATAAGTACACTTACAACTCTTTCACTTAACCACAGGAACCCACAGTGTCGAAGTCGTGTGCCTTTCACCCATAAAGGAAGTGCTTAAAACTGTTCCTTGTATTGACAGAGGAAGTAAAGAAAACACATCAAAAGCTGAATCGCCAGCCCTGAACAGAAACAGCCCACCTGCAATAATGCCGTTGAACCAAATGGTGCAGTCGATCTCAAAAAAAGGTATCTCAGAATCTGAAAATGCTTCATTTAGTCACTTACAGAGCTGGAGCGCTTCAAGGTCCACAAGAACATGCAGTGCCACTTCTTTTTCAGCGGACAAGCGTTTTGTTTGCTCCTACTGTTCGAAGAGGTTCAGGTGTTTCAGTCAACTCACTATCCACCAGCGGAGTCACACAGGTGAGAAGCCCTACAGGTGCACAATCTGTGGAAAGAGGTACATTCAGAAAGGACACCTGTACACCCATCAGCGCACCCACACCGGAGAGAAGCCGTATCGCTGTCCGCTCTGTGGAAAAGGCTTTATTCAGAAATGCACACTGGACATGCATCTGCGAAGTCACACCGGAGAAAAGCCCTACACCTGTGTGAAATGTGGGAAAGGGTTTACCACAAAGTTTAACCTTAACAAACACCTGTCTTGTCAGTCATGTGGCAACTTCAGTTAATGAACGGCTGTGCGTTTCAAACTCTATTTTTAGCCGTGCTTTACTGCTTTTTATAAGTTGAGTTTTAGTTGAATATTTAGTTTAATAATCGAAAATGTATGGTTTCAGATAATCGAAAAATGTATAGTTTCAGATTATTTCTGGATAGAGATTAAATATGAAACAATGTTTGAAATACAGTAAATCTAATTTGTTTTATTGCTGTTTTACAAAACATGTATTTGTGAATAACTGAACGGAGGAACAATTTTGATTTTCTGTCATCTGTAGCTTCCAAAAATCTACGTTTATTATTTTTCAACCTATAGTGTAAATACAAATTCAATGATGTTTGAATCTCAGTTTATTATTGAGTAAATCTTTGAGAAAAAATTACCTGACAAAAGTCTCGTCATCAATCCCATTTGTAAGAGCAACAAATTAAAACTCGACTTCTAGTTGATCACTTGAAAAAGTGGCAGAAGGTAGACATTTCAGATTAATCATTTTTTAAACTGCATCCCAATCATCACAAATACTGCAATTGTCAAAGAAATCATTCAAGTTTGGTGAAGAAAAAAAATCATGGTTTTGGATTACGTCCAGTATGCGGGTATGCGAGAGATCTGCCGAGTGTATGGCAACATCAACAGCCTGAGGTATAAAGACATTTGTGCTGCCCATTATATTACAAACCACAGAAGAGGGCAAATTCTTCAGCAAGACAGCGCAAAGAAGGTCAAGGTGTTCCAGGATTGGCCAGCCCAGTCACCAGAAATTAACATTATTGCGCATTGATGAAGGAGGAAAATGAATTCAAAAGATACTTGATGATCTCTGGGAGTCCTGCAAGATTGCTTTCTTTGCCATTTCAGATGATTTTATTAATAAGTTTGAGTCATTGCGGAGATTTATGGATGCAGTCCTCCAAGCTCACAGGAGTCATACACAATATTCATTCTTTTTCCACTGCAGCATGACTTTATATTCGATACTGTACATTATTTCTGTTAAGTGACAAGACTTTTGTCTACGCAAAGTCAGACCTTACTGTCCTAAATAATTAATAATCAAGGCATGATCATATTTTATTTTGGTAAAACAAGCGTAATCGAGAGGCTTTTGCCTTGTTTATAAGCCACTTCTAAAACCAAATGATCAACTAGAAGTCAAGTAATTATTTGTTGTTCCTAAAACTTGAATAAGCGACAAGACTTTTGTCAGGTAGTGTATATTTGTTTTGATTTTTTGTGTTAGGAATTTGTTTTTAATATTTAGGTAATTAACATTTTTTGTAATTTTGTAAAAAAAAAAAAAAAAAATCTCCCAAGAATTATCTATAATTTTTTACATGCATGTTTAGTTTTAATTATTTTAGTTATGTTTTTGATAAATAGTTTAATTTATTCTAGTTTAAATAAAACAAATTAGAGAGTAGCTGAAAGGAAATGCATTGAATTATATTTTTTCAGATAATCTTTATTTTATAACAACTTAAAATATGTATATATTTTATTGTGTTTGTTTTAGTTTAGTTTACAAAACTGAACAGCTTTCTAGTTTATTAATACATTTTTTGTCTTATTGTATTTAGTTTTGTTTTTTAAATAACTGTTGTGATTCTGTAGACCTAGAAGGCATAATGGAGACAGTGGAGTACGCTGTAGAGAGTGATAAGCGCTTTTTCTCATAAATTTTGGGCACTTCTCTCTGTTTCTTCCTAAACTCTTCAGCTGGGTCATTATTTATCGTGTTTCTTATGCAAATTTTCTTCAATATATTGGCACCATCCACCATTTAATAATAATAATATTAATTAATAGAAATTCATTCATGTTACTGTGTCCCAATATTTCTTACTATCCTCACTTTATTTTGTATAAAATACATATGTGTCCTGTTGTTTCTTCATTCCACTTTTTGCCCCTCAACCATTTTTTGTCACTTCATACTATGAAACTCAAGACTGATACAGTGTGAATTATAAAGTGAGGATAGTTAGAAATATTAGAAACAATAATGGCAGTACATAGCAAGTTATAATAAGCAGATTTTGAATGGGAGACAGTAACCTGAATGAATATCTATTAATTAATAATATTACTGTTATAAAATGGTGGAACATGCTTATATCTTGTAGGAAATTTGCATTAGAATTACGATAAATGACCCAGCTGGGCAGCACGGTGGCGCAGTGGGTAGCACAGTCGCCTTACAGTAAGAAGGTCGCTGGTTTAAGCCCTGGCTGGGTCAGTTGGCATTTTTGTGTGGAGTTTGCATGTTCAATCTGTGTTGGTGTGGGTTTCCTCCTGGTGCTCTGGTTTCCCCCACAAGTCCAAAACATATGGTATTAATAGGGTAAGCTAAATTATCTGTTGTCAATGAGCATGTTTGAATGTTTCCCAGTGATGAGTTGCAGCTGGAAGGGCATCCGCTGAGTAAAACATATGCTAGATAAGTTGGCGGTTCATTCCGCTGTGGCAACCTCAAATTAATAAAGGGACTAAGCCAAAAAGAAAATGAGTGACCCAGCTTTAAGAGTTTAGGAAAAACAGAAGCGTCCAAAATATATGAGAATTTTCAGAAAAACAAAGGGGTATAAAGTGCTTGTTAGATTTTAAATAGGAGACAACCTGACTGGACAAGAGAGTATATAATAAATATACTGTATGGTATAGGGGGGCAGTAATGCAACAAAAGAGACGCCATCTGCCACAAAACCACAAAGAAGAAGTTGCAAGTTTTCATGCGCTTTTCTGCACGGTGAGTTACGGTAATTCTTCCCATGATCCTCCTTTTCTTCTGAACAAATGCTATTTATGGTTTGTTTCTACAAAACGATCGTGAAGAAATTTGAGGTTGTCTGTCGAGAAGAAGATAACACTGCCGTTGGGGGATCTTACGGGTATTTTTTTTAACTTTCTCCGGGATCCCGTTAATGACAGACACCATGAACACAGTCGATTTTCAGACACATTTAACGGCTATAATTGAAATCATGGCGAGAAGCGCTGCTGCGGAAATAAGCAAACTATTCGAGGAGAACTCACTGCTGCTGCGAATGGAGATTTTACGATGTTCAAACGAAAACGAGTCTCTAAAAAAGAAATGTCAGTTTCTGGAGACTGAACTTCAGTCCGCTCGGGAAACCGCAGGGGAGATGAACGGGACACAAGCTCTTCACAGCGTGACAGGTGATTTAACGTTATGTATAAAATACATGGCAGGCTAAATATATACCATACAAACGCTGATATTCATGGCCTTGAGTAACACATGCTGATCTAGAGAGGACTATTTTGGAGTTCATGTCTTTTTTTAGTGTGCTCAGTAATTTTTTTTATTAATTCACCGAACATTGTTTACAGTTTGGCTGTTAAGTGCGTATTCCCGCATGAAATTATAATAATTTATTGTAAACAACATTAGATTTTTTTTAAAAAGTGCTTTATATTGTATATATCGTAGTGCTCACACTTTATTTTAGCCACAATTCCTGCTATTTACAAACCATGAGATCATAGAGACTGCGATCAAACTTTATAAGTAACGTTAATAACGTTAATAAACTGCCAGTATCTTTTGTCAGTTGTATCAATCTTTTGTTGCATCTAACGTTAATTGTCAGGTAATAAGACAACAGTTAATTGCAAAAATAACTTAATCTGAAGTGTTGCCATTGTGGTATTTAAATGTATTAGCATATTTTAAAATGCTACATTATAACTTTACTGTAGTATAAACTATTCTGAACTGACAAACTAATAAATACTGTAGTATATTTAATTTTTTTAATGACAGTAAACTGGCGAATTATTCTAGTTATATACCCTCTAGTTGCCAAAAACGTAGTATATGTATTACCAGCAACTAGACACTACTACTTAAAAATTAGCAACTTAAAATGTATTAGCAACTTGCAAAAAATGTAGCAAACTAGATTGCTACAGTATTTTTTCATGTGGGTTTTTGAAAAAAAAAAAAAAAAACTAAATGTCCAAATTTGCAGATGCATGAAAGCCTGTTGTCTCTCTTAAATGAAGGTGTCCCCATACTATGGAGCTAAAAATGTCAAAACATTTTGAAATTTGAAAATATGTCTATAAAAGTTTCTGCCTTAAAAAAATGATTTTAAATGTTCAATTTTGAAGTTATGAAATTCAAGATCAATTTAAGAAATTCAAATTCTGAAGAATTTTAACAGCATATAAAAATTCTGATTTATTAAATCACAATTACCAACAATATAAATCAACGCAATTCATATTCAGACTGTTTTGGCACATTATTAGCTCCATACTTTATCACAGTTACATATAAATTACAGTTTTACTACAGAGAAAGGATTGAAAATGCATTCATTCTTACTGTTCTGTGATCCTTGTAAACAAAACTCTCCATTGAACCAAACTGCATAACTCAAGTATCTTTCACAATATCCATCAGTAAATCTAATTAACTATAACGGCTGTTACTGGCATTGTCTGCTTCAAAACTAATTATTTTATAAAAGATCAGTTAGGAAAAAACTAACATGTGCTCGAATGTTTAACAGAAACTGGACAACCTCCCACAATCGACAATGTGTTTGGTAAGGAATGGTGCATGAACCTCTGGAGACAGGAGGAGTCCAGGGTTGGAGAGCAAGAGGATGCACAAAAGGTTTGTTTCACATACTTTTGCATTTAAAGTTTCCTGAGGGTGTAGTTTGATGTACATTAGGTGTCATTTGTTTTTCATTTGAATATTAAAGAAAACTTTTGTAGTAGCAAATGTGGTTCTTGGTGATCATAAAATGTAAGTGAAAGGGTACTACAGAGGCGAAACAAAACAAAAAAAGGCCATAAACTGAAAAATCTAAATCCCATTTCTCTTTTGGCATATTAGAGGACACCGTACGACAAAACTTTACGATTCAGAACTCCAAACTTTCTTGTTAGTCTAAAAACATCTACTATTGCCAGTCTGCCAAAACGACAGGTTGTGAAATGTGACATTTTATTATGTATTAGTTTGCTAATAGGTGTGTGAGCCTACTCTGGTCTTACAGTTTAGTTCAGATTATCATGTCATCAATTCTGTTCAATTTCATATCACAGAGCATTGACAATGCTTTACAAACGAGGCACAGTAAGACTGAAGGTAAAAGATAATGCTTTGCCAACTATTCTAGATCTGACAGTGATTTTTCCCCCCACAAGTTTAAGTAACTTTTATTTTAAATTCACTACAGCTTTGTCTGTTATACCAGATTGTTTTGCTATTTACTCAGTATTGGTGTGTTTTAACCTAGGATGTAAGTATCAAACACACATGCAGAAGTTTTTATTGGTGGAGACATAGAGGTTGGACAACGAAACACTGGGCAATTTAGTGTTTGAGGTTGCATGGCTAAGTTTGACCAGCCAGGTGGCCAACCTTCATTGCTCTTACTGGTAGAATGTGTAATCAGGGTGTGAAGGTTTAACTAGCTGAGTAATAGCACAGTTTTGCTTAAAATATTACAATGCACATCATTATAGGTAATATATCAGAGTTGAAAAGAGCATAAATTGTTAGTGTACATCTCATTAGCACATCTGTAAACAGGACAGCAAGTTTAGATAGCCACGGTATCCGGACTAATGTCAGCAAACCACCTAGAAGGACAAACCATATTTAACAGGAATAACTGTGGGACGTAAGAGGAATGTGTCTGAAAGGGATGTCCGGGTGCTAACCCGAGTTGTACCTAAAAAACATAAAACCACAGCTGCCAAACTCACTACACCTCAGTGTTCACCTCAACCGTGTCTCCTCTCTTTCCACCAAAACTGTTCATCGGGAGCTCCACTTAGTCAATATACATGGCCGAGTTGCTATTGCCAAAACTTTGGTCATTCGTGCCAATTACAAATGTCAGTTTCAATGGTGCCAGCAGTAAAAATCTTGGGCTGTGGACAATGTGAAACACGTATTGTTTTCTGATGAGCCCACCTTCACCATCTTTCCCACATTTGGGAGAGTTACGGTGTGGAGAATTCCCAAAGAAGCTCACCACCCAGACTTTTGCATGCCCAGAGATGGATTAGTGATGGTTTGGACTGCATTGTCATGGCATTTCTTAGGCCCAATACTTATGCTAAATGGGCAAGTCGCTGCCAAGGATTACCGAACCATTCTGAAGAACCATGTGCACTTAATGGTTTAAATATTGTATCCTGAAGGCTGTGCTGTGTATCAGGATGATAATGCAGCAATACACACAGCTGAACATGAAAATGAAGTTGAACATCTTCCATGGCCTGCGAAGTCACCAGTGCTGGACTTTTATCTGTCATTCTCAAGTCAAATTGATAGGCCACAAAAGAAGGCCCCACACCATACTAATGAGTTATTGTGGTCTAAAACTAGACATTTCAGATTCATTGTCCAACCCTGTTCACACACTTGAAAATGCACTTAAAAAAGCATTTGTCTGTTTTTTTGTATGTGTTATAACATCTTTGATAACCTTTCTGCTTTTAAGTGGTGATAAAACTTGAACACTTGAAGTCTGAATAAACTGCATTTTTATTTGTTTAAAATCTGAGGCTTAGTTCCTTGTTTTGAAATATAATATGCCCATATATAAATAGGTAAAAATTACTTGAGGGCCATCAAATTTAGATGAAAATTGTCAAAAGATCTTGAAAAAACAAAAACAACTGGCCTGGAAATATATAAAGTACTGGTAACCACTGACCTGCGTTTTATTTCTCACCAAGCACCAATGTCCTACTGAAGAAAAAGACACATGTAAATGTTTAATATGGTTCATGTTTGGGTGAACTATTGCTCACCAGTTCTTTCTTTAATTTGAAATTCTTTAGCCAATAGATTTGCTGGGTGAAGAACCAGATGTGATTATGATTAAGGATGAGTCGATGAAGAATGCCAGTTGCTCTTTAAACAGTATACCGGAGGACAACAAAAGCAGCAGTCTGACAGGTTTGTGGACAGAAAACTAAAGACCAATTGTTATATTAATTATATCAAAGAGCCCCTATTATCTATTTAAAAGGTCATATTTTGGTTTTGGGGGTCTCCAACAAAAAGCTGATATGCATGCAAGATCAAAAAACACTTTCATTGTCTCATAACATGCATTTATTTTTACCTAATTATCCCAATGACTCCCATATGATTCGTTAAGCGATATATTTGTTCCCTAACCTTAGCATGATGCTAATCTGTGCTGATTGGTCTAATGACCCAGTCTGTCATGATTGGTCAACTGCGTTCAGTGTAAGAGACGGAGAGAAATACCCACCACGGCTTTTCAATTTTAAAGTAGTCAGAGTACAGAGTTTATGTGTGAGCCCAATGCACTAGCATATTGCTCTATACGTAACCATAAGTAACAACAACAACACGCATTCAGTATTAAACCACACAGTGGCAAAAGCTGAACTATTTTGAAACTTGGCTGCCGCACGTGTAGGAACAGATGACGGTGGCCATAGCAACAACAAACAGCAGTAGATCGCGAACTCACAAACACATTTAAATCCCTCAAGAAAGCGTCACGCTTTCAACGTGGATTTAGACACGATATGAGAATATAAAGAGTTGTCCAGATACAGTACAAGCGGTTACAAGTAACAAAACACAATTATATAACTTGCAAGCTAGAGAAAATAAGAAAGCAATCATTTTTAATTGCACTTACATTTGTGAAAAGGAAGAAGAAACAGATCCATGAACTGTAAAGTTTCTGTCAAGCTCTGACAAAGTCCCATACATCAATAGTCTTTTCTGATCCCTCCTTTAACAAACGATTGTTGAATCCCTCTTTGTAAGCATGTAGATTGCTGAAGCACTCGTCAGAAAAATGATGGGAACACAGCACAAGGCTGGGGCTATAATGCTGAGGTATTTTTGCAAAAATAAACTTCAACCACTTTAGGTAAAATAACACTTACTTTCCCCTTACACTTCAGAGCACATCGTCTTCACGACTTGATTCAACCGGGATCTGCTAGAGTATTTGTCTTCCTCTTTTTCTTTCTAAAGTGTTTGTGGGCAGGGCTGTGGGTTTCAATTTTCCCGGGTCTGTGCACACAACAATTGGGTGGGGCTTGCGTTTTGTATAGACAGATTTAGGCTTTAGCTGGGTATTTTACTTCACTCAGAGCTGTGTTACACAATGCATAGAAGGTCATTTTCAAAAACCCATTATAAGGGGCTTTTTAAGACATTCATACTGTATTTAACCTTATATTACAGGACCAGCGATGTCCAATGATGAGAGATGTGGAGACCGGAACTCTGATGATTATATCACATACACTGTGCCTTCAGACGAACAACCCCAACCGAACATACAGCAGCCACAACCAGAAGAACAAAATCTTCATGGGACAGTTCATGCGCATGGACACATTACGACAGGTGTAAATTTCAACCACATAAAAGTTGAAGCACAAAGGTTGAAATACAGGTGTGTGTTCTGTGACAGACCCTTTAGATATATAAGCCACTTGCAAAGACATATGCGGAAACACTCTGGAGAAAAACCATACATCTGCGCAGTCTGTGGTCGACGGTTCGCTCAGAAAACGTATCTCACAACTCACAAACGCACACACTCCGGCGAAAGGCCGTATGCTTGCATTGATTGCGGAAAGACTTTCTCTCAGAAAAGCTCTCTAAACGTGCATCTCCGTTGCCACACTGGAGAGAAGCCATTTAGCTGCTCGAAGTGCGGCAAAAGCTACGCGTACAAAATTGCTCTTAAAACACACCGATGTTAGAGTAGAAACGAGCCGTTACTGAATATCTTGTGTGCTTTTAGTTTTGGTTTGAAACTGTTCTGGGTCATTATTAAAATACTATCGTTTTTTGTTTGTTGAAACAAAAGGAAATACATGTTAACTGAAAGATATTAGAAACTGAAAAAAGTTGATTGAATTGTTTAGCTCAAAGATTGCTCGATTATAAATGCAATATATTTAGGAGAGTATAAATGTAAATGCTCACCTACACCCTACACTAAAAAGTGTACCATAGTTAATTCCTTTAAGCAATATGTAATTGTTTATACAGTGTGAAATGTGTTCTTGTGAAGCTCCTAGAGAGAATGAACTCTGGATTTGTTATTGCTGTAATTTTGTAGCTGACCTTCATAACTTAATCTTAATAATATTTTTACTTTTATCTTTTACCCTCTTTGAAGTGTTTACTGTTTTCTAAATTAAACATCAGTTTTATTTAATTAATGTGGTTGTGTTTAATTTATTGTTTGTTTCATGGGTAATTTAATGCTTTAGGGACAAGGACATTTAGGTGTCTGAATCAAATTTGAGCTACAAAAGAGAACTTATATACAAGCAATTCTAGCATCAATGTATTTGTTAGAAAGATCTGTTTATATTTTCCAAAACAACTAACTACAGAGTTATGGGATCAGAAAAATACCATTCTGTAAAAATTGTTATATTTAAAATGAGGAAAATAAACATGGATGTGACAAAAGTCTGCGAGTTTACACTAACTCTGGCATGCGCCTCAGCAGCATATGTGCACGTCTGAGCTCCAGGCACAAAACCCGAGAGAGCATTGCACATCAGACAGTTTAGCAATGATATTCCACGTCTCATTATAGTGGTTAAATGTGATAATTAATTTTGTCTTTATCTAACGACTCTTCTGTCTTTTAAATCTATCAGGTAATGTCACAGCGTCAGTACACTGCTTCAATCTTTCGCTTTCACGCTTGTACTTAATAATTTTAGCGAAAACCTCAGATACTGTTGGCTGTGCACATTTTTACCAACCAAGTTTGTCGACGCCATTATACCGACACAGATCACTGTGGCTATTCATGCAAGAGTCCTGCAGAAAAAGTGATTGACAGGTGGTAATTTGTGTGTAGTCAGGTAGTTGAAACGGTAGGCTACAAATAATGAATTTATTATGAATCAATTAGTTATTCATAAATAATTAATACATCACTACCTATGATGACGCCATCCTCCATCGCGATGTTTCACATTAGACATCATGCGATGCCAAATTTGTAGACATCGCCCAACCCTAGTTTACAGCATAAAACATACTTTGTAGAAATTATGTAAACTGAACTGCTCGACCTAAAAGAAATAATGCTAATCAAAAGAATAAGAGCTGGCTCATAGAACAAAATGATTGATTCGATTTGACATTTTTTGCATAGCTTCGTTATGGATGTGAAGTTGGCACTGATTTTGGTATTTTGGTAAATTAAATATAATAATTTGAAAACATTAACAGAGACATTTTTTAAGCACTGTAAAATACTTGCTTACACAAAAACTTTTCAATATTTTGGTGAAAACATATTTTCATGGCAAGGTTGACATTTTCATGGAATTGCTCATACATAAAAATGTTATTATTAATAGCTTAATCTGTTTTTTGTTCTGTTAAAGATATTCTGATTTTGAATGTTAAAAATATAATGCAAACACTATGAAAGTGTTTACAACATTCCTCAAATTATATTTTTTTTCTACTGAACAAAAAAAGGTTGAGTTAGTAAAGGGTCAGTGTAAATGATGACTATTTTCCCCCTAAAACAGCTCTCAAACTGGATTCCTGGAGGGCCACAGCTCTGCACAGTTTTGCTCCAACCCATATCAAACACAGCAGATCTTAACTAATAAAGTATTTATTAAGCACATTCAAAACAGTCACAAGACTAACCAAATTGCTGTACATAAGTGAAAGTAAAATAAAAAAAAAGCCATGAGAAATGACTAAATGAATTAAAAAAGTTAAGCAGTAGAAAGGACTATTAAAATAACATTAAAATGCCAAGCTAAATAGGTATGATTTTTAGGAGTGATTTGAAAATAGATAAACGTCTTTAAACATGTATTTAAAGATTTACAATGACAGAACAGTGCTATATGTCTCATCTGATCATATACAATAATATAGCCATCTATTATACAATAGTCCAGCGGCTATTTAAAGTCTTTAGTGAAGGGTAAAACTAACATAAATTAAATAGATAAAAAAATAATAAAAATAGTCTATTAAGATAAATTCTCCAAAAACTCCCATAGAGGATTCCAGATATGCCAGAAATCATCAGATTTCTGACGCAAGTTATAAGTCTTTCTAAGGGCAAGAAAATGGCAACCTGATTTATCCACATATGACCGAAGGAATGTTAGGAGAGGACCACAATAGAATACATTTTCGTGCTAGATACGTACAAAAGTGTAACACAGATTGTAGTCCATGACTAAGGTGCAGAGCAGTTTTATAATTCAGAAGATTAAATAACTGGAGATTGGACAAAAGATTTACCAATAATCTTCTGAAATAATTTGTGAATGTCTCAATTATGTCACAGTCCCAGAATACAACATTGAGAAACATTAGAAAATACCTTATTGAGACAAACTGTTGTTAAGTAAGTGCAGTAAAAGACTAAAAAAAAATGTGCGCACGGTTTGATATTGTGGCATGTTTGTAAAATACGCCAAAACAGACCGAAAGCCATTCTTTTTCACAAAAAATTTGTTCCACAATCTTTCTCCCATATAACTTTCAAGGAGGTAATGGAAGAACACTCTACATTAGATAAAATCGAGTAAAAGATATCTTCCTTTTGAGAGAAAATGTTGTTTTTGTTGTTTTTCCATGTCAAAAAGATCAAAACGTAATCTGCCATCCTTAAGGCTGATTCTAGAAAGTGTCGTAGTTGCACAAATTTGTAAACAGTCGTTAATTGGTCAATTCAATTCCCGTTTTAATAACTGTTTAAAGTTATTGAGGTTAATTAAGTCATTAACCGTTTAATGATTTAAAGTTCCTGTTGCCTGATCTAATTCCAAAATCTTCATTAGTGTCCATGATTGATGGAGCCATTCTAATCTTGAGGGGAAAAGTGTTCCATAACCAAGAACCTCCCATAGAGAAAGTTTCAGTCTGGACTGAACTAAAAAAAAAAAAAAAAAAAAAAAAAAAGGATTTGATCACTTGATCCAAGAGATTTGAGAGATGGGTTGAAGCTAGATTATGAAGGAATTTATATACCAGTAAAAACACTTCATAATCAGTTCTGAATTGGATGGGCAGCCAATGCAGGCCCATTAGAAAAGGGGTAATGTAATCAATTTTCTTACTATTACAAATGAATCTAGCAGCAGCATAATCAAGGTGTTTAAGAATAACAGAGACAATTAAACAGATGTTAGTTGGAGGTGGTTGGAGCTTAACTATGCAGAGCTGTGGTCCTCCAGGAATTGAGATTGAGACTACTGCCTTAAAAGATTTTCTTGATAATTTTAATGCTTCAACATTTTATTGTTTAGTGTTATGTTATGTAAAAGTCAATTCATTCATTTTCTTTTCGGCTTAGTCCCTTTATTAATCTGGGGTTACCACAGTGGAATGAACCGCCAACTAATCCAGCATATGTATTTTACAGCGGATGCCCTTCCAGCTGCAACCCATCACTCGGAAACATCCATACATTCTTATTCACACACATACACTACAGACAATTAAGCATACACAATTCACCTGTACCATATGTCTTTGGACTGTGGGGGAAACCGAAGCATCCGGAGGAAACCCACACAAACACAGGGAAAACATGCAAACTCTACATAGAAATGCCAACTGACCCAGCCGGGGCTTGAACCAGCGACCTTCTTGCTGTGAGGCGATCATGCTACCCAAATCAATGCATATGAAATGTTTTTTTATATTAAATCATAAATTGGCTGGATTACTGTAATGCTCTGTTTGCTGGCTGGCCAGAATCCTCTATTAACAAACTTCAGGTAGTACAAAATGCAGCTGCCAGAGTTCTTACCAGGTCCAGAAAATATGATCATATCACCCCAAATTTATCCTCCTTACACTGGCTGCCTCTTAAGTTTCATATTGATTTTATTGAACCTTCTGTCTCGCTACAATCCAACTTGCTTTTTAAAATTTCAAAACTCAGGGCCTCTGGTAGTACCTAGATTAGCAAAGTCATGTAAAGGAGGTCAAGCCTTCTCATTTATGGCTCCTAGGCTCTAAAATAGCCTTCCTGATAATGTCAGAGGCTCAGACACACTCTCTCAGTTCAAAAATAGATTAAAGACCTATCTGTTTAGTAACGGATAAACTCACTGCATATATGATACATGAATGTGCTCCACGCTGGTTTTTGCATCTTGTTTATATACACTATGAACAGCAGCTACGCTAATTATTCTCTTTATCCTCCATTTCCACCTGGGGATACTCATCCTGAGGCCCTCAGAGACTATGCAGCGCCACTTATGTGATCCAAGACCAGCGACTGTAGAGCTGCGCATCGATGGATTTGCTCTACAGTGTTTGGACTCTCAGCCGTGATTATTAAACCACACTGAAGTGAATTATACTGAACTTAAACACTGAAAACTTGACTGACACTGTTTCAATTTACTATGATCTTCTATGTAAAGCTGCTTTGTCACAATCTACAATATAAAAGCGCTATAGCTGAATTGAACTGAATCAAAAACTGCTGATAAATGGATGAACTTATTGTTTTGAAGTAAAGTTGCATAAAGCACAACGTTTTACAAACTGCAGCCAGTATTTTGGGCTGCACTGTGATCCTTAAATGGATCACTTAAATGGAAATGCCATGAAATCATTTTTGATCGTAATATGCCTGACAATACTTTTTGCACATAAAATACTGATGCACTTTAGCAGGTGTCATAGCAATAAATAACATAATGCTATATTTGTATTGCACCTTTCAAACTCCCAAGAACACTTTACATGAGGTAAACAGAAGCCACACAACAGAACACAGACAGCAGCAGTCATTTTCAGCTTAGTGTAAAATAACTTCATCTGTGTTTGAGAAGTACTTTTTCCTTAGAAATGTTTTTTTTTTTTTTTATTGACTTAAATAACAAACATGCAAAATCCAATTTTACACAAAAAACTATGATAATAACAGATCAGGATAAATAATATAAACATATAAAAAAATAAATTAAAAGAGAAACAAAAGAGAAAAAAATTATTAAAAAAATAAACAATTAAACAGAGATACATACATAACACAGATACAGGAAGAGGAAACAATGACTTATGTATGTGATATTTATCATAATAATCCAAGAATCTATCTTTTTTCTTGTTATTAACTAGTCTTAGAGATTTAATTAAAACATCAATTTCAATTAAAAAATGTGAAAAAGAGGGCTGCGAATTGGAGAATTTTTGTTTGTGAATAAAATATTTACCATACAAAATAAAAAAGTTAATAATGTAGTTCTCTGATACATCAGTTTTACCTTCATAGTAACAAATAATATCTTGAAGTTGTAAGGGTCTGGAAGAAGCAATGTATTTACCTATATGGAGATATAAGCTATTCCAAAAGCTTTTTGTGTTTTCTCATTAAAAAAAATATGTGAATCAGCGTTTCGTCTTCACTTTTACAAAATGTGCACGAACTATCAATCTCTAAAAACTTTGCCAAAGTACTATTCACTGGATATGTTTTATGAAGAATTTTTAAATAAACCTCTTTTGTTTTATTGGGAATGCAGTACTTATGAGGTAATAGCCAGGCTTTTTCCAGTCTATTAGGTCAATGAAGTATGCCCATAAAATTTGCCCTTAGGAACATATACTTTTTAATTTGAAAAATTTGTTGAATATATTAATTATTAATTTTTTTGTCATGTATACTAATTCCATTTAAGATCAGCTCTGGTTCTTTAATAACATTTTCATTAAACATTAAATGGGATTTTATAATTTCCCAGAGATGGGTTGCGGCTGGTAGGGCATCCACTGTGTAAAAACTTGCTGGATAAGTTGGCAATTCATTCCGCTGTGGCGACCCCAGATTAATAAAGGGACTAAGCCGACAAGAAAATGAATGAATGAATGGAATTTTATAAGTTGAATTAGTAATCCTTGAAAAGGAATTGCTTTTTGCACAGCATTAAATTCTTTACATGGTAATGGAAAATTATTACTAGACATAAATTGTTCATAAGACAAGAAGTTGCCAGACTTATCAAGAATTGAGAGAATCCCAATAAATTTTTTGTTAAACCACGTGGATAGAAAATAGATTTATTTCTAATACTAATATCAAAGTTGTTCCATAAGATGCATTTATGTGGTGAGAAATTGTGGGAATAACACAATTTCCAGGAAAGAAGGACCTGCTGTTGAAATTTTTACAGTGCTATTGGCAATTTATTAGGCAGATAATTACATTTTAAAATAAAAGGTAGACCTCCAATTTTTGTGAAAATAGAATTTGGAATAAAAACCATATAGAGTTAGGGTCTTTTAAACATCTTTTAATCCAATTTATTCTAAAAGTGTTTACTATGTCCTCAAAGTCAGGGTTAGGGTTAGGGTTAGTGGACACTTCAAGTCCACCCTCTTTTCAACTATTTGCTAGAACTGTTTTCTAAAGTTTTTGGGATTTATTTTTCCAAATAAAGTTTAGAAATATTTTGTTAACATTATTAACAGAGAGAGAAAGTGAAGGGTATACCAAACGAGATAAACCTTCTGCTTTGGTTAAAAGAACCCTCCTATAAACTTTTTCCTTAGAAATGTGTGTGAATTTAATCTATCTCATGACGTCTTTGAAGTCAATTAAAGCTATACTGAAGCCTCTACATATGAAGCCTCTACACGACGGTTTACGGTAATCCATCCCATGATCCTTTTCTGCTAAAAGCAATGCTTTGTTTCTATCTACATAAATACTAAAGGTAACTTATCACCTTTGTTTGTTTATGAATAAGTAAACATCTGCATTAAGACATTAATATTGTTGTCGAGTGGACGGGGTGAGTGTTCATTGTTAAAGTGTCCCTTTAATGATGGACATCATGGAGAACGCCGAATTTCAGACACAGTTAACATCCATTATGGAGACGTTGGCGAAAACGGCTGTTGTGGAAATAAGCAAACTTTTCGCGAACAATTCGTCTTATCTGCGATTAGAGATTTCAAGATTTACAAGCGAAAACGAATCTTTAAAAAAGAAGTGTCGGTTTCTGGAGAGCGAACTTCAGTCTGCTCGGAAAACCGCTGGAAAGATGAACGGGACAGAAGCTCCACTCAGCCGCACTGGACTTACAGGTAACATTGAAAACCTTCGCTAGCTTATTCACAAACTAGTGACACACTGAAATATGTTGTTAAATGACACGTACAACAACAAAATAACATGATTGTTCAACCCCTCAAATCGTTACCCACGCTATACAAAAGTAACGCCATCTAATGTTCAACAGAAACTGCACATCGTCCTGAAATTGACAATGTGTTCGGTAAGGAATGGTGCATGAACCTCTGGAGACACGAGGAGTCCAAATCTGGAGAGCAGGGGGATGCACATCTGGACTCTTCAGTCGTTATAGGAGAGGTTGGTCTTGCACTATTTGAAACTCTAAAAGCTGTCAGATGACCACAACTTTGAATTTCTTTTCTCTAGCCAGTAGATTTGTTGGAAGAAGAACAAAATATGATCATGATCAAGGAGGAGAGTTTCGACGATTGCTCTTCAGAGACAATCGAGGAAGACCATGATAGTCCGAATGTGAAAGGTATGCAGAGATGTTATAGTAACTGATTGCATACATTTACGATTAAACAAAAGCTGTCAGAGAAGCACAGCACTGTCCACAAAAGAAGACACCCAGGACAACAAACCGTGACTGCTTCTATTAAATTCAACATGACTATTATTCACATGACTATTAAATCTTCTCTCAGAAGCATTTTTATCGAGTTTGGAGTAGAGTGGGATTTTTCTTAGAACTACCAGTTGTACATAAGGCTATGTTCACATATACCCGGCTCATTTAAAAATGTTCTGACCACTTTTTTAAGCATAATTGCCAGTGTTTTTATGGAGCTCAAATCTTCATTCAATTTGAATTTTTTTGTGCAGTTTTTAAATGTAAAAACATCCTGTCAGTCACCTTTTTGACAGCTGACCGATGACAAGTGAGCAGGGAGACCTGTTGTTTCCATATCAAGAACAAGCAAACATGGGGAATCTATTGAATCAGTAGATGAAGTCTTACTATACTAATTTTGGAGCACAGGACGTTGTATAGTCTAAAACAGGGCTGTCCAAACTCAGTCTTAAAAAGTCGGTGTCCTGCAGATTTTTGCCCCAAATTGTCTCAACACACCTACAAGTATGTTTCCAGAAAGACTAGTAAAGCTGTGGTCACACTAGAGTTTGAGCTTGTGAATTTCTGTCATACGGCACTGCGAAAAGGAGCAGGGTTAAACAAAATGGTTAGATATTTAAAAAAGCTAGCGATTGGTCCATATTTAAAATTTCTGTCTACAGAGGTGTTTTGATCCTTAATTGGTCTCATGCTATCATGTGATGCGATTTCGCAGGTCAGAGTTCACCTAGCTTGAACTTGAAACTTGTCGCACGAGCTTGCGTTTCTGGTCTGACACATTTGCGTGGAAGTCCATGGGGAAGCTCAGTGTAACCACAGCTTAAGAGATTGATTAGCAAGCCCAGGTGTATCTGATTGGGGTTGGAACTAAACTTTTTGAAGGTACCGACCCTCCAGAATTTGAGTTTGGGCACCACTGGTCTAAAACATGCCACAATCTGTCCAACTGGAGCTCCTGGATTACATTTTTCTAAGCACCATAATGCTTTCTTCCCTTTATAATGTTGTGCACCCACAAACATCACTGTAAAGTGATATTTTCCTCCCCGTTTACTTAAAAAAATATATAAAAAGAAGGATAGTGCAAACTGTTCTCTTTTTTGACATTTTGGCACCACACAGCACTAGACTACAGTTGCAGAAGTTGTTATGGCAACAAAAGTCACCCTCAGGTGCTATTTGTAACCAAAACAAACATTTACCCTTTGACTGCCGTTTTACCAAATGGTTGACCATGTTTTTATTGTTAAAGTAATTTAAAGAATGACCGTTTTAAATAATGGTCACACTAAAAATCAAACAAACATAATCCTGCTGCACTACTACACTTAATTTTATTGTAAAAAACAAAACATGAGAACTTGTTAAATGAGAATCTGATGTATTTTATGGCATACTTAAAAAATAAAGATGGTTTAGTATTCAAAAATGTTTATTTAGAATATTTTTTTAAATAAATTGATCTTACACGCATGCATTCATATTTTATATAATATATGTATTGATTCAGTACTTTTACAATAAACTGACATATCTACCCTTTGGTAGAGGCTGATATTTTAGAAATTATAACGTGTTAAAAAAATGCATTTGTTAAGTGAGTTAACTTGTGACACAAGGAGTTAGGAAATGCAATCCAATTTTTTTTCTTGGTGGGGTAGTTAAAGGGTTAAAAGCTGTTTTTTAGCACCTTTTAAAGTGCGCACAAGATCAGAATGCACAATGTTTAACTAGCTCAGATTATTAGTCTTAAGGTGAACAATTAATCCACGTTTGTTGGTAATTATAATCAAAATTGAACCATTTGATTATGCTCTGAAACACCAGTCCTTCTCTGATGACATCAATTTAACGTTAAAGTGAAAGATGAGCAGAGGCCAAAAATAAAACCACGTCCCTTATTCGGTATTCAGTTTCAATATGGAAATATGCCATTAAACAGAAATAAAGGTCAGCAGCAACTTCTTGTTCACATGGATTTTAAAGTGCCCATGAACCAGAAGCTGCAATGTTTTTTTTTTTCTTAATTTTTTTTTTTTTTGCGTTGGGACACAGTTCCTAGATAAATGGAATTTTAAATAACCAAACAATGGCCGTGGCTTGTTTTTTCTACCGCAGGCTGAATCAGTTTGTTGTCAAAACTGACAGCTAGAGGGGCGTGGTTAAGTATGTTAGCCACACCCAATAACTCAAAAACTATCCGAATCAATCCATAATCTGATCATTTAACTGAAAACAAACAGGAAGCACATTTTCAGATTTCAATTAAAGATTAGAAGGGCAGACATATTTTTTTCTTAATGACAGATGAACTGTTCACCAAAAAACATGATAACCTAACAAAATCATATGGTTTTAATTTCTTGGGGACTTTAAGGACATCTAAAAATAACATCACAAATTGTAATGAGCAAAATAGAAAGTGAAAGGTGATGGGAAAACATTGTAATTAACACATTTCCAAACTCAATAAAAAAAAAAAGCAAATCACTTCTTTTTTTTTTTACTCTTTACAGTTGTAATCCAAGAGGAAATCAGAAAAATACTGCCAGAGCTGGACTCTAAAACAGTTCAAAATGTGGTCAATCATCTCTGGTTTGTGGTGGGTGTGGAGAAGACAGAAGACCTTTCATTAGTAGAAGTTTCAGATCTGAAGGACTTAATGGAGCCAATCCAGTGTCGAAAACTTGTGAAAACATTCAGACAAAGAGGTAAGAAACCAAGTTTAAGGCTGAAATGTTGCTAGGATGTTCATGCAGAATTCTCTGTTACACCTGTTGCACTAAAGTCACAGCCAATCTCTAGTAGAATGGCTCAAATGGTAATTAAACCGAGACCTGATACTGACCTACAGATGTGGCCTTTAAAAACCTTTAAAAACAAGTTTTTGTCTCAAGTGTCTTGTGACAACAACAGGAGTGGTCTGATAGCCTTCATACATTTCACATAAACTTTTAAAACTTTCGTTGGCTCTCAATTATATTTATTCATAATATAGGACTAGGGCTGGGAAATACTGAAAAAAAATACATTGGAATATGTATTGTGATATAAATACTGCTTCACCAAATAATTGGAATAGCTCTATTTGGAAAGATTCTATTATTTAGATTGATTAGAGTTAGGGCTTTGCGATTTGGGGAAGATATCTAATTGCGATTTTTCGGACAGATATTGCGATTACGATTTAATTTGCGATTTAATTATGTAGTCAAGCTTCAGGTCAATCTGTAAGCCGTGGCAACAATTCTGCGACAGCTCTTAAAAATGTCCTGTTTTTGTTCAGTGTCTGGGACTTTGAAACTAAAATAGTTCCATATTAACGACATGCTGTTTTTTGGCAATTAAGACTATCACACATAGACAGCAGTCACGCATTTGCTCTGGGCAGGGAAAATTAAATGCAAACATATTTTATTTCACAGCCTCTTGTAATTTAGCTAATCACAATGTTTCAAATTGCGATTGTGATTCAATTTAGATTAAGCTCGGCCCTGGTGTGATATAATAAGGTGATGCAGCTAGTAAAAAACAGTTCAAGCCAAGATCAATCAAGAGGCCGGCTGTAACTACATTTCTCAAATATTTGCAAACATACGGATTATTAGATTATCAGACATATTTAAACCAGCTAATCCCTTCATGCTGAGTAACAATTAATGTGATAATAGCACTAAATGCTGCTTTGTTTAGGATTTGTCTGTGTGCATTAGAAGTTTGGTTTCCCTTTTTGGATTGAGAAAACGGACTACTGTCCCTCTGTGAAAAGAAAGACAGGTCCTCTCGTTCAGGCGCAGAACATGGCTCTCGTTTTCTTTTTAGGGTACCGTGCCTTGGGTGTGTTCATGGACAGCTTTTTGGTCCAGATGTGATCCAGTGCGAGGCAACAACACAATTGGGTTAAACTTGTTGTGTCCTGGCCATAAAGCCCCATTCACACCTGATCTTAAGATGCATTTTTGTCAGTCATGTAGTTGATGACTCAGTACAGTCGTATTTGTGTGATATACTATGGACTAATGAATATTTGATAACCAGCTGTAATCAGATCACATAAAAATCCAACTAAATAATAGGTTGAAACTGGGCATTTGTGATGTGCGCTAATCTGTCTAGGGGTTTGTTCTTCGTACCTCACTTTTAAAAAATCTAAGGGTGCTTTCGCACCTGTAGATCGATTTGTTTTGTTCTGAAACATGGATTTAAATTGTTACAATGTTTATTTTTGTTATTGGTTCACTTTTACATGGCAAAGTTTCTAAGGGTGCTTTCACACCTGCCTTATTTAGTTCGATTGAATCGCACTAGAGTTCGTTTCCCCTTTTGGTGCGGTTCGTTGGGGCAGGTGAGAATGCAGCAATCGTACTCGAGTGCGCACCAAAAGCGGACCAAATAAGCATACCGAGACCTGCTTGAAGAGGTGGTCTCGGTACGCTTTCAAACGAACCCTGGAGCGGTTCGTTTGTGGTGAGAATATGATCCGTACTAAAACAGGTCCAACCGCAAAAAGTACTGTGCGTTTTGGACTAATTCAGCTGCCGTAGGCCGATGTGCTGTGCATTATGGGATATGGAGGAAAAATATTTGTTGACAGCGCTTTACCAACAGAGAAAGAGGGGAAAACATTACCTGATGGATCGTTGGTTATATTTCCGCAAGATGAGCATGTCGCAATTTAGCTAAATTAATTCACGCCTCCTCCTGAAGTGACGAGTGATGCATTAAACAGTTTTCCAGCCGCGGCCGCGCTTCATTTTCGTAAGGTATAGTTTGTCTAAAGCAGGGATACAATCAGTCAGCGCAGTCGTCCTTCTAGAAAGGTTTTGTTTACCTGCGGGAGTTCACTGGCATTTTTCCGCACGTGAATTCTGACCAATCATTAAGCAGTTTAGGAAATATGTTCAACAACATCTGGCCAATGAGAGATGTGGATTTTGTCAGATGACTGCATTTTGGTTTGTTTCAACTGGTTCGGACCAAAGCCAGCAGTGTGGTGTGAAAACGACCCATAGACGGCAGAAGATGCAACAATGTATCATGTATTACCCTTGGTCCGGACCAAATGAAGCGAACTACAGATGTGAAAGCACCCTAAATGGACCAATATAGCTCAAACAAGTCACGTGTCTTTTCAGTCTCATTTAGCTGTCATGCATCCTTATTTGCAATGATGAGCAATATGACATTATAAGCAAAAAGCTGCGCTTTAATTTTTAATGCTGACACCCTCAGACATCGTCACCAAATGTATCAGAGGTATAACTTTCTCATACATAGCCCTTGGCCAGAATTATGCATTATAGGCTTTACAATATAGAGAAATAACAGATAAACCAAGACTGCAGTTTGGTCAATTTTCCTAATGGATAAACAGCTCTCGTTAATAGTTCAGCATACTTTCACTTTCGTATTTGACATGAAACGCACATTTACCAGTAGGAATGATGGCATCCCGCCATACTCATAATTCTCTCTTCATATATGCCTATTACATATCTAGAATACACTGTGATATAGCCTGGTTCGGATCGTATCGCTCCACTCCAGAGTTCGTTTAAATCAAGCCGAGGCCACCTTATTCAGGCGATCTCGGACCGATTGTTTTGGCTTGGATTCGAGTGCTAACTGGGGAAACATGCCAGGTTCCAGAACAAAAGTCTAGGTGTGAAAGCACCCTAGGATGATTTGTCATCTTTAAATCTTGAAAACTGATGCCTGGCTAATTGGGTTCCTCAAACAAGTTTGCGAATCTGATTAAAATATAAATAAAATATAAATAAATTGATCTGAGATTGTTGCGTGTGCTTGCTGTGAAGGAAAGATCTATCGATCCACGAAATCCTGATCAGCAATGCAGCGATTGGCTGACAGCAAGACCGCAGATTAAGGTTTTGTTTAATATAATAAACAACAACTCTTCATATTTGTTGTGAGCTGCAGGGTGTACAGTTTCATTTGCCAAAAGTATAGTATTAGCAATTTATTTAGTTAAAAATTTTTAAAGTGGATTTTCTTAGTTTATTTAAGCTTTTATTTTGTCTTATGGCGTAAGGCAAAACTGCCTATTGCAATTAATTTTGCATTAAAAAAGCATTTTGATATTTGAGAAATGTCTGGATCTCCCACTGCATCAAATCACACATATTTTAGCTTTCAATTTGTGCACGAATATCATAAATTATGTAATTATTTCTTTCAAAAAAAAAAAAAAAAAAAACACTATCAGAAGCAGTACTCAAGCTAGGGCAGTACTTTTTCGAAGGAACACGTTTGCAAAAAGTCCATATTTGTATCTTAAAAGTATTAGTTCCTAAAGTGCACAGTTGTCACTAAAAGTATAAAAAAATCTTCTGTGCGAACCCCTTGGGGGTACCACTACATTTACACATGGGGGTACAACATTTAGAACAACATAAGCTGTATGTTGTTTCAGGTGTGGTGTCCGCAGCCTCTTCACCTTCGATGGCCTACACTTGCAATCAGCAGCCATTCAAGAAAATTAAATTAAATCCCAACCACTCTTCATCAGTGGGTTCAGCAGGACAGACAGGCCCATCTCAGAGCTTGCCATCTGATGTTTTGACATCTGATCAAACATCTGTGTTTTCAACATCAGAACTTTCTCCTCCATCCACCACTTCACCCCATTGTTCTTCAGTGATGTTTTCCACTGAAACTCAAGACACTTCAAATCCCCAGAAACATGCTTCTCAGTTAAACCATCAAGGGGTGATTCTTCCTGACATTTGTCTAAATCCAGTTTCCATGCAAGAGGAGAAAAAACTATACCTAGCATCAGTCGGACAAGATGGGAATCCACGGCCAGATCGCTTTGCTGCACTTTTGTTTAAAAGTCTTGTGCCACATAAAGTGTACTTGGACTGGTCAGGTACTGCCAACTATAATGGCAACAGGAGGAAAAATGCACTACCTAACAACCTGCGAGAAGAAATAGCAGATGCCGTTCGCAGAAAATTCCCTGACAATAAACCCAGCGACTGGAATAAGATAAAGGATCGACTTAATGAACTTCTTCGTAAAAGACGACTGGCCTTCCCCCTAACCTGATTATGTGAAGGCTCGTTCTGTAAATGACTTGTATACTACTTCTGTTTGATATTTCATGTATGCACGATAGAGGTGACTGGCTGAAAAGTGCTGTAACTTTGTTTTTATAAAACATTTAGTAATCACAATAGTCTGCTGCTGATGTTAAACCATGGAGTTGAATATCTATATTGACTTGGAAATACGAAGCATTTCCCGAGGCTTAAATCTTAATATATTAGATGTACAGTCAAGCCCAAAATTATTACATAAAATTAAGATTCAAACTCAGAGAAATGCATTCTATCTCCCCTGGGGTATGGAGGATTTGCTTGACTGTATATGTTTGAGAGAATTTATTGTAATGTTTAATTTTATATTTCACACATCGCATCACAAATAATTGCGCCAAATTGCAAAAAAAAAAAAAAAAAATTATTCTCATATAATGTGTTTTAATGTTAATTTGCTGACATGTATGCATGCTTTGTATTTCTCTTCACAATAAATCATATATTTTATAAGTAATGTTCATCTTTTGTTTTATTGAATGTCTGAAACTGCTGGCCTACCAATAGCCACATTTCCACTGTCGTGCCAGTGCCAGCCAGGGATTTTATCGGGCTGGGTCATGCCAAATTATGTCGCATTTTTACTGTTGGGCTAGTAGCTCGCAGCGCGTCACACAAACCCCCCCCCTGAAATTCCCCTGAATCAAACGTCACAATTCCCACCCAGTTCAGCAGGAATCAAAATGAAGACAAACGAAACAAACAAATGACACATTACTGTACAGCATTACATTATATGTCTATACGCACAGGCCCATGTATTTTTCATTCATTATATTTGTTTACTCGCCAACTGACTGTTGGCATCGTGCACCTTTTAAGAGAGGGATGACCCAGTACACCATCCATAATATAAAACCATAGAAATTTTCCAGTAATAACTTGGTATAAAATGTATTTTTTAACATCCTTGTTTATATAGAGACCCTCAAACATTCAGCCCAAATGGTCTGGAGAGACCTAAAACATATTATTTTTTTCCCTTGGCTATACAACACTTAAGTATTTCCCCTTTATTTAAGAGAATAATTTAAGGGTGTTGCATGTTATTCGGTTATCTTAAGTAAAGGAAACTAGTAAGTGTTTCAGGACATAAGAGCAAGTGATAAAATATAGGTTATAACCTATTTATCGTTGAACTTAGCTGCTATTCACTAATAAGCTCTACATTTTAAATGTTAATTTTTTATTTTACCATGTTATATAAAAACATAAACATTTGTTTGAGGACATAGACTGGGCTACATTTTTTTTATGTGCAATTTTCCCCCATCCGTTTATAAAGCAGCACTGCGCAGGACTGGGTGACAGAAAAGAAAAGGTAGTTTCTGATGGTTTCAGTCACCCAAAATGTACTCTGTTTGCATGATTTAATTATTATCATCGTATCCAAATGCTTTTTATAGTTCAAAACTTCTTTGTTGTTTATTGTTTTTAGAAATCATCTAAAATAATTTTTTTCAGATAGGCCTTTGTAAAACGACAGTTTAAAATGGCTTTAAACGATTACATTTTTTTGTATTGTATATACCTAAATTGTTATGGCTTTTATTTGTTTTTTATTGGTTTATTTATTTAATGTGATTTTATTATATGCAATATTTGTAATTCTTTAAATGATTTCAATATAGCTTATTTTATCTAGATATGACACTATTGTGTTGAGCCTACAAAAGCGGACATGTAGTTTGTAAAGTTTTATGTTTTAAAAGTTTCAGTGTTCTCCCCATTTTAATACTTCTACAGATGAATTGCAAATTCGTATGCTGTACAATTTGCGCCTATGTAAAGTTACAGTATTATTGCTTGATTAATTCTGTCATTAATTCATGTCGTTGCAATCTCCCGAGACCTTCGTTCATCTCCAGAACACAAACTGAGATATTTTAGATATTGTAGATAAGTTTGGGTTCTCGCTCACTTCCATAGGTCATTTTTATATTTGTGGTAGAGCTATCCCTTTAATCGTTCTATAGTTATTTATATAAAGTTAACTAGCAGTAGTCACCATTCAGTTGTTTAGAACAATTAGAACAACATAAGCTGTATGTTGTTTCAGGTGTGGTGTCCGCAGCCTCTTCACCTTCGCCTACACTTGCAATCAGCATCCATTCAAGAAAATTAAATTAAATCCCAACCACTCTTCTTCAGTTGGTTCAGCATCACAGACAGCCCCAACTCAGAGCTTGCCATCTGATGTTTTGACATCTGATCAAACATCTGTGTTTTCAACATCAGAACTTTCTCCTCCATCCACCACTTCACCCCATTGTTCTTCAGTGATGTCCTCGACTGAAACGCAAGACACTTCAAATCCCCAGAAACATGCTTCTCAATTAAACCATCAAGGGGTGATTCTTCCTGACATTTGTCTAAATCCAGTTTCCATGGAGGAGGAGAAGAAACTATACCTAGCATCAGTCGGATAAGATGGAAATCCACGGCCAGATCGCTTTGCTACACTTTTGTTTAAAAGTCTTGTGCCACATAAAGTGTACTTGGACTGGTCAGGTACGGCCAACTTTAACGGTGCCAGGGGGAAAAATGCACTACCTAACAACCTGCGAGAAGAAATAGCAGATGCCGTTCGCAGAAAATTCCCTGACAATAAACCCAGCAACTGGAATAAGATAAAGGATCGACTTAATGAACTTCTTCGTAATAAACGAACTACTTTCACCCCTAACCTGATTATGTGAAGGCTCGTTCGATACATTACTTAATTGCTACTACTTATGTTTGATATTTCATGTGTACAATTGAGCAGACTGGCTGAAAACTCAATGATTTAGGTTACTAATCGTGTCAATAATTATTTACTGAAATGTATGCATGCTTTGTAATTTACACCACAATAAAACATAGATTTTATGAGTAGTGTTCACCCTTTTTTCATATTATTAAGTGTTAGGTTTTCCAACCCCCAGGGAAGGCAGCATAGACTCTGTTTGTCAAAAACTGCAGAATTAATCGAAGACAGTTTTGGACTTCCCAATAGTACTGGAACCCTTGAAATCAGTCCCATTTTTGCTCCCACTAGTGATGCCTCTGTTCCCACCAATTTAATATTTGAACTGCAAATGAGTATATAGTACAATTGGCACCTGGGTTATGTAAAGTTAGGGTATTATTGCATATAAAAGAATTAGTTCACCCAATAATGAAAATGATCTCATTAATTCATGTCGTTGCAATCCCCCGAGACCTTCGTTCATCCTCTGAACACAAACTATGATATTATAGTATTGTAGATTAGCCTGGAAGATCTCACATATTCCATAGACAGCAACAGTCTTGAGACAAAAAACGAAATTCTAAACTTTTGTACACCAAAATAACTGTAAATATAACTCTGTTCGCCTATGTCTTTTCATCTTTGTCAGGTTACTGTGTGCATTTACTTTAGGCAATACAACATATTGCAGTTACAGTCATATGCAGTCAGAGCAGCAGATGCACTTCACGGAAAATTCCCCTCACATAAACTCCATGACTGGAATGAGATCGATTAATGAACTTCTTCTGACTTTCCCTCTAATCTGATTATGTGAAAGCATAAATTTACAAAATGTTTTTAAAAGCCACATCTGAATTCTCTAGAAAGCTTGTTGAGTAATATATGACGCATACTCTGTAATATAATACAAAGTTAGAAAAAAATTGAGCTTGAACTGGTTTTGAGGATTTGACAGTGCTCAAAGGTATTGTTGTGCTCAAAGGTTAGAGAATGCATCTGAGAAACAAATCCAAGCAATTGGTAGTGAATGAAACCCAGTACATTATAACGAAGATTCACTGATTAATAATGGTTGAAAGGCCTTTGAAGAGGGTACTTTTTTTTTAGTCTTCAACATACTTAAATTTTTTCCATGATTTCTTTCCTCCAAGAATCCATTGGACAAGTGGACGGAACCGCTGAGAAGACTCTTAATCCATTCTCATCAATTGAGTCCCTTCCTGACCAGTCCTTCATTCCTCACTATCCTATTAAGTCCAGCTGGGTCCAAAATTTCCACATTCCTTGGGAACGGATGTCACCAGCTCTCATTCAGGCAACAACCACTGGAGAGAGGGCTCGACCTGGCCCAAGAAGGGAGTTTGTTAGGATTGTTGTTGCAGCCATGCAAGCCCACTGTCCCAACCCGAACTTATCCACCTGTGGGGAAGTGGCACGAACCATTGTGTCTACATATCCCCTGACATTTGGAGACATTTCTGAAGAAGGAGAACAAATAGGAAATGGTTTCAGTTGCCTTCAAAGACAACTAAAAACTAGGGTAGAACATGTAAATAGGGATGTTTTGGAACACCGGATTCGTCGACCTAGAAAGCCATCAGAGAAAAGAGCCGGGCAAGACGACAACTACTTGGTGAAGAAAGTCAGATGCAAAGTGGACAGTTATGGATGCATTAATTGGCAGCCCTCGTCTGTCCCAGATGGAGAGACGGCAGAATCTCTTGAAATGAAGAGGAAGGTTGCGGCAGAGATTTTTCAGTCTGCAGGTCCAAGGGCGGTGGAGTTGACCAATGTTGAAGACTTAATGCATCAGACTTATGTTTACCAGCGTCACATGATCAACTCATGTCCACCTCCTACTATCAGCGAGATAGAGGGGCACTGGCCATTCCTGTTCACCGAAAGGGGCCTCTGTAGGCATTTCAAAGTCCTGACTGGGATTGACATCAGAAGTCGCTTTAGCGAAACACTTACAGTTAAATCCAGAAGAATATTGAATTACTTCAATAGTCAGAAACTGAAGTGGAACACAGAGATCCAGAGTCTGCTGAATGAGATTGAAGAGAATCCCAGTACAACAGATAATAACAGGAACACCATATCAGCCATCCTGTTAATGATGAAGTACTTTAAGGAAAAGGACAACTCTGTGTTCATCTTAGTAGATGTCAGTAAACATGAAGTGTATCCACTAAGGTTTTAAAAGAAGTTTGGCTGATTCCAAAATAAAAATGTTTTTATATTTTGTTTTTAAGGAAACTTCTACCAAGACATCAATTGAAAATGAAATTAGCTTACCAGCTACTCCCCGACTCATCATGCTTGGTAAGACATTGTCTTTCTTTGCAAGTTAGTTTGGTCCTGTATCTTTTTATATATGTGTAATACAGGGATTCTTCATATTTCAGGTGATACATTGCTAACTTCTTCCAAGTGGTTTATCAGTATTGAGGGCAAAGTGACACATTCTATAGATGACCAGCTGGACTTCACAGCGGCATTGTCTGTTTTCTTTGGGTGCTTTTACGTTTTTAATATTGAGTACGAGGAATCAGCCAGTGCCACTCTTGAGTTTCTCCAGAGGTGAGCCTTAAGGACATTTGAACTGGACATTAAATATTTAAGGACATTTGTTTTACTCTTACTCTCTTTTCTTTTTCTTCTGGATCTTGATGGATCAGAGTTTCATGAAACAGACCTAACATAGATATATGTCTAGCAAACCAGACATTTTGTCTAAAAATGTTCTGCTATTCTTCAGGTTCTTTGTGAGGATCAATCCTGAAGGATCTAAATGTACTTCAAAATCAGGTACAAGCCGAAGGACGGGTACGGCTGTCCAAAGGAAAACCCAAAACTTTAATACACGCGTGGCAACATTTATGCAGAGGCTTTCAGAATTTGAGTGGAAAACATCAAGCTAAGTAAGTTGATCGAAGAAATAAATCTCTATTCCTTTCAGTATAAAGTCAAAATGACCTGAAATGTATTGAAACAATGGATTGTTTTAAATAATTCAATATTATTTCATTTGTTTCAGGATTGTCTCTATCCATGCCCTGCACTGACTATGAAGTTACTACTTGCGCGCTTTTTTTTTTTTTTACCTTGATACCTTAACATTATTTTTTACCTTATTATTTGTAGTGTCCTTATTGGAATGTTGCTGAAATGTTTGTATTATAAGAAATTTACTGGCACCATTTAAGTCATTCATGCAACAACAATAAAAAAGGTGTATCGACTACTGTGGTTTATTTTTACGAAAACATAATTGCAGTGATAGTATAATGGTGTAGTGCTATTTTCTTTATTAGTTTATAGCATTAGGTATTTTGTGTATTGTTTACTGCACTGTTTATATATAATTACGGTAACTAACCTGATTGATATAAAGTGTACCTTTTTAGGGCTTTACATTAACACCCGCCAAATGCGGGTAGATTTTAGCTGTGGCGGGTTAGACAGACACTGCCACTAGCCACTATGGCTGGTTGTAAATCATTTTTAAATTGTGGTTTTCTTGAAAGCAGGGTTCGACAATAAGGATGGCCCAATATGGGTGCAAATGTGATCTTAGAATTGAGAAGAAGCATGACTGACAACTAAGTTTGTTCGTGCGAGCAAAAGAAAGCAAGTGAATACTGAATGAGAGGATGATCACTCGTGCCAACAGCTGAGGTGATGCGCGCAACTGTTTAAAACAAATGCTTACTCCCTTCTCCTTGCTTGAAGTAACCATGCCTTTATGCACAACTGCATACCTGTCAACCCTCCCGTTTGTCCCGGGATTCTCTCGTATTTTACTGTTCTATCCCGCTATCATCCCGTAAAGGTATTTTTCTGTATTTCTCCCGTATTTTCAGTCTTTCTCTGAACAGCCGAGCCTCCCTATACGCAACCCATACCACCGAACCACCAGGGTGAGCCCCTTGCTCTAAAACGTAAGTCTTCTGTCATTTCGCTTTGTTGAAGAATGAAACAACACTAAACTTAAATTAAACACTTAAATTAACCACTTAAATATTAAAAACAGCGCGATTCCATTTCCTTTTGATTACAGGTGCCGTCGCCCATCCTATACAATCCTCAAAACAGTCATATAATAGTGCATGACTGTCAGCTGATGCGCTCCATAGTGGTAAACAGATGCTGTTTCCCAAACGGATTATGTACATGCAGTTTGAAGCGGAGAGAAAGTCTGGCTTTTGGGTGCGTGTTTAAATAGACATGCACACATAATTAATAATAATATCATATAGGGATGTCGATCTTGGTGGGTTTTTTTTCCAAACACAACTAATTTCACCTTAAATGAGCATAAAAAGTAAGGAAAGCAGTCAAATATTATAATGTTAGATGTGTGCATTTGTAAAGTGACATCTTTTATTTAATGTTTTAAAAAATATAAAATAAATGATTCATTCGTTGCTCTTTAATCAGAATGTGTAAGTTATACAGTGGAGAAACGGCTAACGAGATTGATAGCATGATTCTATTTCATTATAATAGCTATTACTTTTAATGAGCTGAACTGTTTGCTAATGTATTTGCTGTTATTTATATATTTATTTTATTTTGTTAATACTAATTTTAAAACATATTACTGACCATTTAACTGTTTATTTACTATGAAACCGCTCCAAATGAACATATTAATAGACTAAACAAAAAGTTATGCTCATGCACCCACAGTCTTGCTGCTTTCAAGAGCTCCAGATTTGTCTTTTTGTAAGCCGAATGTTTATCACCTGCTTTCTTTTGCTTACAGTTATTTTTGTTAGTATAGTTTAATTATATATATTTTTCACAATAACATTGCTTTAATAGGAGATTAACTTCCTATTTATGTGTAGTTAACGGGTGATCTTGGACCTTTAGCCAGGACAGATTACTGTGCACATTTTAGATAGATAATAATAATTATTTTTATTTGTCAATTTTAATTTTAGCATGTCAAAGTCATATTTATGCATATAAAATATATTTTCCCAACAACAAAACTGTCTAGTGAAAATGGTGAGTGGCTAGAAATGTTGGAAAGCTAGCTGAAGGACTTAGTTTTATCAGGAGTGATTAATTAGGGTTGGAACTAAACTGTGCAGAGCTGCGGCCCAGCAGGAACCGAGTTTGACACCTTTGATTTAAAGCCTCTGATGTAAAATAAATGATGTTCACTATTGGTGGACATGATGAGAAAGGGCTTGTCATTTTTTAGTTTTTGGACTTATTGTTAAACAAAATTAATTGATGGAGGCTTACCTTAAAAAACAACCCAAGCCAGATTTAGGAACATCAAACACTGTTTACTTGAGATGAGCCACCTATAGACCTACATGTAAATATATATGTGAGCAACCAACGAGACTGCCAGAAACCACATAGCAATGTCTTGGCAACTATCTATGTCTAAACACAGTGGCATCCCTTTTTAGGACAAAATAAATACTCTTTTTTTTTTTTTTTTTCATGTGTGTGAGCAAAAATGTTTTAGAATATGTATTTATGTGTTATAAAATTACGCTTAGAATGATGAAAACTAGGGGGTTTCCATGGTAACAGTTTGCCGGTAACCGTTTTAGACGAGACCAATGCAAATTATAAATGATGCGTCCGCTCTATATAGCAGTTTACGGTAATTCATCCCATGATCCTGTTCTGCAAATTGCTAGATATGCTATGATTCTGTTCTCAGAAATACACTGAATACAGTGCTGTTGTTTGTTGAGAATACAAAGGCAGCTCTGCACTTATAGATTACTCGTTAGCAGTGCGGGGGACGGATGTTTACAATATACATCACTGATTAATGGTCCCGTAAACAATGAACGTCATGAATACAGCTGATTTTCAGACGCAGTTAACATCCATACTGGAAATGTTAGCGAAAAGCGCCGTTGTTGAAATAAGCAAACTATTCGAGGAGAATTCATTGTTGCTGCGGTTGGAGATTTCACGATGTACAAACGAAAATGAATCTCTGAAAAAGAAATGCCATTTTCTGGAGAGCGAACTTCAGTCTGCTCGAAAAACCGCTGCAAAGATGAACGGGACAGAAGCTCCGTTCAGCCGCACGGGACTTACAGGTGATTTTATTATGCATTATATGCCTCATTCATTCATTAATGCACTCGTTTATGGTGAATGATCTGACGAGTAACATACGTCTGGTCTCTGTCTGGGCTGAAGGTTCAGTCAGTGTCTGCAGTGGGCGTTACCATACCACGACTGTGCCCTTGAACAATACATTAACCTTACACCAGGAGGGCATTACTGTAGTATATAGTATTCGGGATTTCTGTTCAACGGGTTCATTCACTAAATCCATTCACTCAGTGACACTTTCTACAGGTTACCTGTTCGTCAATAGGTGGTGACAGTGACCGACTAAGTCAAGAAATCATTCACTTAGCAAATATTTTCTTTCCGAGAGAGTCAAAAATATTTATAAATATGACCAAAAACCTAAAGATCCTGCCACGAATAAATCAAGAACTAATTCCATAACCCCCCCCCCACCCCCCCAAAAAAAAAAACAAAAACAAAAAAACTGCTCTATCCATGCATTACAAATGAATTGACAAACGATTCTTTAAAAAAATAGTCGTTCATTCTTTCTCTCTGTCTATCGTTATCTGTTAGCAGTTCCCTATAAGAAACAGTTCATTATCCATCTGTCTGCAACGAGTGAATCGAACTGAATCTCTAGGGAAAAACCAGTTATCCATCTATTCATCCATCTATAATCAAGAACCCATTCCCTATGAAACAGTTCTTCATTATCCATCTGTCTGCAACGAGTTAATCGAACAGATTCTCTAAAAAATATTTGTTTATCTATCTATCTATCTATCTATCTATCTATCTATCTATCTATCTATCTATCTATCTATCTATCTATCTATCTATCTATCTATCTATCTATCTATCTATCTATCTGATTCTGTCTGTCTATCTGTTTCTGTCTGTCTATCTATCATTCTGTCTGTCTATCTATAATTGTCTGTCTGTCTATCTATCTATCTATCCGTCTATCCATCTATTGTCGGTCTATCAAAAACCTTATAAAACAGGTAATCTATCTTTCAGTCTGAAACGAGTGAATTGAACGATTAAAAAACAAACAAAAATACTTTTTCTTCCATCCATCCATCAAGAACCCATTCCCTATAAAAAGGTCTTCATCTATCCATCCACAACAAATAAATTGAACCGATTCTCTAAAATAACAGTTGTTTATCTATCTATCTATCTATCTATCTATCTATCTATCTATCTATCTATCTATCTATCTATCTATCTATCTATCTATCTATCTATCTATCTATCTATCTGTTTCTGTCTGTCTATCTATCATTCTGTCTGTCTATCTATAATTGTCTGTCTGTCTGTCTGTCTGTCTGTCTGTCTATCTATCTATCTATCTTTCTGTCTGTCTCTACATGTCTAATCTATATCCTATTAAATCACACAAAACATTTCTGGGTTGTTTTTTATAATATATGCATACAAATAAAATATCTGTGTTCCTCTAACAATGTATTGTAGTGTTCAGTCATTGAATTGCGTATTATATTGACTCTAGCCCAATAAATTAAATAAATCATTTTGGTATACTAGGTTTATCACTCCTGATATGGCTAACCAAAATCAATGCAATGCATGTGTAACAGGGTCTGCCCGACGCCCTTCCATCGACAATGCGTTCAGTAAGGAATGGTGCATGAACCTCTGGAGACACGAGGAGTCAAATGCTGGAGAGCAGGAGGAATCACATCAGGACTCTTCGGGCATGGCTGAAGATGTTGGTCACTTTCATACTGCTTCTGGTTTACTTGAGGCTACATCACTATGCAGTTAACAAGTTCTGTTTTGATCTTTCCTCCATTAGCCAGTAAGTTTGCTGGATGATGAAGAGGATGAGGAGCCAGATATGATCATGATCAAGGAGGAGACGTTTGACGATTGCTCTGGAAAGAATAAACCTGATGAAGACGAAATGAGCAGTTTGGCAGGTTTGTGGAGCAGGAACTTGAAAAGTTATTAAGTCTTCATTGTGTTCAGACATTCATATGTAATATATTACATCACAGGACCAGCAATGCCCAGTGATGGGAGATCACAGAACTGTGAAGATTACATAACATACACTGTGCCTTCAGATGAACAAGCCCGACCGAACGTACAGCAGCCACAACCAGAAGAGGAAAGTCTTCACGGGACGATTTCTACACATGGACACAA